GGGAAGGTGTGTAAGTGTTAGTCGTGTGGGGATGCCCCCTCACGGGGGCGTACGTGTCTTTTGGTGTATTTGTCTGTCTGGTATATTGTTTGTCGGGGGTCGCAATTTTAAAGAAATGTATTCTAAAGTAATGCAAATAACTGATAAATAAGTAAAAACTTACCTGGGCATAACCCCGGCACAGGTGCTGTAACAAAGATGCCGACGGCGTCTATGCTTAAGCCGGGGATTAGGTCGGTGATTAAAAGGAAAGAAAGGGATTCTTTCCAGGTAGCCTTAATAAAGGCAGGTAGAAATTGCTCCTTGCACTACACTTTCACAAAACACCTGTGCTCTGGTCGGCTGCCCGCTAGGAACTGAGATAGTAATGGAGCAAAAAAGCAGTACAAATGTCATTATAAGATCGAAAATTCTGCTGTTTATATGTATTCTACTAGAGGCAGCCTTTATTGCTAAATAAGCGAACAGACGTGCGAGAGAAAAAGCAATTAAAACTACTAGCTATCTCTCTCACTTCGTAAATGTTATTGGTTGAGAATCAGACCCCGTGATTCCCCTCCAGCACCTCACATTACGGAGTGAGAGAGATGGCTTATAGTTTTATTTGCTTTCTCTCTCGCATATCTGTTCGCTTATTTGGCATTAGGGGCCACCTCTAGTAGGTATGTGCTCGATTACCTAAAATAGTTCTAACTGACTTGTTATCATGCTTATATGGGTTTTTAATATATACATTCTGTAACGATCCCTTTTAACATTATTTTAGTATTCTCTAACTTCTTTTCGGTTAACACATTAAAGCGATTTTGCAAAGTAGCATTTGAAAGAAGAAGAGATGTTAAGGTCAAAGGTTTTGTGTTCTTTGCACAAATTAAATTTGTTCCCGTTTTCTGTAATCTGTGATTCTTTGAATTTAGTTTCGGTGATCAAATGAAACCTTGGTTATGTTTAAGTTTTGTGTAAGAATAAGTTTTTAAGGAATATATTGTGTGTAGTTCCTGGAACAGCCTTATCGATATATCTGTAACAATTTAGATTATTTATAATTTATTTATTACACCTGAGTGCCAAAATTATTACTTTTATATTAAATTTTAAAGGAAAGTCAGAGGCGTCAATTCTTTTCAATGTTTGTTGGGCGCCTACACATAATACAGTACTAATGTATACTTGACTGCATAAGATCCAATCCAAAACTACATTCAGTTCTCTAGTTGCAAGTTTTCGAGATTTTTGTTGTTCAGATGAACACTTTAATTTTTTTGACAATTTTATTAAAACGTTTTAGGAATTCAAAACCATTCAATTCTTCCAGTTTCTCCATATTCGAATTTTTCTTTCATGTTTTTGTTCGGTAGGCAACATACAATACAAAACCTATGTATACTTGGCTGCATAAATTTTGCTTAACGAATAAAAATTGAAGTAATTTGAAGATGAATCTCCAAATTAGGTCAATGCGAATAAAAATACGAAGATACTAAAAACAATATTTATTATAACTCCATTTTTAAAAGCACACATTTTATATGTAAAATAGACATAACTACAAATTACAAAGAAATATAATAAAATGACTTTTCACCTTACCTTTGCTAAGCAAAGCTTTAAAAAATATTGCAACGTAATATAAGGAGTAGGTATTATAAACATAGAGGCAGTGAGGACCGCCACAATAAACATTGTAGGTTACATAGGGACGTTAAATTTTATTATAATTATTCAATAAATAATAAACACTGGCTCACCGAGGAGTATTTTTGTGCCCCAGTCGATAATTTTTAATCACATAGTATATATTACTATACATTTAAAATATTTCTATAATTATAATGTGCAAACTACAAGAAAAATATATTAAATATGCTAATTGTAAAAAAAATGAAGGGCGAAGACCGGACAGTGTCCTTTCAGGTAAAGCGTAAAGATACGGGTATCATCAATAGAAGTAGCAATTTATCTGGAAAAAACAGAAAGAAACCATCGGTGACGACGGGAAAGCATTTTAACCAACCCCAACTTACGTTTTCTTAAGGGTAAAGAAGCTGCGACGTTTAGAATCCTCCTTCTGCGCAGACGCAGGCAATGTCTGCGAGCGTGAGGGGCCTGAAGAATCGGTATCAGCGTGAGAAGTAATGTGGGAAATCCACGTGTTCATTTCAGCATCGTCGTGTGCCTGGAATAGGAATTCGCCTCCGCTCTCCAACCTGCAAAAAAAATAACGGTCGACACTATCAGCATCAAAAACCGGCAGCTCTCCCCGTGTGTGGAATTACTCGTACAGTCCTTTAATGACAAAATTGCAAAACGCAGAAAAAAAAAGGAGGGAAATCTAAACCGATACTTACTTCAGTCTAAATACATGCTTCTTCTTCTTGTAATCCTGCGCTACGCTGGCAACGGCCTTATGTAGAGACAGGGGGGCCTCGCCCTTAAACCTCTGGTCGGGTGCGGTCTTGGCAGCCTTGCTGTCCTTGTAGAAAGCAAACTGCGTACCCCTGAGCACGCAGAACACCTTGTCCCACGACCTATTCGATGCCTTGGTCGTGGTGCTTTCCCATTCGTGTTTACGTACTAGATGGCCTTCGAAACCTTCTTCGTCTCCTACGCTGCCGTGTTCTGGTCACAGAAATCAAATAAATGTTAAAGTACCAGTCGTACGTTGAACCGTTAAAAATACAGACGAATTTTGCGAGTACATATTTGAATTTTGTTTAAAGTACCACGAAACGAAAAGTTGAACAGTAACTTGAAACGTGATTTCTATTGCTGGAGGTACACTAAAAAGCATACATTTATGAAAGAACAAATGACACGGACACAGATTAACAATACATAAACACACAAATTAACTTACCGCTTTTCATCATTTTTTTAAAAGGGCTCTGTAGTGAATAGCCAACCAGCAATACATTTTTGCAAATTTTATTACACAGTTTGTCTAAATATGAATCAATGCACAAATAACGGACTTTCCTCCATTCTACCGCAGATTATCTACAAAATGGAGTTTGTTTGAAACTCAAATTACTTTTTGATGTAAAGAAATTTGTAATTTGCCGCTTTGCGGCATAATAAATTACAAATTTCTCTATACCAAAAAATTATTTGAGTTTCAAACGAAGTCCATTTTATAAAAAATCTGCGATAGAATGGAGGAAAGTCCGTTATTTGCGCGTTAGTTCATATTTCGACAAACTGTGTAATAAAATCTATAAAAATATATGGCCAGTTGGCTATTTGCTATAGAGCCCTCTTAATAGAGTACTCGTATAAAACGAATATTAATAAAAGCAAATCACTTTAAAAAAATAAAGGGACGGGGATAATTACAACATATTACATATAATGAATTTTTTTACACCTACTTATACTAGAAACGGAACAAATTTCCAACAATTAAATTAACGGATACTTCACCGCTGTCTGTGCAGTACCCGATCCTTAAGGTTACCGTAAGACTACCTTGTAAAGCAGCAGAAGCACCCTCGTCGTCACTATGAGTTCCGGAAGCTTTGGGGGTGCCCTTTTTCCAACGGAAACTCCTAAATGGAGATTTGCTTCTAGAGCGATCTTTTCGCTTGGCCTTTTCTTCGACTCTCGACACTTCGAAAAACCAACATATAAAGCAACACGACACAATAAATAACGTGCAATCAATCATCTCGGGAAAAATATTTACATCCATAAGTATTGTATTGTTACTTAACGTAATACACTATTTTAAATATTATCACGAGTCAGCAATGTTTATAGATCAGGTGAGTAAGAACTGAACCTGGAACTTCTAAACAAGTACTGTATAGTCTCTCCGATATCAATTTGAAGACCAAAGAGCTAGGCAGTATGTACCAGGTTCAGTCCCTACGCAGAAACTCGGCATTGAAATATTTGAAAAACTTGTTCCCATGTTTATTTAGCCACACATACAGGTCTGATCGGACTAAACGTGGAGGTGGTAGAAATGTATACGCCCAGTTAAAGAACGCGCGCGTGGGCAAACGGCGCACAAACAAAGCCGCACTGGGCGACCGGCCATAAATTTCAGTTGTTGACAAATTGCCTAGCAGTGCAGTGCAGTAATGTATTTTAATGAAAATGTAATGTTTTTTTCATATATCATGACCAAAATTTACCATTGCCATTTAGAAATGTAAATATTTTTCCCGTTTCGCTCGAAAAATATAAAGCTCGTATGGAGACGAGTATCGTCAGAGGTACTTACGTGTTTGTGAGCGGGGAGAAGCCTGAGGCGGCGACGGTTTAGCGGTGGGAGTACTCGGTAATGTCATAGGTCGGGGCTGTTGTTGTCCATGCACTACAGAACATGCTCATGCATTAAAAACCCATGCAGCGATATACCGGCTCTCGCTTATTACGGAAGCGAACATAAATTGATAACCTTAAATTTGGAATTACGGATTCCGTTTCGGTTTGAGGTTTTTTATTTATGCTCGCCTGTACTAACAGTTAATAACATAATTACACAAAAATAAAAACAGAAATAAATTATTAAAATATATTTTTGTTAGTGATCAGAATAAATGCAAAGGGTCAAATTGTTAGTGGAATACGACATGCCAAGCCAGAAAAACAGGAATACTTACCAGGATTTACTGTTAATAATAGAACGAAACAATACACGATGTTAAACGTTAAATCGACAACAAAAGAATCAAGATAGTTGAATGAGATCATATTAAAACTGTAACGCAGTAAAGGCATCTTCACTACGAGTGCATATGCTTAAACTCTATGACAGTTCATGTGAATTCTCACATTTATACAAGGTGTCCAGTTACTAATCGGCTAAAGGTCACCAATAGACTTTACGATAAAAATTAAAAATTCATTTGAGCTACTGCAGGAATTAATTCTTGGGGCCCTTTTGTAAAAAATAAATGATGCATTATTGCAGATAACAGAAATTAAGTCGTTGAATTTAAAAAAAGAAATCTGTGTTTCGAGATATGACTGAAAATAGTTTAAAAATTTTCAACTCCAATACCATGTAAATCAGAAGTGAAATATTTTTTAAATATTTTTCAACTAAACTTTATTTGAACTGACTTTTTAATTTTCATCATATAACGTTTAACCTTTTAGTAACTGATCACCCCGTATCCCTACACTTGAAGTGAAAAAATGCATTTCTGAAGAAAATATAGATTGTACAGAAAATAATCACTGAACGTTTAATGATGTGAAATCAAGATGTATTGCTCGCAATTTATTTTCTGTATAATCTACATATTTTGAAGTGCCCCCTCCTCTAACTTTTATACGGGTTGCGGGACTTATGTTAAATTTGACACATAGAAGAGACATAGAAGAGAGAAATTTAAATTTTTCCAACGGTGACGAGAAACAAATAAAAAATTAAAATTGTGCCACAAACAAATAATTTTAGACAACAGTAATAGTCTCTTCCTAACACATGTTTACGGCACACGTTTTTGAGATTATTAATGTAAAAGTAACAAAATTCCCAATAATCCTATAAAAAAAGCCTTTAAGTTATGTCTGAAAAAGAAGCTATCTCGCAACAATGCAACTGATCGGTCATGTTCTTATACCCTTGGATGTCAAATTTTACATTAGTCGGATAATCATATAAAAGTTATAGGGCATATACCATTAAAAAAAACCTATACCTCGGTTCTCGTAGAGAAATTATTTAGCCTAAGATTATAATAAAATTAATTAAAATTAGAAAGTTTAACAGAGGTAAATGTATGGACAAGACGACCTTTTTTATTTGTTGAAATATAAATTCAGCAAGAACTGTTACATATGGGGCATTCCATGCCAAATCGACCACTTTTAACCCTGACCCTCTTCGATTTGGCTGAAACTTTTTTATTGTTTTCTATCCCATTGAAAACCTCTGAGAATTTTTTCAAATTTTTTCACCCAACTCAAAAAATGAATTTTCGAAATAATTACTTTTTTTAAAATACCATAACTTTTTCAAAAATTGAGTTATCGGGACGTTTTTTTTCAAAATATTTGTTTTTAAATGTACTTTTTGAAATAAAATAGATCAAAATTATCTGGACCTATCTTCAGTTTTTTTTTTCAGAAATCGAAAAAAAACAATTTTTCGATTACCATTTTTGAAATGTTTTTTTTTTTTCTTATAAAAAACTGACATTTTTTATAAATCCTCAAATTTTTTCAGTGGTTTTCGATTTCAATTTTTCTTTTTTTTTCAAATTTAGCTTATTTCACCACCATTTTGAAAAGTTTTGAAAATGTATATAGAATCCCAAAATTGAAAAGAAATATGAAAGAAATAAATGAAAGTGGTAAACTTGAAAAAAATTTCGATTAAAAAAATAGATTGTTTTGAATTTTTGTATTTTTTTTTCGAAAACTACATCCAAAAAACAAAGAAAATGAAAAAAAAAATTTGTTATTTAGTCCATTTTTGGACGAACAGTGGGCTTTAAAAAAAGACATGCTACACATTTGAACTCAAATAAATCATTTTGAAACCATCCTCTTTTGACTTTTTGAAATCGTCATCAATCACTGCATAGAATAATTTTTTTCAATTTTGGGATTCCGACATTTTCAAAATTTTTCAAGTGATGTGAAATAAGTTAAATTTGAAAAAAAAAATTTTTCAATCAATAAAAAAAAATAGAAAACAAAAAAAACACCACCCTGAAAAAAATTTGAAGATTTATAAAAAATGTCAGTTATTTATAAGAAAAATATATTTTTTTTTTTTTCAAAAATGGTAATTGAGAAATTTGTTATTTTTGAAAAATGAAAAAAAAAACAGTGAAGTGCAGTTAATTTTGATCTATTTTTTTTTTGAAAAAGTGCATTTATAAACAAAAATTTTGAAAAAAAAAAACGTCCTGATAACAAGGTTTGAAAAAGAATAGTAATTTTTTTTTTAATTTTCAAAAATTCATCTTTTTTTGAATTGGGTGAAAAAATTCTCAATGGTTTTCAATGGGGTAAAGAACAATAAAAAAGCTTCAGCCAAATCGAAAGGGGTCGATATACACAGAGAATCAATTAGCAACATATTTAAAAAGGGTCACCCTGTATACATTTTTCTGAAGATTAAACCGTCAAAAAAATAGATTATTAATCTGTGCGTAATATGTACAAAGTGTGCAATTAGAATCGATATTCGATTTATTAAGTTGAAGTTTGACAAGACAAGCAATAGAAACCATCACCATCGCATTGTTATTACGTATTAAATTCCACAAATTAATGCCGTATTAGTTTTTTTACCTTCACCAGGAGACGATGCAGCTTTAACAGAAGATCTTTTCCTTTCCCCAGCTGCGTTAAATTAAAGTTAAAATATTTTGTAACATTAGTTAACAAACATAACCAAAACATAAAAAATATCGTAATATTTATAAAAAACGAGATCTGCACCGATTTTGGATGAACCGTTCCTTAAATTCTTGTTTTGCTTTGCAGATTTCGTTTCTTACAACACCAAGTCAAAAAAAATACGAGAACAAAACAAATTTTGTATTAATTGCTTCGTCTTACCTGGTCGTTCTTCCACAGCTGGTGAACTCGAATCGGGTCGATCCGTTGTAACTTGCTCAGCTTCCTTGGGTTGTGCAGCTGCGATAGCCGCCAGTCTTTCAGCTTCCTCCTGCTCTCTTCTGGCTCTCTCCTCAGCCTCGGCAGCTTCCTGTCTCCTCTTCATTTCTCTCAATTCGAACTTGATAGGAAATTGTAAAGTTTTCAGTAACAATTTTTTTTTATAAGGTAGTTTTCGCATGCAGAAATTGTTTTGAGAATACAAATTTTGTAAAACAAAAAAACGGTCGTCTATCAAAGTTTTAAAATCGGAACGGAAAAAATTTATATTCTCTAACAATCGTACGACAATGTGAACTTACCGATTCGCCTGTAGAAGACATGAGAGGAAAAGACTTTCTATAGGATTTCTTAACGGCCGCTCCTGCTTTTTCTAACCGTTTCTTAACTTTCGCGGAATTATTCAAATTAAGGTTCAACAAATTCATGGCGTACACGTCTTTCGATACGTTGTCCTTGCTCTTACAAAAAGAAACGTTATTCTGCATATAATTGGCGAACCGTTCCGCCGTCAAAAAGTCGTAACAGATATATTTGTCGCTTTTGAAATCGTCCGGCACTTGATTATCGAAATCGTTACTGGGACCCGTTTCGTACATCGAAATAGACCTGACACAAGAAGGTCTATTATTTTTAACCGGTTTTCTACTACTCGATTTGTGCAGGAAACTTTTTTGTTTGGCTGCCTTCGTTTCGTAATCCGGGTAATACTTTTTAACTCCGTACAACGTAAATACCCTCCTACAAGGCACCCGGGGCTTGTAGAATCTGTCCTCGTTACGAACGATGGCATTTACCGTGTCCCTAACGAACGCCGCGCTCAAATTCCGTACAGGAGCAGGCCTCACTTTCTCGAAAGAAGGAAATATCACGGAGAAGTTGCAAACAGAAGAGTCATGCAAAGGGCATTCCACCAATCTACTACCACCACATGTTTCTAACTACAAACCAAGCACATACAAACAAAATTAAACAAAGACAAGCTAGACATGGTTACGGTACGAAAGTTGCAAAAATAATTTTTCAAATATAATAAAAATAAAAATTATTAAAACGGGCTTGAAGTTATCGTAAAAGCTTTTTGATATCTTTCTTGTATTACTTTTGTAACTTTCTGGAAAAGATTAGATACAAGGAGTTTTGTCACAACTAGAGATGGAGGAGATTTGGTTCTTTGAAATTATTGAAATCGAACTTTAAAGATTCAAACTGAAACCGGATCTTTTGCAAATCTGTGTTTGACATAATACAAATTACTTTTTTTAAGTTTTCCAAAACGGACATTACTGATTTTTTCTTCTGGTTTTGTTGTTTATATACAGGGGGTCTACTAAAGTATGGGCCAAATTTTACCACTAAATTCAAAGACGAAAATTAATGGAGACAATGTCGCTCATAAAAGCTTAGTTTTCGAGATACAGGGTGTTGAAATTGGAAAAAACTTTTAACAAATTTTATTATGCATTTACAAATTTAAATGTCTTTTTGTTGGAAACGGTTGGCTTTAGAGATATTACCTTTTTTAAGCAGAAAAGTTGGGCAAAAGGATTTTTCCAGCCCAAAGTGAAATACATGGTGGCACAAAAAAGTTTTGTCAGTTTAAATACGTCCTAATGGTCGCTTGTGGTGCCCTCTAGGAGATACAACGAAATCGTCGACAAATTCGAATTTCTCATCCCAGAAAATCCCGGATACGAAATTTCACGAAATTAGCTCAATGTAGTCGAAAAATATTAAAGAAATTTTATTTATTTTCTCAACTGCAACACCCTGTATCTCGAAAACGAAACGTTTATCGTATATGACTTTTTCCCCATTAATTTTCATCGTAGAATCTAGTGGCAAAGTTTGGCCCATTGTTTAACAGGCACCCTGTATAAAAGCGAGAGATAACAATATATGAAAATGAAGCTTATTATTTTTTTATTTATAATTTGTTTAAAAAATATATATCGCCACAAATAAGTTCTAAGGCACATTTTGAATATGACTCCAATTCATAAGCAAAAATCCACAAGCAAAGACAGACAAAGAAAAAACAAAAGTTCCACTGAAATTATAACAAAATTTAAACAAATTTTTTAAAAAATTCAAAAAAACTTTCGAATCATCCCAATACACAAGCAAAATTCATTTCGGTCTCCATTTCTAGTCAAAATTGTGTAGGTATTCAAGTGAAAGCAGTGAAATTAGAAAAGGACAAAAAAATTGTAAAAATAATTCGTAATAAAAAATTCACTAAGTGCAACTAAAAGAAACAACCTAATTTTAAATAAAAAATGAATTAAAAATTTTGTATTATACAGGGTGTCTCATAATTAGTGTCCAATAATTTACCACTTCTATTGCCTAAAATAAGAATATTTCTTCATATAAACATGGGTCGAGAAACGCTTCCTAAAGGAGCTACGCCCCCCTGAATGGGGCCACAAAAAATTAATTTTTTTTTTTAATTTGCGAAACGGGTTGAAAGGAAATTATGAATTTTGACATCATGAACAAGCATTAAAAATCGAAATAGTTTATCATAAAATTTTTGAAAAATTTTAGTCAGGGGCGTCTCATTTGGGAGGGTCGACGGGTAAAATTTGCGCCAATTTTTTTGCTTATCGAAATTTTCAAATTCAGATGATAACATAGGATACACTTTTATTTCCTCTACAAAAAATGTATTCTTTATTTCTTTCGATAAAATGCTCCATTTCCGAGAAAAACGGATCCAAGCATTTCATTATATAAAATACAAAAAAAAAATTCTTGAATAGCTAAACTGGGTACATGTACGTACCATTATGAATTTAGATGTCATCATATCCATTACACATTGTAATAAACAACGTGAAAAGTGCTTGGAAAAGCACACTTTGGAAAGGGTTATAACATATTTAAACCGATTTTTCTCGAAAACAGATAACATTTTCAATATAGAACATTACCATTTTTTCATAAAAAACTCAGATCTATCAAATTCTATTGTTTAAATTTGAAAATGGCAACATGAAAAAAATTTGGGACAAATTTTACTCGAGCCCCCCTCCCCCCATGTGGGACGCCCATGATAAACTGTTCTAAGAACTTTTCACGCTGTTTATTGTGATGTAGAATGACATGATGACCAATCAAAATTCATAACGGTACATGTATTCATTTTAGCTATTCAAGAAACTTTTTTGGGTAATGTAAAGAAATGCTTGGATCCGTTTTTCTTGGAAATGGAGCATTTTATCGAAAGAAATAATGAGAATTTTTTGTAGCGGAAATGAGGTTCTATCATATGTTGGCATCTGAATTTGAAAATTTCGATAAGCAAAAAAATTGGGGCAAATTTTACCCAAATGAGACCTCCTGACTAAAATTTTTCAAAAATTTTATGATAAACTACTTCGATTTTTAATGAGTGTTTATGGTGTCAAAATTCATAATTTTCTTTCAACCTGTTTCGGAAATATAAAAAAAAAAAATTTTTTGTGGCCCCATTCAGGGGGGGCGTGGCTCCTTTAGGAAGCGTTTCTCGACCCGTGAAAAAATATTCTTATTTTTGGCAATAGAATCAAGTGATAAATTATTGGACACTAATCATGAGACACCCTGTATAAAAATGGAATTAAAAAAATTAATAAAACAGTAGTTCAATTAATCATGCGTCTAAATCTAAAATATTGATTACTTCAAGTTAATGTTGTATCAAGAGTTACTTCCGGCATGCTATAAAGACGTAAACTTTACCTACGACCACTAAGCAATAAAAAATATAAAAAACATCAAACAAATTACATAGTTTCACTTACTGTTGTCAATCGTTCCAAAGCACTGAACCTCTCCTCCTGCGCTGCCGCCGATTTCTCAAAGGCCTCGTGTTTTTTTATTAGATTCTCAACATCGTCGATGGTATGACCCAGCTCGGTGCTCATAAGGTAAGGCTCCTGAGCTATCAACCATGCCTCCGCCACAGCAGCGTCTCTAGCGAACTGATACACTTCCAAAATCAATTGCAGATTTTCCCACCTGAAAAGACAAAGCAAATTAATTAAAAAAATATGCATTCAAGTCGCATCACCGTACCTTTCTTCCCATCGTTGACGGACACCGCTCCTGTGGTTGCTCAAAGTTACCAATTTATCCTTGATCTCCGAGCTGGCATAGTGGTTCCTGTTCAACAGTTCCTTCCCGAGGGAAATGCAACCCGTGAAATCGTCTTCCCGAGCCTCAATCTCGGCCTTCAAGCTCTGGTGGTTGTTCATCAGCAACTCCACGCCGCTGACGTCCCTTGGCTTCTCGCTGGTGTTCATCTGTCTGATGACGTCGTCCATCCACTGCATCAGGTTGCGGACCCAATTGAAGAATTTGAACAAGTCGCCGGTGTCGGCGAGCTTGCTCCGTCGCTGCTCACAGGCGGCCTGTAGCGACGCCCAAGCGGCAACGACTTCTTGCTCCCTGTTGGTGATTTCTTTAGCTCGGTCTCCGGCATAGCTGGCTTGCAATTTAGCAGACTCCTCCTGGATCTGTTGCACCTGGGACTGCAGCGTTTGCAAGTCTTGCAAGAAGTTCTGGTGTTTCCGTTGCAATCCGTTGACAGATCCGGCGTCCCTTCCCAGTTCGTCGGACATGGACACTTGCTTTTCCATTATACGGCTAAGGATGTCTTTGCAGTCGTGGAAGAACTTGTGCAATTCCCTAGACGCAGCGAGCATTTGGGTGCGGGTTTCGATAAGTTCCAATAAATCCTGCCAGGCCTCATTGAGGCCATCCTTCCATTCAGCTATGGTGGCTGAATCTGAATGTCCCGCCGCGATTAGTTGGTCGGCGGTGTCGTTCACTCCCGCTACTCTCTCACTGCCGATAGCTTCAGTATCGTGCGCAAACTCCTTGAATCGTTCCCATAGTAAGGTGACGTGGTCGTAATCTTGGCCTAATTCGTGGGAAGAAGCGACAACTTCCCTGTCTGCGATCCACTGTTCGAGATCTCCGACGTCTCTGTTCAGTAAGAAAAGCTGTAGGGCCTCGTCTAGCTTGGCTCTTCTCTCTCCGGCCAGATCTTTCAGGCCTGCGTACAACTTGTCCAATTGGGACTGTTTAACAGCCACCTGTTCAGCCAAAGGATGACCCTCAGCAGCCAGAGACCTTACGGTTTCACCAAGAGATCTAATAGTATCAGCGTAGGCCTCTACCGCCGCCTCTAAACTTTCGTGTTTCTTCATGAAGTTCCTAGCAGACGTTTCGTCTTTTCCTCTATCCTCTACCATCATGTACAGTTCTTGTTCACTCATCCAGCACTCAGCTTCATTGGCATCGAATAGGTACTGTTGAGCACGTTCGTTCCTTAACAGATTCTCCCTGCGTTTATCTATGGCATCTTTAAGTTCTTGCCAGGCTTTGTGTAGTTCATTGATTAGTCTGCCGAATTCAACCGCATCTTCATGACCTGTAAACGATGTCATTATAGCATTTAATTCACGATAATGTAAATCACACTCACCTTCATCAATTAATTTCTGACCATTATTGCAAACTGTTTTAATTCTAGGTTCGTGGTTATCTACTTCGGTCTGAAGGGATTGAGTCTTCTTTTCTAGCATGTGCACCTGGAAAAGACTGTTACCGTATTCGGTGGATGTCGCCTGAGGCATTTTTTCGGCAATCCACAATAACTCGTCCTCGACGTCTCTTCTAAATTGTAACGCTTCTTTCTTCTTTTCTAGTACCCTCTGCCTTTCCAGTAACGGTTGCTTGAGCTGTTGGAAGCGTTCCTCCACTTTCTGTTTCTTAAAGTTGATTTCTTGCATATCCTTTTCTGGAGCAGCCGTTTCCAAATGTTTCGTTTGTTTTTCCAATTCTCCAACTTGAAGAGCTTTGACTGCCATCTGAGTTTCAATCATCTAAAGACATACACGTTTAGATACAAATTAAATGGTTTTCTACTATATTTACCTGTTGTTTTTGCATGAGAATGTTGACTGAGGCTAAATCAGAACCCGTATCGTCACTTTCGATTTGTTTTTCGAGTTCGTTCATCCAAGAGTCGATATCGTCGCAGGTTTGGTGGATGAGTACTTCGCGGTTAGCGTCAAACAGGCGTTCACCCTTCTCTTTGGTCGTTTGTTCCAACACATCGAACTGATCCGCCATTTCTTCTACTTTAGGTTGAATATGGCTAACGTATTCCGGTTTCTCTTTAGCCAATTCTTCGCCTGCTTTTTGTAGGTTATGTAAACGTTCTTTGTTTGCTGCAATCTCCGCTTCGAAAGCTTGATGTCTCGTCCACTTCGAGTGAACCGTTTTGGCGGATCGGTAGGTTTCATCTTGAGCGGTGATATGTTTTTCTTGAATCCATTCACCCAATTCGTCGCAATCTCTCAAGAATTGGTGGAGTTCCAATTGATCGCGAAGTCTTTCTAGAAGGGCTTGAGCTTTTTCTCTATTGGCTTGACGTCTTTCATCAATATTGTCAGCACGTTTGGCAATCTTATCGGAAGCAAAGTGACCTTCGTCGCAAAGTCTGCGCGAAAACTCGACTACTCCGTTAATCTTATCATCATTGGCTTCCATCGTAGCAAGGAATGCTTCGTGTCGTTTCAGCAGATTCTCTGCTTGTTCGAGGGTTGTTGGACTTTCGTCTTTGCCGAGAATATGCTCTTGTTGGTTAAGAATAACCTCAACCTGCCGTGCATCTCTGTCGAGCAGTTGCAAACTGAGTGACTGAGAAAGCAGTTGTTGTCTGTTCTCCCACATCTGATGGATCTCAGCCCATCCATCTTTCAACGCCTTCAGACGTTCCCTCAAGAACATGTACTGAGGATCGTCCTGAGTGCTTGGTTCCGCCGTTATCTTTTCCCCGTATTCCATCATCTTAGTGTAATCGTCGGTATAATTGTCGATTTCTTCGCGAATAGACTGGTGCTGAGAAAGCAGTTTCTCAGCCTCGGATAAGGAGTTAGGTGTATCCTCAGACGCGATGTCGGTTTGAGTTTTTGTAAGCCACGCCTGGAAGTGATCGAGATCACGGAGGAATCTATGGAGATCGCCAGCTTCTTCGAGTTTAGAATCGCGCTCCTTCAACATCTGAGTCAAGCGCTCCCAAATGATTTGGATTTGCGTGATGCGTTCCCGAATAACGGCGGCCTCTTCAGGATGTTCGCCTTCGATACTCTCAGCCTCTTTCTGTAAGGACGTAAGTTTAGCTTGGATAGCAGCTAGATCTCTTTCCATTCCAGATAGACGGCGCTGTAACGTCATAATACCAGTAAGATCCATTTCCAAACTGTCAGTGGTTTGTAAAATACGAATTTTGTCTTCGATCCAGGTGATAGTCTCCCGACATTCAATGTGGAAGGTTTGTACACCGTGGGCCGAGTTGAGTTCTTCCCTTTTAGCTTCAGCCTTTTCGCGTAATTCCGCCCACTTCTGATTGAGCTGATTCTGTCTGGCGGTGATTTGTTCCGAGTTGGGGTGTTCCACGTGCAATAACTGGCGTGCAAGTTGATTGACGACGGCAACGCGAGAAGCATTTGCGTTCATTTCTTTTTCGAAACCGTCGTAACGGTGTTTCATGATTTCCACATCCTCGATGTCCCTTGCGGGGATCATAGTCTGCAACATGCGGTCCTTCTCGCTGATCCATTGTTCCACACCGTCGCTTTCGGAGAGAAGTTTGTACAAGGAAAGGGCGTCTAGTAAGCGTTGTTTTCTCAATTTAGCCAATTCCAAAAGCTCCTTGTATCTATTGTCAATAGAAGCCAGCCTCTGAGACACTTCTGGTGAGTTAGCAACTTCTGGGCCCAAAGCTTCGGCTTGTTGGTGCAATGCGTCGATGACGCTCACGTAATTTTTAAGCTCTTCAGTGACATCTTTGTGTTTTTTGAGGAGGGATTGCGCGTTTCCTTCATCTCTGCCTACATCTTCACTGGAAACTAATCTGAGCGTATCCAACATCCAAATGTCGATATCGTCGGCGTCGGCGAATAATTGGTGATAGTCAACTGCTTCTTCCAATCGCTTTCTACGATAAGCGGCCAAATCAAGCAGGTGCTTCCAAGCATCGCGGATTTCAGTAAGCCTCTCTTGAATCTTCTCAGCGCCGAAATGACCGCCGTTTATTAATTCTTCGCCGACTCCAAGAGCCGCCTCAAGCTGAGGTTCGTGTGCAGACAGTTCATTTTCTAAGATCTTATGTTTGCTCAATAGCAAATTAACAGTAGTTAGGTCGTGACCAATATCGGACGTAGACACGATCTGTTCCTTTTCTTTGATCCAGTTATCTTCATCTGCCATATCCCAGTAGAACTGCCATAATTTCTTACTTTCTTCAAGGCGCGATCTACGTTCCACCGCCAGACGCACCAGTTGTGCGTATGCCTCTTCTAATTGTTGTACTCGTTCCAGAACCAACGAAGGATCACAAGGTTTGTAACCTTCCTCATTTTCGACGTCGACGAATCTCTGCGATTGGCTGGCGACTGCCTTAACCCTGTCTCCGAGGATGTTAATATCGGCTTCGAGGAGGTTGTGTTTCTGAAGGAGGTCCTCGACGCCCATGAGATGTTTACCGTAATCGTCGGTAAGCAACCTAGCTTTCAATTCCTCCATGGCATCTAGAATGTGCAACATCTCCTGGAAGTTCTGTTGCAGCTGAAGTGACAAATCTAAGCGGTTCCTACGTGCTCTAAGCAATTCCAAGAGGTAATTCCAGAGGCGCAGTACGTTTTCTTTCCTGGCGTTGATTCTCTCCATGTCGTGGTAATTTTCCGCTTCCAGCTCGGCGGCCACCGACACGACGGCTTGTACTCTCTCTTCGTACGCAAAGATGTCGGTTTCGATGGCTTCGTGTTTCTTAGCAGCCGCTTCGACGGCGGCCAAATCTTGCCCGAAGTTGTCTTGCGAGACGAGCCTTTGATTTTCGCTCAACCACGTCTCTCGCATGCTGGCTTTCCTGTTAAACCTAGCGGCTAGTTGTTCCAATTTCTCCTGGCGGATCAATTCCTCTCTGAGCGCCAATTCGCGCTCGTGTTCGGCCTTTTCTAATCTTTCCCACGCCTTGTTAATGTCCGAAATCATTTTACCCTCCTTAGGGGTGTATGGCCGTTGATTGTTCGCCCGCATCTTCGACTGAAGGGTGAACAGGAGGATTTCCAAGTTACCTTTCTCGACGAACTTCGGCGGTTTTTCTACTATTCGATAATTGTTGAACTGTGCCAGCTGCGCTTGAACGCCGGTGAGGCTGTTGGCAAATCTTCGTTCGCCTAGAGCTTGTATGGTGGCTTCTATCCAAGCCAGTAAATCGCTGGTGAGGGATTCGTACTCCTTGATCATCCTTTCGTTTTCCATGGCGATACCGACGACCTTGCCGATACGTTTTCCTTGTACCGTTTCTTGCTTCATCTTGCTGAAGTAGTGGTAGTAAGTAACGACGTAAGTGATAATGGACTTCTCGTCCGGCTGCTCTACGAACACGTCTTCGGCGTCCAGGAGTTTCGTTAGCCCTAATTTGTCCTCGGCTACGTTGAAAGCGTTGTTTAAGTTGTGCATCGGGTTCGACTTGGACAGTTTATCGAAGTGTATCAAATCGGGACGATGTTTGTGGATGAGTGCATTGAAAGCGAGACCGTCGCGCCAGGAGGTGGTGAAGTTCCTAACGTTGACGTTGTGGTAGCCGGCGGTCTTCATCTGGCACCACAGGAGGAGCGCGTCCTTGGCAGACTTCGTCTCCTGGTTGTCGGTCTCTTCGATCGTGATGTCTTGGATTTGGAAGCGGAGGATTATGGTCCAGATGAGACCAAGCGATAAGCGTGGGTTTCCGTCTACTATATCGTGGGACCCCATATTCTCTAAGTGAACACGTTGCTCTCTAAGAAATTGTAGTGCCTTATCGACATTCTCCAGGCAGTGGATGCGCATTTTACCCTTCGTGGGTCTGGGCAGTCTCTCGCCCGATAATACTTCTAGTAGTTTTATTAAGTTCTTTCCGTCTCTTAGATCGCAGTATAAGTCTGTGATGCGGGAGTTTACCCGAACTAAATGCGAATTTACCCATTTTTGGAAAGTCTTCTTCTGAACACTTTCTCTTTCGTCTAGAATGGCATAATACAAGTTAATATCATTGCCCTTTAGTGCAAGCGTTAATTATTTGTGATCGAGTTATTATGGAGAAAACGTAACAAATTATTTGCACAATATTTTTTTCAAATTTATTTTTTTTTAATCAATCATGAGCGAAGTGGCAGAGAAATGTATTCCTATTTTTTAAAGCACAGTGTTTAGTTTATGAATCACAGTGTCAATGACCTCTGACATTCACCTAGTGAACTAGATAATATTAATCCAGCCGACGTGTATGCACTCTGGCTGGCACTAGTGATTAAGGTTACACTTTCCAGCGGCGAGGTATGAAAACAAACATATCTTACGGTCTAATGTGGCCATGCTATAAATATGAACCTCATTCAAAATAGGAGTAATGCTTTATTGTTGTGTAATGTTTTATTGTTCAAAATACCCGATCGCGAATCAACACTACCTACTGTGCATTTATTATTTGGTACTATTACTTATAAAATGAGTCAGTCAAATAGAAGTATGTAATCAATTTATATTTTACTGTGCAAACATTCATTAAATATAAGTTACACAAAATTATTACTTTCCAAATATACTGTAAGAGCTTGAAGAAACAGTAAGTGAACATTTTTTATAACTATTTGTTTAATCTGCATCTAATATTTTTTTAATTATTTTTTTCCCATCAGATAAAGTAACAGTCGTTTTTTACAAACTAGCGACAATATATCTGCAAGACCTAAGTACTGTACAATAATGACCTTGTCACTGTGCTAGCTTTGAGGCTTTTGGAAAACCCTCCATTATTCAAATAAAGTGAATATGCACTTTTACGAAGTACACCGCCCTGTTTTATTTAAAAATTAAGAGCACTCGCGTTAAAAATGCCACAGGAAGTTATCGACGATGTGGCAGTTCGCCAAAACTATAGCAATAGTATCACGTGTAGGAAGTACTGTCGAAATGTAAAAATCGGAATTTTATTCGAAGATAAAAACTAATTAGATCGAAATAAATTATTCTTTCATAAATACCTCTCAATTCTAACACAACTTTATCGTAGTATAACTGTTCCAAATCACTTTTCGTATCCATTTTCAACATTAACTGGCTACATCTAACATCCTTCTGCTGTGTGAATTAACAAATGTACAGAGAAGGAAATGTGGTTTAGATAAAACTACTAAAGATAAAGGGACAGAGTAAATATATTAAATTTCTAATAAATTTACATGTAGCAGATAGGTAGTGTGCACAAAAATAGACCAGTAACGTAGTAAGCAGCTTGATTTTAATTTGACAATTTGAGTAAAATTTTTACGTTAAGAATAAAAAGATTAAATGGAATTCCTAGTTGTTTTATCACAACGCGCGGGCGGGTTAAATGAAGCAAAAAATACACGTTAATGCCACTTTCAATGAATATCTATTATTAGACCGTTCGTTTTATCGACGACGCCACTGACAAGAGAATCATTAAACGTCTACACAAATTGCTTTATTAGTATTTGCTCAGGAAATGCCAGTGCACCGTTGAGAAATATGACAAATTGTCGTGCTTTACAAAATTTTATAATACTACTGCAGATTATGAGATACAAACAAAATGTCAATTATTAAACAAAGTAATTCATTACTTATTTATTCGTTATAAGACTATAGTATATATCTGTTAAATAAAACGTATTAAACCCACATTTCTCACATTCAAGTTAGTTTGAAATATAGATTTCAATATAAAGTAACAAATTGTTTTTGTCACTATTTTTTGCCTTTTTTGTACAAAATTAATTAATACAAAACAACAACAAAATTAAGTCGAGAATTATTCGCACGAATTGAGAACTATTTAAAATATGAGGTCCAGTTCAGTATGAAAGCGAGTCTCTGGACAAGATAGTCATTAGACCAATAGTTTCGTAACCACACGTGCTTGATCACTGTTTACAGGACTGGAATATGCAAGGCGACTTTACCTTATTTGATACGTCAACAGAGTGGTACATGAGCAAAAAACAACCGTGAACGTTGATTCAGCAAAAATAATCCCCATTCAAGGTTACACCTCGTATATACCGATTGAAAGCAGTACATGTTAAACGAATTTTAAAACCCTATCTCTGAAATGCAGTCGCAGTACGGCCTCTGTTATTATTACATTTACGCCGACAATCCCATTTGTCGTAGCTTTCCGTTATTGATTTTAAGCATATGCACAATCTCTACCACACATTTATGGGACTTTATGAAATAATAAAACGAAACAGTAAAATGTACTAATTGCAGACACGCGATAACCTACATTTTGAGTAACTTATAAGAAGTGACACTATTGTTATTTTCAACGGGAATATCGGACTCACCTGCTAAAGCTTTGATGCGAGATCTTTCGAAAAGTCGGGATGACGAGTTTCCGCCATCGTATTCGTAATCTTCTACTATTTCTTGCTGTAAGGTGGGGTCCCACCTTACTATACTAATGTCTGTCGTCATATTTTATACACCAGCAAAGCTGGTTGCCTGCAAGCAAAAGAAAACGTGATTCAAATGTGGACGTTAATTGAGACCTTGTCGGCATATGACATGACGTATATTTTAGATCTTACTAAAAATCGACATATCTATTTGCCGAACTATGTACTTAAATTTAATTTCTAGAATTCCCTAAAACGGTACGCCACTGGAATCGCAGTTTCCGCGCCCGCAACGCGGTTTACACGATTATAATAAGTTACAGTTCGTTATAACAGTTACAGTTACACTATACATACAAACCAGTTGAAAATATTTTATATATAGTGACATTATCCACAGGAACTTGTAGGAACTAAAGTTATGTATGAATAAGTGTATATTTTCATGAAAATAATGAAACACACAGGATATTATTGGATCAGTGCCCAATGAAAATTAACTGTGGAGTTAGTTATAAATTCATGGCAGAATGCTTGTACATATAAATCTGTCACTGCCAGTTGTTACAATGGTGCATAATATACTAGTTACGATACTGTTGTGTACTATGATCCATAATCAATGTAAAGTTTTATAATTTAAAAGCAACTTTGCCGATATTAATATAAAATGTATTAATCGTTTTCATTTCTTAAGATCAACTAAAAAAAAGGTTAAACTGGCTTGAAACCACTATAATAATCAAATTTTTCACCATACTTTCATAAAATTTTACCAACATTGTACAAAAAAGACCAGTTTGGCGAATATGACAAAATCTTGTGACATAAAATCTTATCCCACTTATTATTCCTAAAACTACCCAGACCGAATTACCTCTAATACGTTTATGAATCACTCATACCACATTCGTGAAATTATGTCACGGTATTCTTTTATGGGAGAAGAATCCGATGGTAAATATTTCGCTAAAGTAATTAACACCGTCATGATTACATGCTTTACGATTATTCCAAATCACCGCAGTATTAAAACATTGTTTGTAAATATTTACTCGAAGAATTTATTATTCGCTTCACTGTTTTATAAACTTTACGGTAATTTAACCTTAAAAATGTGGAACGACGTTCTTTAAAGTCACACTATTGTTTCGAAACGAAGAAAACAAGTTCTCCAACATGGATATATCGAGAGTGGTCGCCGTATAATCTTGGCAGCGACTACAAATCATTTGGAAATTAAAAACGTAATGGCGTCTTGGGTTATCAAGATATATGACAAATTTCAACATTAAAAATATCTAGGGTCACGTAAGCTTCACAAAATTTCGAACGTTCCAAGAATACGTTGCTGTACGAGTCTGGGCACAATTTCCTTACGCAAAAATGCTAGTATAAAAATTTACATAAAATTTGATAAATGAAACCTATCCTAAATAGTATTTTAGATCGGACAGTCAACTCCCTAGTATTAACCCAACACTCACTGCTAGAAACCGGCAACCAAAATGAATAAAACAAGGCTTACCCTGAAATAAAACAAGCCATTGTTGACCTTTGACAGAATCAAGTATCAAGGTTGGCGATTTTTATAACAAAATTATGTGAAAATAAAAGTTTACGTCACCGAGTCTATAAATAGACGCCTACTTATAAAAATTATAAATATTCATCGGTATTATCCGATGTAAACAATCGACACACTGGACGAGAATAAGAATCAACAACATTAACATCAAACATCGCGTTATAATAGTCACAAAGCATGTCTACACGCAAAAATTAAATAATAACCAGTTAGGATTAGAGAGAACTTGGCATTTGGCGGTATCTTATGATCAAGATAGCGTCTTAAATAATTTATTTTATAACACCCTGATTTTCGGCGCCCGCAAAATTGCAACGGATAAATCCTTGTGTGGTAAATCGATAATCGCCGGGTTTTACCGGCGTTCGTCCCGTTCATCGGATTTTATCACGCTTTTCACTTCGGCTTAATCTATTTTGATTGGGGATGCGTTAAAGATATAGGATCTCGCTCGGCCAGCGGTAGATACCGAAAATTTATAGAAGGGAATGTTACAACATAAGCTCAGGCTTGGGGTTAGCATAAAAATGTTAAAGTTAGGGTCAAAATGTATACAGTGTGGACGGTAAGTATCTACAAATCTCTTGAAAGCGTATAGAGAAGACTTCCTGACTTCTTATAGTTTGTTTCCCATATTTAGTTTATTCCCTTTATCTTACAATCAATACTTATAGTATTTACCGGGGTTGAATAAACGGATTTTGGATGACCACACAGAAAAATTTAATTGGATTTAAATCAGGCGACCTAGATGTCTATCGATCACAAAGCGTTTGAGAAGTAGTGAAACGCTAAATGCTAAAAATGTTTAGATTCGAAATAAATGAAGTGATCCTGTTAAAATAAACTGTTCCGGATATCTAAAATTAATATTTTCAGTGCTATAGATCTCAAAAATTTGAGGAAGTAAAGCGAATTTTTTTTAACAGTGAGAATATTAAAATAAATTAAAATCCCAGATTTTACTTGAACATATTTTGATTTCTTTGAAAAAGCTATAAATAGTTCCATTCAAAATTAAAAAAATGTGTGCGTATTTACCAGAAAACTTAAAGTTGGAAAGCCTACTTTTCAGCAAATTTCATTGCAGATGGAGTTTATTTACGTACTCACAGTACGTGACTAAAAATCAATATAAAATTTTACAAAAAAAAGCAGCTATATCCACATAGCAGCAGAGGATTATAAAATGGCCACCAACAAGCACGACCGCCCGGTTTTTCGAAAATCGATTTTATCCGGTACTCTTGCAATAAAAGAGCCATCGGTATTTACCAATAACCAACCCAATCCAGACTAAAGTTAAACTAATGGGCGACTTTCTCTTGCTATCAACCTCAGAAACATGCAAATTATACTGAACGACATATCACATCACACGTAAAATATAACCAACAAAATGTAAGATAATGTATTATCGTTTTTACTACATATATGTTCATAGAAAATACCTAGATGAAAGCACAACATATTGATTGAAGCTCTGGCTCACTAATATATTTACAAAATTTTCCACAGATTTCAATGTTAGATAATATTTCATTAAACTCGAGCTCTCACAATGTCATGAATTATTAAAATACACAATACAGCGAAAATTCATTAAATTTGAAGGAAGGCTTCTACCGTGTTTTCGTATAACGCTAGCTCGCGTAGGTGTTATTGCATAACAAATCCCGTATCCGAGCAAAACGCACAACAAAACAACACCAAAACATCGCGGAAACTTACCAAATGCACCCTGTTCACATGACATACACACTAATCGACCTGGGATCCATATTTTCCCGCAAAACGGCGCATTTAGGACCAAGGAGGCAATACAGAAAAACTCTTAGTCGAGACAACACGATTCCGGCGACGGAAAATTAGGTTTGCAGTGGCACGAGGAAGTGGCCTGGAGAATCGATCAGCCGGTAGAAGACGTCGGCGTCGCGACGCCTGACCTACCGCTTGCCAAAGACACTGCGGCAATGTCTGGTTCAATGAGTAGTGCGGAGGAACGGCAGAGGATGGCGCAAAACTCGCAGCCGCCGGCTCCACGCGGGTACGTCACCACGCACCGACACTGCTGAAATTGAGAAATTGGGTCGAAATCGCCGGACCTGTGTGGAGGATATTGCCAATGTAACATAATTAGGAGCGGGGCCTCCGGTTACACTTACGGAGCCGACTCGCTAGCCGTGCGTACTTTAAATATAACTTAAAAGCCAAGTTTTTACAAGTACCGAGAGAATTTCGAAAATTCACCTCACTTTCGAATATAATCTAGGAAGCCGTCTACAATTGCGCAGCTCACATCCCGTCAAATATCGATAACCATGTCTAAGAGAACCCAAACGACGAAAAAGATCAGCAGCCGTAGCAGACCATGCTGACGAAGGCCGTTGCGGGGGCGTGTAAAAACCCACTTCAATTTCGAATTTTTGGGAAAATACAAAGTTTCCTACATGCAATGAATTTTGGAATTATAAATCACCACACTCAGTTACAGGTCAATAATACCAAAACATCCAGATTTTTAGCAATGACCGCTGCAGGAGGAATGCGGACCCATCATGAGAAGTGTTCGAATGTCAACCCTGGTGCTTTAAAGCTTATCAACCAAGGACATAAATTTTACGATTGCATTATATGAACCTTTTTACAAACCAGTACTCATTGATTGCTAGTAATCTACTTACAATAGATCCCATTTATTATAAAAATTAAAACATTTCACAAACAAAACAGTGCAAATAAGGCGAGGTGGTAGCATGTTACATCTGACAAGCTGTACTTCTCGCACTGATACGGGCTGTTACATCTAACTGTAAGAAAATTTAAAATGTTCTCGTCAATATTATGCACACTCCCGATCACCTGCTCCGTTGCTTATGGCGAAGGCCAATGCTAACATCAAAAGAAGCGGCAATCTATTGACGCTGAAACGCTCACGCCGTGAGGTGGTGTTTATTTATGGAAAACGCTTTTGTCAACCTTCTGTCACGGGAAATTTAACTTTGAGAGACACGGGAAACGACGTTATAAAAGAAAATGTATTGTACGACAGACCTCGCATGGTGCTGAAACGTAAAATCCGCGTTTCAAAGTGTACCTATGCATTAAAATCGATACAAGGTACACGCTAGAGAAGAAATATTACCATGCAACCAGAGGTTTATCGCTGTGGTTTATTAATTCGAAAGACGCCAGTCGTACAAATTTAATGATTTCAGGTTAATTATGTCTTAAACAATCCAGTATTTATAGGTTTCAAGGAGAAAAAAGGCGACCTGGTATGTGAATGGTAAAAGATGAAGTCACTTTTCAGCCACATTTGTCTAATCTGAAGTGGGACGAGGTTACGATTTAAATCGGAGCTTGAAATTGGCAAAAAAAGTTACTTGACAATATTACTCGTCTATTTTAATTCCCTTAAAGCATTTTTACCGAATGTATACAGGGTGCCCCGTTTATTCTTAAAAAAAATTGGGAGGTGTTGAAGCTGTTACTTTAGAAGGGGTTTTCCTTAATTATATTTAAATCAAACGCCTTTTAAAAATATTTAATTTATTTAATACCAATATCTTAATACCCGTAAACTATAAAAAAATCTTACATGCTTATCAGTACATTTAATAGGTACTGTTGAAGCTAAACACTTATAAATTGACATTGATAATACATTACACGTATTATCTTTTATCAACTGTACTTTTTATTAGTTAATACATAAATGCCGATGGTATATTTATACTGAACACAGAACTGCACTATGACTTAACTTGATTGGTATACACGCTTATCAGGTATTTCACAATTTTCTAGAAGCGATTGTAGTACACAAAACGATAACAATTATCGTTAAAAACTCATTACTATAGAAATCGTCTATTTTTATAAGGAATAACCAGGGGTACAATTCAAAATTTATAAAAATGTGTCACTAAAATTAGAACGAGAAAATATTCGTCACCGTTATCTCTTTTATTAACGAAATATAACCTCAATATTTGATAACCTTAGAAGGAGCTGAGACTTTGTTCTTCAAACAGAAACTAGTTTTTGACGATTTACTCAGTATATACGTGTTATATCAGTTTTTATATTGCGGTAAAAAACCTTGATTTGATAGATAAATCATTTACAATAAATATTTGCACTTTTCCATTATCTTAGCAAATATGTACGAAGTCCTGATAAGCAGCTTTATTAAATGGGAATATTTTTCTAAATATATTTTGCACATTATTTTTTGTGAGTATTAATTTTAGAATTAGTGTCAAATGTTCACTGTTTATAACTCGTTAGGATTCAGATTATCACACCATTATATTTCTAAATAGTTACTTCTTGCAACAGTTTTTCTCATGATTAAAAAATTCACGTGATAAATCTAATGCTGATGCTGTAACAACGCCCAAGCCTTTGGGAGAGCGAGTTCAACAAAATAAAAAATATATTCTTCCAAAGTAAATGGCGTTAAACTGGTATAAAAACCATGGCGAATTCGCTTTTCCACACGAAATTATGCCAATTACTCGGATTTCCTGTTAACGGCATTGTCACTAGGGACCATTTTGCCGCTGATAAACTAAACAATAAAAACACAGTTACAAGTCACCCACCTCCCATCTTTATGTATGCCGAACTGTTGTTCCAAACTAATTTGCATCTATGCTGGTCCGAACTTTACTCTGAATACTCAAATGTAAGAGTCTCAAACCCGTTTTACGTCTACAGATTGTTAATATGTTGACCCAATAAATGTTCAAGTATTCTACGTAATATGTCAAAGGTTCAAGAAATCACTGGCATAGAAATGATATTTTTTTATAAGCTATTCCTTTAGAAAATTAACCAAACTTATGCCCGAGCATATGCAACTGCAATAACAAATTTTTAACCTATTTAAATGCCCAACATTGTTTATTTTAGCATAAAACTAAATCAACTGAAATGAGCAGAGAACATAAGAGCACATGAAAAAATATATCGATCTACTAAAGCCAAGACCCCCTAAAGGGTAAAAATAGGTCAACCACGTCGATCCCTGCTCCATAAGGGGTAGAATAAATAAAAGTACACATTAACTTGTCAGATCAATACAAGAATAAAATGTTTTAGAATACAAGGCTTTCTTTGGAGCGGCTGTAGCTTTGTACTGTCCGTAAGGCTTCTCATACGATCATATTAAGTGACTCTGTCCCGGAAAAAGTCAAAGGGAACAATTAAAATTCGACCCGAAGCCGTTCTAAATCGGCGCCGCCCAAAAAGAAAGTACTTGGATTCCTGGAAGTATGTAAATAAACACTGATCAACGAAAATAAAACGTAAACGTATCCTTGGCTATTGCTCAACAATGTGCGACAATTATAGTTGAACTTTTATGTCACCGTTCTATTTTGCGAGATGAATGAATGCAGACGTTATCGTGGCCCACGCTAATTTAATTAACTGGCGCGGAAGGATAATATTCTACGGACTTTGAGGCTGACATCAGTGCCAAAATGACAATTATTCAACACGCATGATATGCGGTACCACACGAAGATTCGTCTTTCGCTAGAAAATGTAGTACATTATTAGGTATAAATGACTTGCATCTAGGTACAAGAAACAAAAAAACAAATGAATATTCAACGCCTACGTCATATGTCACAACAGTACTGTAATACAAAACATTTTGGGACCGCTGACTATTCTGGACACCTGACGAAATATCTGACCATTTAAATCTCGATTTAAATAGACCAAGGAAGCGCGTTTAACTTTTTTTTTAGTTTTTATAGCGACGAGTACAAAAGAACTTATACGTACTTTGGTTGGCTATTGATCTGTGAATTTAGGGAGATTTAATTGTTCCTCGCTTCTCGGCCTTTGATCGATAACTGAAAATGATTGATAGACAGCGGAGTATTGTACTGGCTTAAGAATTTTATATAGAGCTTTACGTAAGTTTCTCGTTAAATCTTCTCGATCTTTACTACAGACGATGATGCATACTAGACTTGTAATAAATAAAATGTAGCATGCCATACCACATCGATGACGACATTAACCAGATGTAATTGCCTTGAATGAGTTGTATACTATCGTTACATTATTACTACCAGGGGGTAACGAACGTTAATAACTTTTTACTTGGAGCTAGCCACCATTGTGTAACCAAAGATTAGAAATCGTCAAGTACGTGCGTAGTAAGTGGAATTTTGTGCAAATCACCGCAAAAAGAACGCAAAGATAGCTAGATTATCCATTATCCAATATATAGAACATTTATTAATTTTTTACAATGCTTTTTTCGTATCCGCATAAGTACATGTTTAAAATGATTCACGTTTTTCAAATTAGAATAATAACATTTTTTTTCGACCAGTCTAATAAGAATTGCAGAATCTTCCAAGTAGATACCTCACGAAATTTTTCTAAAATCGTAAAAATATTTAAATAAACATCCGACAGTAGAACTCATGATTAAATTTCTAATGAAAATAATATTTTTAAAAGTTTCTAAGCAACAAATTTATTTTTAAATAGCTACTTATATTTTTAATTAACTACAAGATTAGATACTCGAAAAAATGTTAGTCAAGGCCTCTACTTAAGTCGTTGGATAATTAAAATGTACTTAGTACCAGTCTATCTGTACAAAATGAGGCGTTTTTGGGTACTATCCAGTATACCAGTATACACCAAATTCAGGACACTCATTAGAACTATTAACATCAATCTTCTTACATTCCTATAAACTCACTTTTTAAAAGCTAATCATTTAGATCTTTACTTAAATAGTAGACTATTTACTATACTTATTCGGCTACAAAATACATACAAAAAAACTGGAGTTTTGGAACTGGAATAAATGTCAAGCATAAAACAAAATTGTGATGTAATGACATCACATTTGGAGCAGATGGCGTGACTCAGATGGCTTGAGAAAGATTTTCTTTTATTTTCTGACATATGCAGAGTTCCTTTTTATAGCTATTGTCATAAAAAAGTTATCAATAAGGTTAATATTGTCCCATATCTATAAAATAACATATAAAACGTTATGTAATGCAAGTATTTAATCTATACTCAAAGTACATCAATGATTAATTATTATTATCGCTGTATATTTTGTAATACCTAAAGTAATTAATACTCCAATTATAAATATCTCGATCTGCATCATGCTTTAATATTAAAAGTTTTAACACTGAATAAGTTTATTCTTTTACCCAGTAAGTGCTGTACCTCGTTAAAATAAATAATGGGTCTTATGTAACAGGACTGTAACTCGTTATCTTGTTAACACATAAAATAACAATTTGTTTAACGTATCATTATAAAAAATTCTCACAGAGAAGTACATATCACAAACCACGTAACTTTAATTAGTATCTACGGTATTGAGTTTTCAAATTTACAAATACATAAACATTATATTATGTTTAACTTGTAAAAATGAAATACTTCAAGGTTGTCCTCTATAAAACGATGAGTCACAAACGCATCACTGATATTAATAAACAGAAGAGTGGGTAAAAGGTTTTTTATTCAATTACAGTTACCCATGGTAATTTTTATTACTTAATTATTTTAAAATTGATAACCTACTTACAGCAAACTTAAATTACTGTTTTAAATAGACAACGGTAATGTGTAGCTGTAGACTAAATCAATACCTACGTTGAATTTTCAGCTACACTAGGTGTATTTCATGTAAGAAAAAGTAAATAAAATCAGTACCCATTTAAACAGAAGTTTAAATATACCTAGGCGTGTTTATTATTTATAAAAGGAGAGAAATTATGTCCTAACTCGCTGCCTACACACTGCATCTGTTTTTTACTAAACGACCCGTTTTTGGGTTCAGTGACATTTGGGGCTTAAAAAACTGTGTCAAGAATTTGAGTGTGGTTAAATGAACAATTAGTTATCTTTTCATAAGATCCTACCTCTTATATCATAATTCTTATGTTACGCAACAGCAGAGTAGTAAGAATACTTTCATTATTACGAAGAATTTGATTCCTAATTATCTAGATTTTGTAGTGGTTACACCTATCGCGGCCATTTTCAAGCCGTATACACACACTGAAGGATACACCCGACTGTAAATACATGATTCTAAGACTCACCTCTATGAATATCAACTAATTATGTCGATTTTCCACTTTCCCTGCAGAGAAAAACTAAAAGTTTTTACAATAAACACAGTTTTTTCATTCACTTATTCACTAACCCACAGTCGAAACGCCCTGCATGACAGCTAACTTCGAGTACTCTGGGCGGCATGCGCAGAACCAGACAATACACGCCCCGATTTAAATATCTGGCGCCTTGGGATGTGTTGCCATCCATGATTATCGTTCTTCGTATCTTGTCAACAAATGAGGTGCTGCCATTTATATAGATTTTATTATACAAGTAGATATATTACCTATAAACTTTATTGCGAAATAAAAACATCCCTTAAATCGTTTTTCATTTGCATTAACCAAATTAAATGGTTTTCACAGTTTTCCCTTGTTGTAAAAAGAGGTTCCCTATTCTTAAACAATATTAGTAGAATGTATTGTACGGACAACACAAAAATTTTTAGAGAGAAAAGGCAATAGTTTGGGTACTCGCTCTCTCTTTCTAACCGTTGTGGAAAAAATTACGTTAGCCAATCAAGTGCCTGCGCAAGCGAACTATCACTTTTTCTCTGTCACTCGTTTACACCCTGGTTACACTGTCGCCGAAAGCTTGTTCCTCTATACAGTGTATGCTCGAAGTACATTACAGGACGTAGATCTAAAGTATGAAATTTGTAGTTCTAATGTACCTATTCGGTAACCTGATAAAATTAGTAATAGTCCTCTTATAGCAAAGTAAAATAATTGGTAAAGTACCGAAAATAAGAAATGAATAATTATTGTTATCAATTGGTGATACATCGCTGAAGGTGAGTGCCAAATTTTAAAAATATTTTCGGAATAGAAACATATAACCTCTTTACGTGTTACTTTTGACGTATCATGTTACGGTAGATTATTAATCTAACAAAAAATTCTATAGATTATTTAGTGCGCACAAAGCTGTAACAGTACTTGGCCAAAAAAAAAAAACAACCAGATCGACGATTAGAAATAAATTTCTAATATGGCTGAAGCTGAACAGAGCGATAAAAATATCCCTGCATCCCACAGAAGACCATATCATCAAAATAGACCAGGTTCTTCATACAGAGGAAGGGGCAGGGCTAATGCTAGTGTAAGCAAAGCTCTCCATTTTTTCGGGGTGAGGGACCTCAGAGAAATTCTCGATCGGAAGCATCAAGATGAGGATCAGGTAATATAAATAGCTTATGGTTAATTCGTAAGACGTTTTGTTTATTTAATTTCTTGTAGACTAAAAGTGGACCCCCTCCAGATCCTTCATACAATTATTTGAAAGATCCTTCGAGGGAAAATGCGAATGAACACCAGAGCCACAGATATAGGGTAAATAATTTTATTGCTAAGGACGTACTATCTATACATGAAATGATAAAATTGTGCTTAATCTATAAACAAGTTTATAAATTAATCAACCTGATAATAGTATCTAATGTTTATTTTTTGTTTGAAAATCTAATATTTAGCAAACAATTCTTTTAAATATTGATATTATAAAATGTATAACTTGCTTTAAAGGAGAGAATATCAGGTGATACTTACCCAAGAGGACATTACTTCAGAGGATCAAGAGGAAGAGGTAGGGGTGGTGGTTCATTTAGGGAAAACCGACAATATGAATCGGATAAACCCTCTTTCATACAGAATCCAGTAAACATAAAAGTTGAGGTGATTGCCTCTACCGGAGAGAGGAACTGTCAGTTAGACGAAGAAACTAAAATAGCAGATATTAAACACATTCCCAACTACAAATTGAAGGATTTGAGACCTAGGAATGAAGATGGTGCTGGGAGAGATTTCAACGATAGGTACGGATATGAGCGGGGTAGGGGCAGGGGACAAAGGGGTAGACGAGGCAGAGGTAGAGGTGAAAGAGGAAGAGGGAGAGGACAAGGCAGACAACCAAACAGAAACAACGAAAGTGATCAATTGCAACAACAAACCAGCAAAAATGCTTCCAAAGAGAAATCTGCAGATACTCCTGTTGAAAATGAAGAAGGAAAAGAAAGCGGGGAAAATCACGAGGAAGATTATACAGAAGATCCAGAACAGGAAGATGAGGGCCCGGAGCAATACTATGAAGGTGAAGAAGAATCTTGGGAAGTAAACGAACAAAACCAGTCCCTTGACGAAGCTGCTGGACAAGTAGACATAAAACTAGATGAAAATTTGGTCGTAACGTCTTCAGAAAATGAAGAAAAGCGTAAAAGAACAGTTCAGTTTAAACTCGACGATACGCGAAGTGACCAGGCAGCGAAGGAAGATTTAAAAAAAGAGGAAAGAGATGTTAAAAAGGACACACCTCTAAAGGAAGAGGATAAAAAACTTGATAAGTAGAAACGATTTTGCTCTTTAGATTTTGCTCTTTTGCTGAAATATTTTGTTTTACTTAATTCATATATTTTATTGTGATGTATTTATGTTTTTATATTGCGCTTTTATCTTTACGAACTTATTTAATTTTTTATTTTACAATATTTTACGAGCATACAGACTAAATGAAATGTATCGGTTGAGAAAAATGGAAGGAGAAATAGTATGGTTATACTGATAAGTAAAGTATAAATAACGACAGTACCGGTGGTCGCTAGTGAAATTCAAAAAATCATATTTTGACCGCCTCCAATTTAATTTTTGTTTCTTAAAATTTTAAAATTTTTCCATTACGAAAATTCTCTAATAGGCCTAGAAACCATCTAAAAAACAATGTGGATCCCACGCTTCATTATCAGAATATGACCGTGTTCATTTTCACCAGCTGCTACTGCAGTACAGGATATTAAGAAAAGGAAAATATAAAAAAAAATATAAAAACTTATTCTTCTTTGAAAAGCAAAAAAAAATTTGAAAAAAAGTTTTTCTAGTGCTCATTTAGAGTAAAAATATGCAAACAAAATGTGTTGAAATGTGAGTTACAAAGATTGAATCGTTTAGACATGACTTGGTTCACTTTTTGTTAACTCTCATGTAAGTAATTTTTCGAGTTTGCTTTGTTATTAAGAGACTAAGACTAAAATACGTAATGTTTTGTGTAGTTTTTAAAAGTCTGATTCGGACAACTAATAAGAGCTTAATAATTGCCTTTAAAATGTGCTTTATCAACGAGAGGAAACTGTTAAGTGGATAACATTATTTATAATGAATTTATTTATGTATACAATTTATTATTCTATTATTGCGAATTGTTAATCATAAACTTTAAATATAAAATATATTTATACTTCCGTTGAACATTTTTTGAATTCCTTTCTTATTTCCTCGCACATTGCATCGTTCAAGTTGTTCTAAAACAAACAAGTTTATTTACGCAATAGTGCCGTGTATCTGGTACACACCTTTAAGGCTTGGGAGTAGCATAACTCTGCTTGACTGAGCCTGTTTAGTTTCAAATTAATTATGGTCAAATATCCCCAATACTCGGGGCATCGGTTGTCCTTAAAATTTGCCTCCGAGAAGCACTCTTCCGCGCTTAATAAATCGTTGTCCTGAAAGTTAAATCAAATTACAATTTTGTTAGACAAATATTCCAATTTGTCCTTATAAATTGACCTTTTATAGAAACCATGTTGGCTACTACACCGATCGAAATAACTCGGAGAAAAATAAAAATAAAATTGTTACCTGGTCTTTTATAAGTGAAAATGGTAAAGGGGCTTATAATCAACGAAAAAAAAATGAATGTGTGAGCAGGGGCGGCGGAGGGTTGATTTGGGGAGTTGATAACTTGTGGAAAATTATATTGGGATTTCTGGCGAAAGTTGACGTCAAACAAAAAAGTATCCAATACAAAAGTTGTAGATCATGTAAAAATTTACAACCTTTGTAGAGGTCAGGTCACTTTTTAAGATAACCTCAAAATTTTCGAGAAAAATGCGAAAAACAGGTTTTTTCTGATTTTTCGTTTTTATTTCTCATTTCCGTAAAAATAATTTAATTTTGACGAAACTTGGTGAAAGTATGCCTTTCTGTGTCTTAAATAACCATAAATTTTTTTAGATAAAAAAATCAAGAAGTTTCCGAGATATTCATTTTTCTGGTCTGAAACACTTTTTCTTCACAGAAAAATTCTACTTAGAAAAATCATCGTACAGAGTTCTGCCGGTGATTATTTTTTTCGTTTTGACATATACTTTTTGGTGAAATAAAAAAATCTGTAATATCAGTTCAAAAACACATTTTATTTTTTTTGCATTTTTGAGCATGTTTTTCAACTGTGATTACAGATTTTTTTATTTCACCAAAAAGTATATGTCAAAACGAAAAAAATAATCACCGGCAGAACTCTGTACGATGATTTTTCTAAGTAGAATTTTTCTTTGAAGAAAAATTGTTTCAGACCAGAAAAAATGAATACCTTAGAAACTTATTTTTTTATCTAAAAAAAATTGTGGTTATTTAAGACGCAGAAAGGTGTCACCAAGTTTTGTTAAAATTCAATTATTTATGCGTAAATGAGAAATAAAAAACGAAAAATCAGGAAAAAAGCCGTTTTTCGCATTTTTCTCGGAAATTTTGAGGTTATCTTAAAAAGTGACTTCTAAAAAAGTTGTAGTTCTTTGCATAATCTACAACTTTTGTATTTGATACTTTTCTGTTTGACGTCAACTTTCGCCAGAAATCCCAATGATACAATTTTTCACAACGTTTCAACCCCCCCAAATCAACCCTCCACCAACCCTGCTCACGCATTAATTTTTTTAGGTTTATTATAAGCCCTTTTACCATTTCCACTTATAAAAGTCAAGATAACAATTTTTTTTCTTCAAGTGTAAATTTTTAATGTAATTATACAGGGTGTAACCTTGAAAGGGGGTCATATTTATACAACTTTTAGAAACACCTAGGTCCGTTTTCTCAAATTTCGTCCTGGAAATAATTTTATTACAAACGTCTTTTTGTCAGCCGATAAATTGCAACTAAAATAAATTATGCCAATGTAATTTACAGTTACAAAACTATTTTTGAATGCACTGTGTTTAGTTTGTGAATCTATGTCAATGACCCGTACAGTTGGCGAGATGTCCAGTGAAGGCGTAGACAAGAGTTTAAGTGCAGTTTAAAAAAACTAATTAGATTTAGACTATTTTAAAGAATATAAGACTGATTCCTCCTAACTTAAAGTTAAGATGTCGTGGACGAAGAACTTGAGCATTTTACTAAGTATTGGCAAATACCTGAAAATATAACAGCCCCGCTCTGTACCAAGTATAATGAGTGGGGCTGTGCTTGCAAGCCAACAAAATCAGTTTCCGTGCGTCCTGGCGATTCCCAGAATCGTCTAGTATTTGGGCGCAGTTGATATACACCATATGTATATCGTCCGGTCTATCGAGAGATTCTAAAACATGATAATAATCTTCTTGAGCTTCAGGTAGCCTGCTGAGAGCGTAGAGGCAGTGCCCGGACAATGACGAAACAGCGTAATCCTATAAAATTAATTAATCAGATGTATTTCAGTTGATTTAACATCTCCCAATAGTTTGTTAGAATTTAAAGTTGACTCAATTTTTTCTATTTCTCTTACTGGTCCACAATACGCCTTGGTAAGTTGAATGTGTTCCAATGCTTGTTCGTACAGTTCCTGATACAGACATACAGCCGATAGTAGATAATGGGTAATGCCGAAATGTCTTTGAACTTCTTGAACCAATGCCATTTCTACCCACTGTAACCACAAAATTGTAAAAATAATATTGGATAATTATTCATGATATAAAAAAAAAATTACTTCGTAAACTCTCATTTTTAATAGAAGAACTGCAGTGCGAAAAAACATCGTTTTAGGGCAAATTTTAGACGTCCAAAGTAAATCCTCCATTTCACTAAAATAATCGCTTGTCGTCCTTTCGTCGTCTAAATATTTTTTTACCATATCCATGGCCATGTCCATTCCTTCGTATATGTCGATTTTCTTATAAAATAGAAAGAGGGAAACCCAACCTAACGACAAGATGTGTTGCAATATTCAAATCAAAAACTATTAATTATACCATACCTTCCACCCATCGTGGTTGGTACACTAACAGATTTAAAAAACACGTTTCAGCTTCGTTCCGCTGTCCTTTGTCGGCCAACATGATGCCCAGAAGAAGAAGGCTGCAAGTATACAAAGATGTTTAAAAATGGAGAAAATGCTTCATGTATTAACCTGTATCGATGAGACCGTTGCTTCTCTAACGCTATTAACACACACTCGTATGCTCTGTCGGGCTGCTTAATTTCTAAGTTAAAAACTGCATAATCGAACCAGCTATCGGGATTCTGCAATTCGTTGTAGCAAATTATCTAAAAGCGGTACATGTGCTTAGAAAACTGACACTTCATATTAATTCTTTTATGTACTTACTTCTAAATAATATCTGTCGGCCAGCTCTCTTTTTCCTAACGCAGCCGCCTCTTTTGCGTAAAAATACAATTTATCCGCAGGCTTCGGTTTTGGAGTGACAACGGGTTGCAGTCCAGTACAAACGAGTCTGTTTAAGGTGTCATTCATTTCAGAAACTAGGTATACAAATACTTCGCCGATAAAATTCTGGTACAGGTGCGAATTTTTCTTGTCGGTTTCGTTGATATGGAATTTGGTCGTTATAACGACAGAGATTGCCTCCTTTATGGACGTCAAGTAGGTCTGGTATGCACCCACGCTTTCCAAGTATTTAATAAAGTCTTTTTCTGCAAAAAGTTGCCGTTCGAAACTTAAAAGTTTAAGGATATGTCGGTTTACCTGCAACAGTACTACTTTCTTTCTCTTTTAGGGAGGTATACTGTTTATATTTGTCGTATATGTCTTTTGTAATTTGGTTTAACACCGCTTTGTAATAGTCTTTACTAACGTGTTGGGTTAAAACGACTTTATGGGAGCTGTCCTTTTTGTCTTCCAGTAAACTCTGCAATCTATCCAATTTTTATTAGTGCTTTGAAAGCATAGAGTACTTTTTACTGATTCAAGTTTTAAAAAGCCTTTTTGGATATTGAAATGTTGACTTACTCATTCTCTAGGTCTTCCACGTCTCGCTTTTTAAAAATAGGTTGGGACAGTTCTATTTCTACGGTAATAAAAGTTGGTTTTCCATTTTCACTATATACGGGAGTACTCGGTTCTGGTTCTGGGACGGGTTCGGGTGGCAATGGTAAAAGCTAAAACCAAGAGGAAAATTAAATGACTTATTTTCTAAGTTGGCTTTTTGCTCACTTGCTGTAAATCTGATTTTGCCTGGGAGAGTCTTTTAGAGTCTTTCTTCGTAGATTTCGAGTACTTCGAAGCAGAAGATTTTTCCTTCTTCTTTGACTTTTCAGGTTTTTTATCGTTTTTGGGCACTTCAGGCTCTGGTACCACCACTTCTTCCGTAACTTCTGGTTCTCGCGGTTTTGGTACAAAATATGAATCGGTAATACCAGTTTCCTTAAGAGCCTCATGGAAATTGAATGTGGTTAATGGACTCGCTACTCGAATTTTTGATACTAAAATTAAATAAAATAAAAAAATTATATCCTGTTATTAAGTTTATCTTATTCTTTCTGAAATATTGTTGTTGTTCATCAGAATACCTCCTGGATAAAGCAGTGATGAGACATCTACAACTGTCATGAGGTGTAGATTTTGCAATTTTTTTCTTGCATCGGGTGGTTTCTTAGAATAATTAACAGACCATAAAGATGTACTAGATTTATCCCTACTTAATTCAACCTCGGTGTCCGAAGTCTTCGCACTTGATTTTAACTTCTTTATAAGAAAATTAAAAGTAAATTTTACATATAAGCGCTTGTAACTATTATACTTTACCTCTTTAGAACACACCAAAATCTCCAACAAAATTTTTCGATAGCTTTGAACTTGGTGCGAAAAGGCAGTCATTCCGTCTCTTAATAGGAGATTCCTTTTCAAAGTGTTAAAACTTACCAAAGGGTTACTTTCTTCTATGCAGCTATCGATGTTATCAATTCCAGTGGTATTTTTAATGGTATCTTCACTGACTCTAAACATACGATCTATTACAGCACATTTTGAAATACAGCACATAACTCAATGTTAAAAAAAAGGGCGTTTGGAGATTTCTTTTTTAAGACACAATAAACCGCGGCATGCGGCTTAGCCATATTTACAAAAACGCATTAAATAATTCAACAATATGAATTATGAACAAGGGAAATTTATAAGAATGTTTTTAAAATTTTTTTTGGAACCCACAATTCAAACGTGTCATTGTTTTTTTGGAAAATTACATTAGAGATTTGTATAAAAGATTATTTGGAGACACGAGGAAAATTAACACCCTGATCTCAAATATTAGGTTTTCAACGGTAGATGTTTATATGAAAAATATTGTGTTATAGCCTGCTACTACTGAATTATACATACTTGTATTTTGTTGTATTAGCATCGATACAAATTTTTTTAATACCGGGCCAGCTTTTCATGACGTTTTTGTGATATTTTGAGTGAAAAGAGGGATTTCCGAAGAGTATCGCTTCGCTAGACTAAAAATGAGAAAACTGTTGTGAAAAATTATTTCCTAAAGTTACAAAATTGTACAGAATTCTCCATAGGAAGCATGGCGCATATCTTATAATCCATATCTGGTTTCATAACTGACGGAATGTTGAAAAGAGACTCTACTGTAAAGTTAAGGATTGTAGTGTGGGGGAAACATATTTCTTTATCAATCGAAACAGTTACGGTGATTTTTGGACGAATTTTGTAAGTGATCATGCGCTCATCGTAAAATAACTCCACAGGATTTATCATCAAAGTTTCTGTGAAACTGGACTTTCCTAAAAGTTTAAGATTACTTAACGGTATTCATTTCTGTTCATTTTAAAATCACGTATTACCGTAAAATAAAGGCAAAAAGTCGATGACACACATTCCATATGTTGTAGGTTTCGCATCTAGGGACAGAGAATCAACGCTGGTCGACTCGCTTATTTTTTGCTTTTGCTTTTTTGAAGTGGCTTTAGGAGATTTTGTTGGCTTAGAGCTTTTATTAGCTGCACTCTTCTTCTCTTTTTTCTTTTCCATTTTCTTCATTCTAGCTACCGCCTTTGTTTCCGCTGCGTCGACGATATCGCGATCCACCGTATCTCCAGTCAATGCTTCATATATGCTAACGATACTTTCGAACGACTTGGCAGAACCGACATGCTTTGTATTCTCGCACAATTGCAGTTGTTCGTATAGTCCCGGATCGCAGGTCCCAGCAAATTGCAAAACGGTTACTGGAAAATTTCAGGAATTGACAATAAGATCCGTGCTGTAAATAATTCTTACACAGGGCAGGTGATGAAATTAGATGGTCGCTGTCTTTCTTGCAGTTTATATTTATTTTGAAAGTGAACGTTTCATTTATAGGTAAGGTTGGTTCGTCTGTTATCGGCAAGAGGGACGTTTCTCCCAAGTTTCGATCTAGGTACTTGCATCTGGTTTGAATGTCTGCAGTGGGATGCAGTGGAATCTGGAATTATTAATTGCGGAAACAATTGCTTTGTCGGGTTATTTTATATAAGCCACAAGATTTAATTTAAGCTTCTCATAAAACATCCGACAATCTGTTCAAAAAGTTAAAAATTCTGTTTTATGAAAAGTTTAAAGTCTTTTAGTAAAATCAGTTACTATATTCTGATAGTAGTCCAAAGTAATCGTAACCGTCCTCATATCTTTCTCTTTAACTTCGTTTTCGTCCTTGGTCTCATCCTTGTATTCTTGGATACTTTCCTCAGTTTTTCCTTCGCCATGTTCTTTTTTCATAACTTGATGGGACTCCTTCCGTCTAGTTTTTTCCATTCTCAGTAATTAAAATGTCCTGTCAGTTGTCACCGGTACAACAAACTAACTAGATATAGATAATGAACATAATCGGAGAGATCATGTCCTCTTTGTATTGCTCCACCGCTGCCTTGATTTAGACTGCGAACAATATACAGGGTGTTCGAACGGGCCATAACTCAACGATAGCTTCTTTGAATGAAAACAAACTGTTTTGAATTAAGTTAGCTTACAATTTTACTTCCTATTCTATTCATTAAACTTTTTTACGATTTAGCTAAACCTATCCTTACTCAGAAGTCGACATTTACTAAGAATGTAAGTCTTTAAATACTATTTGGTGGACTATATTCAGAGAACATATATCGATAGATGTTGACTTTTAAGTAAAAAAAGAAACAATGGTCACAAATTTTCAAAAAAAATTTAGAATCAGTTTACGATAACTTTAAATATTTGGCTTTCTTACCTTACAATACTTTCGTACTGTACCTATATTTTCGAGCGACTTCTAAAAAATAAATATCAACTCTACTAATAATTTTTTTTTCATTGAATTTGATGAACACTAGAATAGAAATAAATCACAATATACTTAAATTTTAAAAAATTTAAAAATTGTAGATACATATTTGATACAGTGTACCAAATTTTGCATCGAGAAATTTTTTAAGTGTCGTGATTTATTTCTATTCTTTTGTTCATCAAATTCAATAAAAAAAATTATTAGTTCTTTTTTTAAAGATAAAATAATTATGAGTGACCTTTAGAAATTAAAATATCGATTTGAAATTTTCAGAATCGAGATTTTTTTCAACATAGAAAATGAAAAAATAACGAGAAAAAAAATTTAAAAAAAAATTCAATATTGACGGAAATTTTTTAAAATTTTGAGTGATCTCTAAAAAATTTTTTTTGAGCTCATTTTTTGAGGGGGCTCTTAAAACATGATAAACTAACATTTTCACAAGAGACACGAAAAAAATATTCATTCTTTTGGGCCACCCTAATACTCGTACATACATTTTCGATGGAGAAAAGAAAATTGTAAAATATATATTTTTAAATATTCTTAAAAAACTCCTCATTTCTATTTATTTTAATATCATATGTATATATTGAAATTGTTGATGATTCTAATGTTTATTTTTTCTACTAAGATTGCCATTATCTCAAAAACTATTAATTTGACATGATTTCTCCTGAGGACCTTTTTTGTAGTGAATTAAATTTCTTATAAAATAGATCTTTAAACATTCACTATTTATCTATAAAAAACAGAAATATTGTGAAAAATATAAATTTTTCTACCAAAATTGCCATTATCTCAAAAACTATCAATTTGACATGATTTCTCCTAAGGACCTATTTTGTAGAGAATTGAATTTCCTATAAAATGGATATTTAAACAACCACTTTTTATCTATAAAAAAACAAATATTGTGAAAAATGTCAATTTTTCTACTAAAATTGCCATTATCTCAGAACTTATTAATTCGGCAGATATCTTCTAAGGACTTTTTTTTGTAGAGAAATAAATTTCCTTTAAAGGTAAGTACAAAAAAAAAATTTCTGTGACTAAACTTTGACGAAATTTGGCGAGCCTGATTTCAACCTAAATTTTTTTCCTTTCGCATACATTTTTTTTTATGCATAATGAACAATATATTTGGTATTAATAATAAAAAATCAAAAAAAGTGGACTTTCGGCCCACCCTAATGTACATAAAATTGAGTTGGGGAGAAGTCCAGTGACGGCGTAGACAAGAGTTTAAGTGCAGAGTAAAACACCTCATAAAGAAACAAAATTTTACTATTTATTTAAATCAATTTATTTTCATCCAAAGAATCTAGGTACCCTTGGAATAGTTAATAATAAAAATCCTCTAAAATTGAAATATTTATTAAAACAATATAAATCTACATCTACAGACTAGTACTTGGTCAAATCAATTTGTACTTATTTCAATTCACGGCTCAACAATAATAAGTATGTATTACAAGAAAAACACAATACATTCAAGAATATATAAAAAATAAAAAATATAGTCATATATAAACCTCTGCTTAAAGATATGTGCAAAATTTAATAGCACTTATTTTTAAAACTCTCGATCATCAATTAATGTCTATCTGAAAAGAAACCGAGATGCTTTATGATCGCTGTTTTAAAACAGTGTTTTTGTTGCAAATTGTTATCCTCCTAACATAATCAGGTATCAAAGAGCACCAAATTTTGGAATAAAAGCGTTTTCTCCACAAGGCAACTTAAAAAAATGTATTAAATCGAGACCTCTTCCCCTGACGTCCGCATAAAAATATAAAATATAATCTCATATCTTATAACCAGCCTTATGTACTTTTGCCGGTTGACTAGAATTTACGGTGCCATAATTAACGACTAATTCGTCAGAATCGTTTTGGTAAAAGCCCGGATTGGGCGCGCTGTGTGCCCCCCTCGGAGATACTAAACTTGAATACTCGTCGTCTCCTCTTGGAATGCTGTACATGCTCCTTCCCCTTATTCTTCTGCTGATAGAGCTACCTGTACGGTAAAGAGACATGCATAATTGTATTTGAAGAACAAAATTACAAGTAACTGGAAAATAACATTAATTTTATTGTAATTTTCTTTATACGCATATTATTAACGAAATTATTTTATCAGAATCATTTTCCATGGTTGAAATATAAACTTATTAATTTGACTTAAACGTTCGACGTAGAATGCTTCATTTTGGAGATAGATGGTATTTAAATTTAATCTAGGAATGTTCGATGTAGACCAATGAATATTATTTATTTAAAGTTAAAAATTCACCAAGTGACAGAGACACTAGCTTTCTAAATCTCAAAAAAACATTAATTATGCTCAAAATCGCCACATTGCATATTGATTTTTTATATCTGAGCCCCTATGGATTTTGTCAACTTAAAAGCTTAAACAAACAAATTAATCTAATCATTATCGGTAGAGATATACTAAATAAATAGATTCCTTCAATTCGTCCTGATTGTATAAATTCATAATATGACATAATGTACATTTTACATATTTTATATTTAAATAAAAAATAATGGAAACGATAAACAACTTTTTTTTAATAACACTTACTGACTATGCCCAAATGTTCGCGAATATCCGTGTGGACGTCAGATATGTCCCACATCGCTAAAAATGCCGCACAACAAGACTGGTTCTGCAAACCGGGTCTCACGTACGGCTCGTACGAAAAACTGTAGTGGTGGGCTATGGCGGCCAAACACATTTCGATGCATATTAGAAAATCCTAGAAGGGAAAAAGTTGTTAACCTGTAAGACGACTGCGACAATAAAAATACCTGCAATCTAGTGGATAAGCTCAGACCGTCATCGGGGCTATTGGGGCCTGGCACTATTATATTTAAGTAGACCAATAAATCGATTAGGACTCCTTGGCTAAAAGATATAGTTGCATGAAAGAAAAACGTCAAGCACAAAATGTGTTATTGCTGTAACAAATCTCATACTATAGTTTTTCAAGCCAGTTAAGAAACTGGTTACTTACAAAAAAGAGAAGAACACCACGGCTTTGATGCACAGGAACTTTGGTAGAGGCTTCATAGGCCTTAATTCCGCAAGGCTCGCTTTATAGAACATGACCAAGCAGTACATGGCAACAAATTGCGATACATTATTGACAGCCACCAGATAGGGAAATGCGACATTTGCTTTAAACTGTCCTTCGCCATACACATCAAATACTTTGCAAAGGCTAAAATATTGAAAAAAATGTATGATTTGGGAAATCAAGTGTGTGCAACGAATAAAGAGAAAAACACGATTCATTTATTTATTGGTTGCACCATATTGTTAAATCTTATAAAAATTATGTATTGATTCAGGAACAAGTTGAGACAAAATCAAATAAACTCGTAGCAAATAGCATCAAAGATAATTAAGAATAATCACTAATATTTATCATAAATAAAAATAAATATGTACTTACAACGAAATGGCTGTCGTTAAGGGTCTCACTACAGTATACTGCAATATTCCATGTTTACAAATGTGTACAAATTCCCTAAAATAAATGTGCAAGTTAAAATTACCTTCAGAATACAACCTAACATTTAATAATATTTTAATAGTAGGTACCAAGTAACAATTTTTCTTGAACGAATGTCCGAATCTCTAACTTTGTTAATAATACGATTTCTCAATTAATAATTAACATTCTTACCTGCCCATTTCCCAATCTGGTAGACAACACAGCGGAAATATATGTTTCACTTGTGGTTTCAGTTCTAAACTTGCTTCAAGATCCATTTCCATGTTCAGATAGTTTAAAAGAAATTTCATAAAATTGTATATAACATAAGCTTCATAGCATTCTCTCAAGCTATCCACATAAACAGATTCTTTCGGATATATCAGACCAACCCACTAAAAGAAAAGGCATAACTATCAAATTAATAAGCGTTATGTGCAATGCAAGAGTTGTAAATTCATCGCACACAAATCCTTTGTTTTACTCACTGCATTTATTGCATAAATTGGCACCATCCATAGTATCCTAAAAAACAAACTAATTAACAAGTATTTTATTTTAAAATAAATGAACGTACCGTATAATATGTTTCTGCAACTTTGGTTGGGTGTAATGGATAACATGTAATATTATCTCCCATAATGACAAAGGAATGGCAACCCAAACAAAAATTCCACCTATTAAAATTTCCTGGTCGTGTTTATTAAAACCGTCTTCCAAAGATTTTACGAGAAATAAAGGTACAAATACTAAAGCAGCTAGAGCATATAGAAAAATAAATAATGGTCTAATCCATAACCTCCATCTAGATAAACATTCCATACATTTCGCTAAACACATTTTTATCAAATCACATAATTTAAATCACTTTTTTTATAAACTAACCACTGATACGCTTTCTCTAATTGTAAATTAAATTATTAAACAGCGACAGTACTCATCTGGTTTCAGTTGTCAACAAATTACGTCACAAAACAAATAATCTACGTTTCGTCTTCTTCTCTCTGTAGTTATTGAACTACTGAATACAAAAAATAAAGGCTTATTTACACCATTGCAACGAGTAGAAAAATTCTGGCAATGAATTTTATACAATTTCCTTACCAGTAGTTTCTATTTATTTGTGATTCTTGATAAAAACAAACTGTTACTAATTCAAAATTATTTAATAAATAAATAGGTTAACAATCGTTTGGATTCTATGAATCAAAATAAATAACGGTTAATAGAAAAATAAATATAATCAATAATAGCACACATACACACACAGCTTGCTCGTTGTAACCATCATAAACTTATATCTAGAAATCGCTTAATATTTCATTTTCATCTTTGCGGTTAATAGGATCTCCTTTTAACAGCGACACGATCATACTGAAAAAGAATATCAATAAATGAGAAGAGAGACATTATTTCTGTTAAAATTTACGTACCAGTATAAATAAATAAAGAAAAATATGAGATAATACCCTAGGTTAACCATACAATCCCTCATATGCCTTTTCAACTGGCCTCGGTTATGAATTTCTGTAGGATCATAAACTCCAAGATTTCCCCTGGGTACTGAGATCACTTCATAAGCCATCCATCCAGCCATGGGCAAATTTACAAACATTAGGATCCAATGTCCATGAATTAGCAACAGAAAACTCAAAAATATGTGAGCTATAATTTTTGGCAAGACCCATTGGTTCAATCGTGAGCAACATTGTTGTGCATTTAAATAATCACATTCTAAGTCAGAGAGAGTTATTATCTACATTATTTGTTAAGGTCAACGTTTTAGTCTAGAAACGGCTTCTCAATAATAGATGTTACATTTACTACAACGAAAGTACGACACTAAAAGGATACAAAATATACCAATAAAAATAATATAGCTCCTGTGTCTGCTAGGGATATAGCAAATAGTAGAGAGTCCTCCAAGATCATCCTTACTAAGCTGTAGAGCTTAGTAAACAAGCCACTAATACCGCTGTTCTAAGTGCATAAACAAAACACGAAAAATTCTTATCTGCATCAGTCCTGTACAATAATTTTCAATTTATTAATTATAATTATATAAAATCATGACAAATACACGTTTTAATTGTATTTTAAATACAAATTCAATCGAGATGTGATTGTGGTGTTTGAGTATAATAATTTGACATATCAAAATAAGTAAGAAATAAAGGTGAGCTCAAATAACTTAAAGGTTAGGTTCGGAACCAAGACTTATGTATGCAATGCGTTCCTTTCAATAGTAATAAAGCTCATGGGCTTGAAAATACGAGCGGTTATTGGCTCTTTACACAACTATGGGATTGTGGGTAAACTATTAGAGGTTGCTGAGATTACTATCTTTGACCTTTGTTATGATTCTAGAGAAAAAGAGATAACTGCCAGTTAAATCATTTTTTGAAGAGCAGAAAGCAACCACATTTTTGATTCCATGAACGTCATGCCCACTAAAAGGAACGCAGTTATCACCAATGATCTTACCTTCAGGATATGATCTTGATTTTATAAATTGATTATTTCCACATTTTGACAGCTGTCAATCCTGTCACGCTGTCAGCGGTTGTCACAACAAAGTAAAAAGTAGTGAAAGTAAAGCATAAAATTTCTTTTAGGATGAAACCACAGCATATTATTCGTTTTCTGAATGAAAAAGATTTCAGTTAATTCTTGTATAATTAGATAAGTACGTACGTAAAATACTTATGAATTAGACAACATGATCGTGAAAGATCCTTGTGGGATAGTGTGTGTATTAATTACATACTTGGCAATATTTTATGCCGATTATGTCATAATAAAATGGGTTGTTTTACAAACCATGGTGGATAGGTATAGATTTCAATAACTGTATCAGCACATTTATAAGTAAATCATTGGTTTCCAGTTTATGGGGTACCTTTAATGTGGTTATGTTCAATACAGTAATATTCCTCCTTATGATTGCCCATATAAAAGCAGTGCTGACTGATCCTGGAACTATTCCCCTTCCACAAAGTAGAGTCGATTTTTCCGACATACACTCCTCCGATTCTGGTAACTAACATGATATACGCAATGTATGTGAAAAATTAATACTGGTATTATTTTAGGTTGTGATTTTGTAAACTGGACAGTTTGTGCGAGGTGCGAAACGTACCGACCACCAAGAGCGCATCACTGTCGAATATGCCAAAGATGCATAAGAAGGATGGACCACCATTGCCCCTGGATTAACAACTGCGTAGGGGAGAGAAATCAGAAATATTTTATACAGTTTTTAGTATATGTTGGTAGGTAAATTATGTAAAAGAATTAAGGAAAACACAATCGTCTTCAAAGTTAGGGTGCTAAACACATCTACAATTATGTTACAGGAGCGCTATCAGCGTATGCAATAACTTTGGTGGTGATATCGTGGATGACAGAGTGTAAAGACTGCGTACAAGATATTTTACTGAAACAGGCCAGAATGTAAGTGTAAAACTGTTCTTTGCATCAAAGCGAACACTTCACTAAAAATTCAGTTTAAATGTTTGTGTATTTTTTTTCAGAATGCATTGCGTTATACTTCTCCTAGAAAGTGCATTGTTTGGAATGTTTGTCGCTGCGATATTAATCGATCAACTTCAGGCCATCCTAACGGACGAAACTGCCGTGGAGCAGGTTAAGCAACAGGGCCCTTTCAGACCAAACAGGGCCAAGATGGCCTTACTCAGCGAAGTGTGTGGGAGAGAACATCCCATCTTATGGTTGCTTCCTTGTTCCTCTGTGCCAAGAAAATTTGATACTCCTCTCATCGATCACCAAGTTTAAGTTTTTTTTTTTTTTACATCGCAGTAATTTTAGTTGTAAGGTCTAAGACATAAATTTCAACATTTTTAAGTAAGCAGAACGTTTTTAACGCTTTAGGAAATTTCTTACGTTGTTTTCTGCTTAAACTGATATTTTATGGAAGGAAAATGTACAAAGCATATTGATATTTTCGAGGTGTTACTATTATTATATATTTGGCTGTTAACGAAATATTTATAATGGTTGAATTTATATTGTATATCTTTTGTTACCTTTTCAGGGAATTTACGCAACACTTATAATTGTGCTAGTCTTATTATGTAAGTTAATTTTTGTAGTACGTAACTGCGGTTTTTTTCGTTTTGAAGAATCTTCCTAACAAAAAATTTTTAGATTTTGCGTTGTTGCACTGTACGACCATTGTGTTACTGGAATAGAGGAATTTTACTGAACAATACAAATAAAAACGTACATATCAATAAGCATAAAATATTGGAAAATAAAATAATTTTATTAATTTAATTAACAAAAAACTTTATGGAATTAATAAAACATTAATTCATAATTCTAAATTATTAATTAGAAAAAAGAAACATTGGCAAATACATGTGTTATAATAAATTTTTTATAAAAAATATTTTCTAGAATTCTAGATTTTCTTTAATGTTATTTGTGAAATTATTTATACAGGGTGTAACTTTAAATGGTGGTCATATATACAGGGTGCGGCATTAGTGCGTCGAAGTATGATATCTACCTTATTATAGAAGATATCAAAAAAAGTTATTTACAAAAATTGTAGCCAACTTAAAACTGCACATTTTAAAATTATTTTCGTATATACAGGGTAATACATATTACCAGTGTGAACCAAACCTACTATTTTTTAAATGGGGCACCCTATATATTATTTCAAATTTAGATTAAGCTCATCTCTCCCATGCTTCCAGTATAGGGTTTAATTATGTTATACAGGGTATTTCAAGTTATGGTCAATTGTATACGAGAATCATTCCCATTTCAGCGTCCTGTATACCCTAAACAAAACATTAATTTTTTGCAGGCATAACTTTTTGATATTGGTACAATTTTACGAGAAAGTGCTATTTCTTTATTATTGCAACAGTTGAATATAGGGTGAGCCAAAACTTGAGCACATAATTTTCTCAATATTTTTAAATGAATCGCCCTGTATTTTATTTTAAAAACTGAAAATACGCTTTATGTTCTATCTTCCAGCCATTGGACAGGCTAGTATAACCTCAAACAATCGTGGCTGCTTGTTGCAAAATCTTACTCAATCAGGAGCTGTAGCATGCATTGTTGTCAAATCAAATTATTCAACCGTTTGTTTTTGTCTGCCTAGTACTCTGTTGTCATTATCACATCAGGTGGATTGATATTACCTAATCTAGGTCATTGTCAGAGGTCGTTGACACAGATTTATAAACTAAACACAGTGCTTAAAGAAATGGTAAATACTTTTTAATTTGAAATGATTCTAAAAATATTTCAAATCTATCATTTTATAAAACAAAAATATTAATATTTGATAATTCCTGCAAAAATATTAATTATTTAAATATTTAGCGCTTGTTACAAAGTAATATGTCTTTATAAAATTATTTTTCACTGCAGTTTCGTTCTCTTCTACTCCATTAGGTTCATACAGTTGGTTTAAAAAAGTAACAACAGACAACACTATAAGCGTGCACATACAAGAGCTGTCTGGTAATGGTGTAGACAAGAGTTAAGGTATAGTGTAAAAAGGGAAGTAATGAGCAACACTAGTTATTTGATTAAAAAAAGCAGGTTAATATTCTGGGGAACAAGTACCCCTAAAAATTCCAATTAAGGTTACACCCGGTATTTTATTGAAAAATACTTAGCTGGTCGAGTAAATATTTATAGCTTCCGCATGGCTGTACTCGTCGCATAGCAAATATTTATATTGGAAAGGAAAAAATTTATGTAAGGTATGTCCCATTAAAGTAAAATTATTAACTAAGTACTCAAAATTAAATCAGAACTACTTTACTTCGTGTCACTTTCGGCCCTAATTTCCCAATTTTGGTCTGTAATCGTAGGGACATACATGACATTATTAGTTCTTTAGATATACCTGTTGTTTTTGCCATCTCTCTCCTCCATTAGAAGAATTTACAGTAAAAAAGGAATCCTCAACCGGTATACTCACCCGACTTAAATCTATGCGAGTTGAATCCGTTGAAAATTATTATAAAATACAATTAATCCAGGTACAAACGATTGCACCTTTTATTAGAATACCTTGGTCCACACGGTAAATTGTAAAGATTAACGTTTTCGACGTAGTTGAACTTTAGCACTCTAAGGAAAAAAGTGCAAATCAGTCGAAAACACTGATTTCGGTCTCCGGAAAAGCGAATTTTGTGGAGAGACATGGTCGCCACTCTTGTCTGTTGTATTATATTTGAATGTACTCATTTTGTGATAGTGTATAAAAAAATTAAATGTAACTGATTTACTTAAAAGTGCACGTTTTAGATGAGATATAGGGATGATTTAAAGTACTTTTCTATTGCTGTAAATTAAAGAATAAAGTAATTTTCAAGGACGTGGACGGCTTTAATTAATGCGACATTTGATTGTTCAAATTATCCCGAGATATTTTTTTCATTGAAGAGGTTAAATAAACGTCTGCTTATAAACACTAACAATGATTTATTTTAGATCTTATGACAATAAAAATACATTTTCCATATGTCATATCTTTTAAATAATATCTTGTAAAATAATACAATTCACGTAATGGTGGAAATCAATATAAAATTTATATTACAAATTACATTTAACGGTACAATCTTGTCAAATCTTTTAAAGCGTGCGTTACTGATTTTGATGTAGATGACCTAGAAAAAAAATACATCCATTTAGCACTAAATAACTTGCAACGTACTATACACTGGAGCGATCATGACACTGAACCTTAACATAAACATTGCAATTGATACTGCGCATAAATAGCAAGAATCGACCATCTACCAAGAATATGAATAGTAGGCTTTGGACCTTCATTGACAATTCTATAAACAAACTGCAATTGTTTGGCAATTGTAAAGTGAGGTTATTGTGTTAAGCGGTACCCTTAATCATTAATTAATTGCGATAAAATCTGTTGGAAATGGAGATTAATTATTGTTTTTTTCTGGTTAACGTTACTCGTTGTTTGCTTGAAAATGAATCGTCCAAGGAATTTAACCGAACACGAGATATGAGGGATATTCTCAGCATTATGCTGCCACTTTATCGGGAGTAAACCATTCTACGATAAGTCGAGCGATTAGACGTTTTAATAAAACAGGGACTTATTGTCGGAGACCAGGACAAGGGCGAAAACGATGTACCAGTACGTTTTCTGAGGCAATCTGCTTTAAGAACCAGGTCAATCACTAGTTCGGCATTAAGAAATGACCTTGAAGCTACCCGAACTGTTTCGATTTCTGCTGGAACAGTCAGAAGGTTAAAAGAAGCTGGATTGGCAAGTCGAAAACCAGCAATTGCACCACTGTTTACCTGACAGAATAGAGTTGTCAGGTTGCGCTTTGTCAGAGATCATCGTAATTGGTCTGTAAACGATGAAACGGATGAAACTAGGGTAAGCTTAAAATCTCCCGATAGTCGCAAACGAGTCTAGCAGAAACCAGGAGAAAGATTGGCGCAATGCAATTTCTCCAAAAATTCCATTTGGTGCTGGCTCTACAATGGTTTGGGGAAGAATTTGTTATAACACTCGTACAGAGTTAGTCCCTATTCGACCCAGATCTATGAATGCAAATTTCTATCTGTAGAACATTGTAGTTGAACGCCCTTTGGTCCTTTTTTGGGAGACAATTTTTTATTTATGCAGGACAATGCTCGGCCTCACTTTGCTACAGAAGTACTAAATTACCTCGATGACGTTCATATACCGTTTATTGAGTGGCCACCAAAAGGTCCAGACATGAATCCGATAGAACATCTCTAGGACATGCTTAAAAGAAACGTAAGACTTCATATACCTGCACCTGCATTCTACAGTGTATGTCATTTGATTAGAAGCATTCCTAGGCGTATAAATGCAGTAATTAGAAGAAGAGGAGGAATTGTTATTCATTTTTCCCACATAATTCTAAGGACTGTTAATTTTATTCCAATTAAATTGTAAAATAGGCATTTTTCGTATAATATTGTTAAACTAATTAAATAAGCAATTTGTTGCTTTTTATTTAAATTCCAGTAATTTACTTAAAAAGATGCAATTTTTGCGGGGATTTATTATGTTCGTGCGTTAATTTTGTCTAAGAAGTGTATTTTCAGAGAAATTCCAAGAAATGTATTCTTTTTCGATCCCATCACTCCACATCTCAAAAACCAAGCCAGAATTTATAGAAACGTTCCTTGTGCCTTACAACCGATATTTATTAAAAAATAAATAAACGCCAATGTGCAATGCTACGCAAGTTAAATACGTTAAAACGAAAGAAGTACAAACACTCACCTAGTGATGGCTACATGTATATCGTTCAGTTGCTGCGGTGTGGCGGCTATTATCCCGCCGTTGCTCTGCTTGGGCAACGTATCCAGTCCGTTGGCCAGCCACTTACTCGTCACCTCCCTGTCGAAATCCAGCAGCTGCACGAAAACGTCCGCCACCTCGCTCAGCATGTACGACTGCAGGTAGAAAACGCACGCGTGAAGCAGATTCGTGACTAGCTGCTGTCCGTACTCGTCCAGTATTCTGCGCACCACCATTTTCCTCTCCTGATAGTTCGGCTGGGACCTGCCGCTCTGCCCCTGGTTGATTAGGTCGTAGAAGAACTTCATCACCGACGTGTTGGCCTCTTTGTGATCCAACGTGGACGCCATCAGAGCGCACTGCAGTATGTGCACCAGGGAGGCGCACTGGAGGAAGGACAGGGGGGCCCTCTGCATGAACCTCGCGCACAGCCTGAAAAAGTCGTCGACGGTGTCCGGGTGGTTCCTGAGGCCGTTCTCCTCCTGCAGCAGCTGGAAGGTGGGCTCCAGGAAGGCCTGCAGCATGTCGAGGAGGCCCTGGACGCAACCCGCGTCCACCGCGTACTCGTCCACCAAGATGCTGCCCACGTAGAGGAAGCACGAGTGCTTGTACATAGAGTATATCCTTATTATTTGGCTGACGAGGCTCTCTAGAAGTTCTCGCACCTGTTGACTGACGCAGCGCAGCATGAATCGCACCCCTCGGCAACACCTCTCCATTATTCTTATGTCGTTTTGGTACTTGTCGAACACGCGGGACAAGATTGGCCATACCTCTAGCACCACGGGTTTGCACGGATGAAATTCGCCTGCAGAAATTCGCACAGCAATATGAAAATTATTCGGTGCGTTGTTTTATAACGTTTGAAAAGTCCGCTGTACATTTTACTCTAACTCAAAATTAGAAAAATCATCCAAGTGAAAATGTAAGTTCTATATCAATTTTTATTTACAAAAAAATATGGCATTTATTTTATAATTTTTAAAAGGAAAAAGTTATAAAAATTGTGATAAAGAAAAATATTAAAAATAACGGCATTTACTCAAATAACTTTTTAATAGATTTTGACCGATAAAAAAGTACACCCGCAAAAAACCATGTGCCCACGCCGACCCCCAAACATTTTACAATCACAATTACAGACTCACCTTCCTGGACGGCGACGTTCATGTGTCTCAGGATCGCGCTAAGCCTGTCCAGCCACAGAACCGGGTCAGTCTTGGTTCCATTAACGGGCACGATATCCTGATCGATGAGGTGACAAATGGGCTTGAGTTGCATGAAGCACAGCTCTCGCAACGCCGCCGTCATCTCCGTGTGCGGCATACGCCCGATGATCGAGGCCACTCCTTTCAGCAACCCGATCACCGCGTTATTTGTGATGGCGAAAGTGTCGACCTGTTGCAGGAGCTGCAGGAGGATCGGTACGTGTCTGGGCATATGGTCGTTGCAACAAGCGCATATGTTTTGTAGGGCGACGGCCGCTGCCGCTCCCACACCCGGTTGAGGTAAACAACATACTAGGAAGTTTAGGATGGGGTCGAGGGTGTTCGGGTGCTTTTCTATCCATTCGCATAGCTCTCCCAGGAGGAGAACCGACGTGTATTTTACGGCTATGTGAGTATTCTCGGGGACGTTCAGGATAGCCTCGACCACTTTTGGTACCACTTCGTTCTCGGTTCTGGAAAAAATTGTTTTATACTCCACTACCGCTGTTCTGTGAATATGTTTTAAGGCTCGTTTGTTTAAGACGTTTAAATTAGAGACCACTTAAAATGATGGTATTTTTATCATGGTTTAAACTGTTTTATCTTCAATAAAATGCATTAATTTGGTTCAAAACATTATTAAAAATTAATGTTGATATTAAAACAAAGATATACTCACGGCAAAACATTCTTTGCAACAGCCTGCATAACAAACAAAGCGGCTTCGCTGGCGTCCCAAGTGACGCCCGGCGCTTGCAGATTAATGAACATCTGCCTGAAGCAGCTGCTGCTCCCCACGATGAACACCACGTCCTTTATAAGATCCGATACTTTGAGGCGGAAATCTTTAAATTCGTCGCCGTCTTCTATCAAACCCTCGTAATCAGGTTCCATCTGGCAGTGTCTACACAAGGCGGTTATCAGTCTCTCCACGTAAGGTCTGAACAGTTCCGTAAGCTCCTTATTGTTCTTCTGATACAGTTCTTCACTTAGCACATACCACAAATTAAAAGTTATTTCGGCCACCTCGTAATCGTGGTGGCCGACACATATTAAAACTAAATCTAAAATTTTCACCGCATAATGCATCTGTTTAGGTGTACTATTTGATATGATTTTCTCTAAGAACGACTCTGCCAGTTCGGTGAACAGTCGACAGTAGTCCATGGACTTGCCCTGATCCTCGTTAGCTACGGACATATGGTAAGGTACCTCGAGGTTGACAATGTTGTGAAACAGATAATTTTCCAGTGCCAATTGATTGTTATTGTCTTCTAAACAGTGTAATAAGGTACAAATGCAATCCGTCGCGGCTTCGTGAAATGCCCCGGCTATGGTCTGTTTCTCGTCTTCAGGTTTAAAGTTAAGTATCTCAAAGGCTCTGTTGATGACGACATTGTCCACAAGATCGTTTAGACCTATGGCCCCCACAGACACCCAAGATGTGAAGCAGCGTAATATTTTTACGTTTATCTGAACGTGATCCTGCCAATTGCTCCCATAATTGCCCGAACAGTGTTTCAAGAATTCTGTCACTGTCGATGAACAAAATTTCATGTCTTCTAAAACTTCCACTCTCCTATTTTCACCTAACCTGTGCAAAAAAGAAATAATTGGAATACAACATACCGAGTCAAATCCAGTACGATCAGCTTACATGAAAGTTTTTAAATATGAAAATGTATGTAAAAAAATGTGTATACCAATGTCAAAATACTAAAATAATGATTGATCATCTACTTACCTAACAGATCTACTCTCCAATTCTTCCGGTAATACGGTGAGTATTTCCAATAATGGCCAGATATTATTTTGTGAAAACCTATTAATTAAATCTAGTGTAACTCTCTGCCACGAAGGCATCTGTAAAGCTAGATCGGCTAATGCAACACAAAGTTGTGTTACGATAACCGTGCTGGTACCCTCATTTATTTGACTAATGTGTTCAAGTAACGAGTCTCTTAGAGAATTATGTACTTCTGGAGGTAACTCATGGAAAGACTGGTGTATTTTGGTACGCATTGTCTGTGCTGCAAAGTAACAAGATTCGACATCCCTTTTCATATGCAACAGTTCGTCTGCTACTGTCCAGGCGTGGACCTACGATTAACGATTAGAAACTTGGTTAGCGGTGTTTTTAACAAAAAACTTACGGATTTCTGTAGTTCCAAAAGCCATTGGGAGGCTCTTTCCTTCTCAGTTCTGTTAGGGTTGTTGTACAATGCTGAAACCGCTGATATAACTAAATCTATGCTAGGCTTTTGATCCATAATAAATCTGTTCCAGGTAATAATTATCTACACTCTATATGTATTTGATATAGTTCATTAAAAAATGCATCTTTATAAATTCGTATTGTCAAAACCTCAAAAACTGAATCCGAAATTTATTACGTTGGTACCCAACTTGAGTAAGAAGAAAATCCCTAGCCTTAAACAGGTTAAGCAACGGTGCTGCAAAATTTAAATTTCAAAATGTCATGTCATCAAATGAAACACAATTAAATGTCACGAAGCTTATTAGCGTGAGAGAATTGTAATTTTTAACAAATATATGATTATATTATGTATCCGTTTTTAGTCAACAGCGGCCCCCACGACTGAAAGAAAGATCTGTTAAGCACTTAAGAATTGTCGACAAAAAAACTCTGTACGAGATTTACGAATTTAAAGAAGAAATTGGACATGGAACTTATGGAACTGTAATTTCCGCTATAGAAAAACAAACCTCCAAAAATTATGCTATTAAAATAGTTAACAAATTTACGGTAAACGGGGTACCTAAATATTTTCTAAGTAGTCGCATTTCTATTCCGATTTATAATTCCAGACAGGGGCTAATCAGTTGCAGGAAGTTTATTCCGAGATAAAAATCCTGAAATCTGTAGATCATCCCAACATTATTTGTCTTGAAAGAGTTTATGAGTCTCCTAGAAAGATATACATGGTTCTTGAAAAATGTTCGGACAACCTGAGCTCAGTACTGAAACAGGAAAAATCATTAACTGAAAAGGTTACAAAGAAGATTATTAAACAGCTAGTTAGTGCAGTATATTATTTACACAAAAATGGTAAATATTTAGTAGTACTCGGTTCACCTTCATGTATTTTACTATATAATTATTTTCAGATATAGTACATAGGGATATTAAGTTAGAAAATATTTTATTAGCAAATAATCCCTCAGATCCATCGGATAAATATTTTATCAAATTATCGGATTTTGGCTTAAGTATAATTAAAACTGGTGCTGGAATCCAAGGCATGCTTAAGGAATACTGTGGTACTGTCATCTACATGGGTAAGCGATTTATATAAAATAAAAGTTTATCAACATTGATGTGTTTATTTATGTTGTTTTTACCATAAAATAAGTAAACGGTGTTTGAAAAACAGTTTAATAAACTTCTCTGATTGTGGATTGAAAATAAACTCCAAATTTCTAGTATTCTCTGCCTATGGCAATTGTAATGTGCCATTAATTTCCCATAATGTTCCGATAAAATATTCAGATTGCGCGCGCACACTATTTATATGTAATTATGAATACAATATTGAGTTACGCCCGGAGTTGACTGACTATTTTATAATAATCTGTGGCACTAAAAACAGGCCGAAATTCGTTATTATTTCTTTACAGCTCCAGAAATCTTGCTCCAGCATTCATACAGCGAACTTTGCGATGTATGGCCCATAGGCGTAATCCTGTACCTGTTACTATTTGGGGAATTTCCATTTTTTTCGAGCAACGAAGACGAGCTCTCAAATAAAATATGCAACTCTGCACCCGTGTTCCAAATTCAAGATGGAGCAGTTAGTTATGAGGCAATCGATTTAATAAAGTGCCTTCTCGAGAAGGACCCAGCAAATCGCATCACGTCTTTGGAAATTCTTCAGCACCCTTGGATGACGGAAAACAAAGTCAAGCAGAAGGACGTGAACGTCTTGGAATATATGAAGAAGTGGAGGAGTGAAATGAAAGTAATATATCTTGCCTACTTGTCGACAAGTTTACCTTATTCTATTTGAACGATTCTTCCTAGCGGGAAATTCAAACGCGATAGAAAATGAATGCAATATTTCCATTAATTTTTTAGATATCTATAGATGACGAACCACCAGATTGGATATCTAACATGACGGACATAGGCAAACGAGGATCCACAGAAAGCGACGCTTCGTCAACTAAAGCGAATAAGTAAGTATGTGGTATTTATAATCATTTTCCTGTTATTGCGGACATATATTGATCGTGGTATTAAAAATATTAATTTTAGGGAAGTGGAGCCGATGAAAGTGTGTCTAGCAGCAAGCCAGAACAAACTAAATCATTTGAGTAAACGTAAAAACTGCTCCACACCAATGATGTAGAAAAAAAACCATAATATCGATACATATTATTATAATTTAAAAAAAATAGGAAAATAATAATTAGTCATCTTCATGGCATTTTTCGTTTAAATTCTTTGCGTGTGTCCCTAAGGGGACGACCGCTAAATGCGCGAATAGGTATATACAATATTTAAGGGTGATCCACTATAAAGAGTGTAACTTTAAGTGGGGGTCAGATTTTTAGGAGTAATAGTAGTACGTGTTCCCTTGAATAGGAATATAATTTTTTTTTAATCAAATAAGTAGTCGAGTTATAATTAGTTTTAAAAAATGCAATTTAATGTGTACGCCGCCACTGCAATCATGTTTTACAAATACATGAATTGTAGGCAATCTACAGTGCATGTAAAGGGAGATAGTGCCGGTAATCGGTGGCGAACCGATGAAGCGAAAAGCGTCAGTTGTTTCGTATTTGGTTGGAGATAGTACGGAATGTCTCTATGTTTGAAGCCATCAACAGACTATTTATTTTTGTGTATTTCATTTATCATTATTGATTACTGCTTGAGTTTTTTGCTAAGTTACTTGTTAAGTAACTCGTGGCGAATGGTGTATAATACGCTGCGACAAAAGCGCGTCATTATTTGAGATTACACTAGTTCGTCTAGCGGCGGGGTACGAAATGTACTAAAAAAGATGAAAAAAAAAATTTTTACGATGGATTTTGTAACAGTAAACTATTGATACGTGTTTCTGAAGGTCAATGGAAGCCTCTGTATAAATATGGGTAATTATTTACTACAGCGCCACCCTCCCAAATCTTCACAAAATTTTGTCTACCCCACTTTTTCGATAGTGCTGAACACGAATCCGAAGTTATTTTTGTGCGGTCGAACCCCAGTTTTTGAGATTTTTTTTTTTCAAAATTGTAACCTGGGGTTTTCAGACATCTGTAATAAACAATTAACACTGTTTATAAGAAACATATTTTCAGTAAAAAAATATGTATTTAATAAATAAAATTGTATAGTAACTCTGTGTGGAATGAACAGATGAATGAGAGTGGGAGAATTTCAATTTAAATGCACGTCATCACGAATTACAAATGGTGGATTCCATCAACAAAATTTTTATTTGTTAAATACATATTTTTTCACCTGAAATTTGCGAAATTTGTTTTGTAAACAATGTTAATTGTTAATAGCAGATGTTCTGAGAGTTACATAAAGTATACAGTGTTGTGCATACTGTCGTGTGAAATGTTCCGGTTAGAATTTTGAAAACATTTTTTCTCAAAAATTAGCTTCGACCGCACGAAAATAACTTCAGATTCGTGTTCAGCACCATGGAAAATAGGGGGGTAGACAAAATTTTGTGAAGATTTGGGAGGGCGACACTATAAGCAAATAATTACCTAAATATGACCCTCACTCAAAGTTACACCCTGTATAAGTGCCACTTCTCATTTCCTCGGTTGTATTTCTTTAAAATATGAAAAAAAACCTACGAGTAAAAATTTCAACACATTTTAAATTTTCTATTGCCTAAATTTGTATTTATCGCTATTGTGGCAACACAACATACTCAAATGGCTAAAAATGTCACATAGCGACTGGCGATTTTTAATATAATTGTGGCGACTTCTTTTTCCATTACATCGAAATGATATTTACAAAAATATTTGATTCTTGATTGGCATTGGCATCCGTTGATTCAAGTATTGACGCCTCCAACCACTCGATCACCATATCTTTGAATTCGAAGCATTTCCCGACATGTCTAGATTTTTTTGTGTTTTGTGAAGTAGATTATTAGTTTGGCCAAGTACTTGTAAACCCTGTACAACTAGACAGTAAAACATTTGACCGCTTGCATTTTCATTTTTTTTTCTTCGTCTCCGACTCGACATAAATTTTGCAGCCTTTTGAAAATCAAAGTTTCCCTCCCAGTGGTACAGTCTTCACGTGACCAGTAATTTTATTCCTTCACGTCCGCAACTGAATTTTGGTAAAATCAAAAAATAAGATCAAAATCACATTAATACACCATTTTTTGTTTTACCGGCTGCGGATTGGTGTAATTTTTTTCCCAAGATTTTATTCAACCAATCAGCGATTGGATTCTCTCGACCGTAGACACAACAGTTTGTCATTGTTCATTGTAAACGGATCATTTATATTGACGATAGACAATGTCGTGCAATGTTGGTTGCCTAAGTTTAGGCGGTGTGGTGGCTCATAATCATTTACGAAGGTTCAGTAGGAGATAAATAAAACGAAAACGTATGAAACAATTTGTATCCATCGTTTATAATCACTCAGAAATCATACAGCACTGTTACAAATAAATTTCTACAAGATCATTTTGTTAAGTAGACAAACAGTTCATAAAACCTCATTTGTAGTAAAAATATATCGGATTAAGGCGCAACCACCCAATTGTCGTAAAGATTAGTTGGAATGAATGGCGCCAAATGGAGACCACAATTATATAAAAACCCCCATAGTATAAAACTGTAATAAAATCAAAATCGGCTGCGTATTTAAAAAAAAACAAAAACAAATAGTACCCACAGAGGCGACGACTCCGAGGATAGAATTCAAGTTTAACTGAACTGCGGAACTGAATCATCGAAACAATTGGTCGGTGGGGTGCTTTCCATATAATCAATAACATACATTTGGCAGTGAATAAAAAAGTGCGAAGACTAGCATCGCTAATAAACGCAATTTCTTAAAATAAAATTAATTAAAAAAAAATTAATTACAAGATATATCATACATACAAGTAAACACACGGATCTAAAAACAGATTAGATAGACTAAGGTCTATTTAGCCTACAGTAACACTTTATTGCCCTTCTTTTATATACTCTTGTCGGATTGGCGCGACCGTTACACGATAACGGTCGCGGTTCAATCGAAATTACATATTTTTAGTTTTCGAGCTTCCAACAGCTGGAAGTGATGTGGGTCCTGCGACATTTTCAAAAATTTTTTGTACAATTACTTAATTAGGGAAAAAAAAAGAAACATTTTGTATCAGAGACAAACTTAAACTAAATTTATATCTATCTTTACACAAAATGGACATTTTTTACAAATCGAAGGGGATACGTAATAAGTTAGAAATGTCAGGTACCGCGGGTCACACGCAGTTTGCACGGTCACTGAAGAGTCCTGACTGGCAAAGGTCGCGAGGTAGCTTGTGGAGAGCGATGGGTCCTCTTGGCTGTTTACTTTACAGTGGATGATGGTTCAACAATGGCAGAATGGAACAACTGTTGCTTAAGACGCACTTTTAACGATTAACTGAGTTTATGTGTCCACAAAGTAGCTCGGGACTTTGCACTGAGATAGTCCGCCAAATATCGTTCACAGAGTAGACGGCCCCCACTCTATTATGCATCGTCTTCCTCCTCATCCACGCCCTCCTCGCCCTCTACATCCTCGTCGTCCTCTGCAAAACGTCGATTCTTATGAGATATGCCATTCTAACAGTTACAAATATACAGGGTGTTCTTTTTTTTCAGGAAAATGGTCAAATTTAAAAAGAGTGACCGCAAAAAACCTGTGATTGTCGCCCGTTTTTTCACAATTCGCAGAGAAAAAAAAAACATAAAAATATGTTTTTGGTCGCAAATTACTTGTAAAAAACTGAAATGAGTATAGCTTTTAGTATTATGAAAATTTAAAAAATGCCAAAAATGAAGAATTTGAATATTACCGTGATATAAAAACTATTAACCTGTGAATTATGTTAATAAAATTTTTTGGAATTTTTACAATTATTTCTGATATTCTCTATTTTTGGGGATGATTCCACTTCCTGAGCGCGCTTAAGGGTGGATTTTCTAATTCAACATGCTTATTTCAGTCATGAGAATAAATCTTTGTATCAAGAATCATTAGATAGAAAAATTCACATGCTAATAGTTTTTATATTTATTGGTAATATTCAATTCTTCATTTGGGGCGTCTTTTCAACCCCTAAATAGGACTGATTTTTGAAAATTTTCAAAAAACTAAAAGCCATGCTCATCTTAATTTTTTATGAGTAATTTGAGACCAAAAACAAATTTTTATCTATTTTCTTTAGTTCTCTGTGAATTGTGAAGAAATGGGCAATTTTTGCGATCACTCTTTAAGTTTAGTACATGTTAGCAACTAGCTGAATGGTATTTATTGGAAGTCTTTTTTCCTGGTTTATGTCTAAATGAAAGAAATTAGCACCCCTTGGTTTTATTTATTTCACAACTTTTTTCTACGTTAGTCAATTCCAACAAGAAAAATAGCTTTTGATACTACATTTCATTATGAAACTTTTTTTACTCTTCCGATTTTTTCGTATACTTAATGGTTTACGAGCAAAAAAATAAATTATTTTTCCTTGCCGATTAGGTACACATAATTAGTATAACAGTTACCAAAAACGATAGTCATTTTTGACATGCTTTTTGCAAAAATTCTTTTTTATTAATAGGAAATTTGAACTAAAAATTTAATAAAAAAATAAATAAAAGGTAATTTTTTCGGTAATTTTGAAATCGGAAAAATGTATTGGAAGTACCCCCCCTAAAATTACTTTTTAAACACCTTAAAATATTTGTACATCATTATGAAAACACCCTGTATAACAGACTGCAACCTCTTGGCAGTTATACAGGGTGTCAAGTAGGTCAATAAACTTTAAGGGATGATTCTTTAAGTGATTTTAACCCAAATCGACATGGAATAAAAATGGAATAAAACGTATCTGAAAATTTTTTACATAATAATAATTCATCAAGACAATGACAGAATGAGAATATCCATCTAATATATAAAAATGTCGAAATACAAGGATTCCTTTAATTGCTTCACGCACACCCGTGCAAATTTCAAAATGTACCTTTCCTGTTTTGTCGAGAACGACAAATCAGTATCACGTCTACGTTTTCTAGGGATGGCAAATTTAAAATAATTTCATTGCAGATAAATCCAGAAACAACGGTTAAAAAATCTCTTTTATACTCTCTCCAACATGTCAATGTAGAACGACAAAACCACGGATATAAATATGTGTAAAAGTGAGAGAGATACCGAGAACTAGTTCTACTAAAAACCCGAGAAATTAGAAGCTACCGAATATTATGAAATTTTTGTCAATACTTCTAATTCCTTATAATGTGTCCAAGAAAAAAGATACCATTTCATTTTATCTGAAAAATCAACCAATTTAGTTTTTTTTTTCTTTCTAAATATAAGACTAAATTTTAAACGTTTGTTTTTCCCATAAAGTATCTTATTTCCAGGAAACAGCGCAATAAGTTAGAGGCAGTGATCGAATTTCTGGAGTTTTTTTCAGTGAAACCAAGCCCCAGCGCCTCCACCAATACTACACTTATTTATATCACTATCAATGGATTTTTACCATTAATTAGTAGTTAATTGGCCTCTGAATCCGAAATTTTCAGATATACTTTGGAAAAGGTACATTTTCTTTAAACCGACAACCAAACTATCGATTTGTGGGCCCGCATTTATACCTATAACCTTTTAGACTTAAAATTAGTAAAAAATTATCCCTTAAAGTTTGTAGGCGTACTTAATTAACGCCTACTATACAATTTTAAATAAGTCGCGCCAAAAAGTTGCAATAAATATTTTTTTATACAGAGTATTCCAATTTATGAAAATTATTAGTCCTCACAAGACAAAGCAAAACTTCATTTATTTTCTATTTTATCTATTTAATAAATTTCTTATTACTTTTAAAGCAAAATGGTTCATTCAGTAAGAGATTAATAGTAAATACTCGAATGTTTGTAGAAAGTGATTATCAGATAAGATTAGAAAAAAATCTTATGGCAAGTCAGAAGTAATATGTATATAAATCCAGAATATCATTCAATATAGTAGTTTTATTTTAGAGGTACCGATCTAATTCAAATAAATTCTAAAAATTTTCTAATCAAATGAAGTCATATGCTTTGATAACAAATATTGGTGTCAAATAAATAAACTTGTCTCTAAAGTTATTAATAATCATCAAAAATAAAGTACCTTCCCCTTCTATTTCCTCATCTTCCCCCTCGGGAAGTTCCTCTTCTCCCGTGTCTTCCTCTTCCTCTACACCTTCTTCCTCCTCTTCATCCAATTCGTCTTCAGAATTAGCTCCATTCTCCTCCTTTTTTGCTTTTTTTGGTTCGTCTGTCTTTTCCTATAACGAATGAAACTTGTATTATATGCATATGTAATAGATAGATAGATATTATACCCCTTCTTCGAATACTATTCACAATATCGGCGTTAATACGCATTCGAGTATGGAATCCATTCAAAATTTTCGCGCCTGTTTGCGATGATTCTCATAGGCCAGAGCCAGCCACTGAATCAAATCAACACTCTTGATTGGCTGAAGCGTCTAACGTGATTACGAGTATTTTTAAATTTGGATTAAACGTCTAATTGCTGAATATTTGCTGTATAATGATTTAAAAAAAGAAAAATCACTTCAAATATTGAAATCTGTTTCATTATCTTTTTCGACAATTGGCAAAATTATATAACATAATAAAGCGTTAAAATAAAAATTTATACACTTTTTATAATTAAATCTAGTTTATAGTTTGTAGTTTTAGAAAAATGCGTTCCCTTTTTTCTGGTTCCACAATAAGTAGGTATTTATTCGTAGTTGCATCTAGCGATAATCTACCGGGTTCAGGGAGGGAAAACAATGTAGGTATATGTAACCCTCACCCCTAATACAGAGCGTAATGAAAAAAGAACATCTGTCCCTCGGATGTACAGCATTTTCAAAAAAATTCTACCTGCAAGCAAGCCGCTGCGAGAAAGAATTCACGCGAAGAATAAATCAAGGAGCTTTAGCACCTGTACGACCGGAAGTGCAGTCAAAGTTTTCCGCTTCGCTTGGTAGATAAAAAAAGGCATTAGCGCGCAACAATTCGCAACTGCAACTACACATGTTTGTAATTCGAAGTTGATAATGATAAGACTGGTGTATCGTCATTTAATAATACGCTAAGTAAATGCTTAATCATAGGGAAAGAGACGAAAGAAATTGAAATTGTTAAGAGCAAACAATGATACCGCTAATGTGTGTATTTAATAAAGTAACAAAATGTCAGCTTCGCAAGGTTATAAGGGGGAAAATTAGTTTAAAATTGCCCGTGCTGTGATTATTTCTATAAGCAACAATTAACAATGTTTAAGAAATTTCGAATTAGATATCTAGGTATTCAATTAATAAAGCTATGGTGTTGGCACATCAACACGATCATTTTACACCTCGTAGTGGTACACAGGTTTAAATAAAAGTACAATTTTTCGCAAATCCTTACTGGCAGCAACCGATCATCATCAATATTTTAAAAATAATCAACATGTAAAGGTAAAATAATCAAGATAAAAAAAGCATATAGCCTCTGACAAGGTGTCACGAAAGTAGCTATTGATTTCGCCATGTTGAACCTAGTAAGCTATGCTAGCCTCTGTGCAGGTCCGATAAATAACTGGCGGGATGCTTGGGTCCTTGTTTACACTGTTAAAAGGATGCGTGGACACAAAAATCAGAATTTCTCATATGCAGAAATAAATATCTAAATCGGTAGAATTTTATAATTATGAAATTCAACGTTCTTTTGCCCTAATAATGCTTAACAAATGATGCCGGCGTGCTCACATCATATTCATCTCACATGGCAACAAGCGTCATTTTAAGAACTAGAACATTCCAAGAAAAATGAAGCCGACTAGTAATTAAATCGTTGAAAACAATTAAATAATAGATACAGCACAACAATAATCGTAGTACATAAACGGATCAAGTTCATCAGAGTTGCAAACTAATCAAAAAGGTCGCTTAAAAATAATAATGTACCGTCATTAAAACTTACCTCCGCCGCTCGCTTCGTGCCTTTTAACTCGTACTTCGCCTCTGCACTTTTTTCGTTGTCTAGTTTTTCAACTGCAACTTCGTTATTTTCTTTTGAACTCATTTTTGTTTATGTTTTTACTAGGATCGTTCCTACTTGCAACGATGAAAGCTCGACGCACTACTGACCGGCTCACAGCAAGCTTTGTTCAAAAATTAAGATGGCGCCGCTTAAACCGAATGAAACCGTGTATAGCCGAATAACCGGCTTTCGTTATCCGCTAAACTTTATGTAATAGCTATGCAGCTTTTGATCCGACATTTGGTTTTACTTTTTTTGATATAGCATACTCTTCCCCGCTTTTGTTTTATTTCGAAAAAATATTTTTCGAATTTTGCAAAATGAGGTATTCGAGAGTCAATTTGGGGTTTTTGATTCTGCTCCGAGATTAAGCTTCTATTTCACATATGCTCCCGCCAGGGGCGCTATTCAAAAATTTCTAATGAAATTATTGAATTTCTCTTTGGCCTGCTAATCATGCTGCTGATAACAGTATCATGGCTAAAGTTCGTTATTAAATTTCATCCTCAAATATTTTTTGAATCTATTGAAAGTGACCAATGCAGTTACACAGGCATCTGTTTTTCGCCTGATCATTTAAAATATGATTCACCATTACAATCCGGTACAAATCAATCCCATTATTTTTATTTTTAATAAACTTTTATTTAAGGTACATCGTGATCAGGTCTCCAAAGTTATTATAAGTCAGAAAAACAAGTAAAATAGAAAGTAAACCAGAAAATTACCTATATCTAGGTTTAAACATTTTTTATATCTCGAGCAGGTACGTAAGGTAACGCCTTCTAAATATCATTAAAAACCCGACTTTCAAACACGTTTTTAATATTATACTATACTGTAATTAAGAAAGATCTTCATTTATAAAATATAGATACACACTTTAACAATATTAAAAAGCAATAATAAACAAGCAAGTACAAATTATTTAGGTAGAATATTCTAATTGTATCCATATTTGTTATACCTGTGATTCATATTTATACAGGCATTTATCTATTTTCTTATTATCTATCAGTCCTATCACCTCTATTGACGATATGGTACTTATTTCTAATATTGAAGTACCTACTACTGTGGATTAGTTATAAATATATACTGATTACGCCATTAATAAAATAAAAAAATATATATTTTAATAAATAAATTAATGGCCGTTATATTAATTAGGTACCTACTAATGCAACTAGCATAAATTGTAACCGTCCTATTGTTGGTTTATATAGAAATTGCATTTTAAACAAAACGACATTAGATGTGCAGTTCTTAAATTACTGATGTGTCTCCATTTTCTACCATAGTTGCCATCTTTGCAGCAATCGACACGTATACATTATACTGGTTAATGGCTATAGTATATTACATAAAGTTTAAAATTGGCGCCATGTGCACCGAACAGCCGAGCACATCCGTGTTCTTTCTCTTTCTAGTCTCTTTCTAATACTTGTCAACAATACGTATCATTCAAAATGGTAAGTTAAAAATATTTTTTAAATCTAGTTTCATCAGCAATTCTACTTATCTTTTCATTATTTTATTGTGATTTTAATTATATTCCTGGTTATGAATAAAGTATTGCTTGATCATATTTTTAGGAAAACATTAATTTGGTTGAGGTTATGTTTGTGATTATTATTGTAGTTGTCTTTGTAATTAGTTTTGCAGTTAATAAATTGTAGGTAATTATAAATAACAAAACGTTTGTTTCAGGTTAATGTACCTAAACAACGCCGTACGTTTTGCAAGAAATGTAAGGTCCACAAACCTCATAAAGTAACCCAATATAAAAAGTCAAAGGAACGTCATGCATCTCAGGGCAGAAGACGTTACGACCGAAAACAGCAAGGTTTTGGAGGACAGACAAAACCTATCTTCCGTAAAAAGGTAATTTCACACTTACCTGTAGCTTTTAATGATTTTTTAATTGTCTTCTTTTAGGCAAAAACCACAAAGAAAATTGTACTAAGGATGGAATGTACCGAATGTAAATATCGTAAACAAATTCCTCTTAAGCGCTGCAAACATTTTGAACTTGGAGGTGATAAGAAGCGCAAAGGACAAATGATCCAGTTTTAAGTGAATTATTATTGTACAATTTAACTTTAACATTAAAACCAATGTTTTTGTGAAAACAGTGTTTTATTTTGATAGTAGTGGCACATTTACAACTTGTAGCTTCAGTTAATATAATTTAAAAAATAATTTATTCAGAATTGGAGGTGCTGTTAGGTTCCACAACGGAATGTTCTGAAATTTCTTGAGGTGAGCCAGGAATGATATCGTTTGGTTTACTGAAAATATACATTTACTGGTTATATGATTAGTTGCACTCAATGCCACATAAGTATAGTTTGTCGACATCAAGACATTTTAAAGCTTTTTAGGTGACGATCACAATAACGAACTTTTGACGGTTAAACAAAAAATAAAAACGATAAATAAGTTAATCATCAATTGTACAAGTTACACTAACTCCAATAAAATCTTAAGATGTAATTAAATAAAATAAATTTTGTTTAAAATAGTCGCACTCAAATATTTAAGAACGAATATGCCAGCAAGTTATTTTTGCAATAAAATTGATCAATAAAAGGTAGTTAAGAATTACTTACTCTAATATGCTGGGATCCACTCCATCATTCTGCATTTTTAGTTTAACCGCTGGTTCAGGAACACCAAACTGCAACATCTTAAAAAATTTTTTGAACCTGGGATCATCACATGCTTTCACACCAACATCTTCTGAATTTGACACGGTTTCTGGTTTTTCGGATGCCGAACTACTATTATCAGACGTTTTTATGTCTGGAAGGTCTAACTTACTATCATTTGCAGGGGTGTCATTTGTTCTGTTATCAGTTGTCTTATGTTCTAAATTATCAAGTCCAGAAATCGATGACAACTATAAGTGACATTCAAGAGTTACTGAAAATGTACTTTACCTATCAAGGCTCTTATACTTACTTGTGACTCGAGTATTAGCAGTGAAGCCTCAATTTTTTGTATTTTATATTCGAATTCCATAAACCGAGATTCACAAGATTGTGCAAAACTATTTAGATATGACACTGTCTGCATTATAAAATGGTTAATAAAAGCTATAGTACGTTTCTGTTGTATGGGTAAAATCTATTTAAAAGACGTAAAATTTGTAAATTAAATTACAAAATTAGGTACATACAGTTTTTTTTACAGTTCCATAACTTACCTGCGTTAAATCTACGTTGGTGTCTACACCTGGAAACTCTTCCACTTGCATTCCTTACATACATATAAACAAATTAAATAAATAAAAATATATAAATATTAATGAATAACCCGCTGCCTTTACTTAGATAGATGTTGACAAATTGACATAAATGACACATATGACATATGTCATATACTGTCATTTTCATTTTGACCTTGTTCACCATTGACTATTGAGTTATAGAATGAGGTGTTTAGTAACTTTAGTAGCATGATCTAAATGATAAGTATGTGAAATGACGCCATTACTTTGAGACACTGTAAAGATTTTAAATTTATATTAATTAATATGTTATGCATAGAATATAAAAAAATAGAATCAAAATATTAAAAATAATATGATGGGTCAAATATTGAATAAAGTTAGAAATCTTTAGCATATTTTGAATAACAGATGTCGCTCATATCGGGAGTGATAAAAATAAGAGGCCTTCTTCTTCTTTGTTATGGATTCAATATGTTTCGGTCTTTTGCCGCAATGTGGTAGGACTTTCTACGAGTGCCACCAGATTCAAGTTTCAAGTCTCGTCATGTTGCATTTTTTATTGTAATTCAAATTCTTATTTTAGTTATTCTATTGAAAATTTAAATAGTATTTAAAACATTTAAACTGCTCCCCCTTACCGATATAATAATGGGCAGCAGATTAAAGAAGTATTGGAACGACGAACAACAAAAAGCCACTAGACAAGTAAACATTTTGAAAAATCAGACTTATTAAAACCGATACCTACCATTAAATCTTCCACATCCATCAGAACAAAGAACAAGAGGTGACCTGATTATTACAATCATGGGCATTTTTGTGATGTTAGCAAGTTGTTGTCGCCCAATAGAGTTAAGGTTCTGTTCAAACTCCTCAAAAAAAGCTTTACACTTTAAAACATAGGCAGAACTTTTCAGTGTATAGTTCGTGGAACCACCTGCACAGTGATATTGTGACCGCGACATCTGTAGGTTTATTCAAGAAAAAAATTGACATATTCAAACTTCAACGTGAGTAATTTAAAGTGAGTTTTTAAGTGAGTGTGTAACAGCATTTCAGTATATTATCTAGGAACTACATATTTAATTGAAATCATCCATTTCCATTTCTCGTCTATTTGTACAACATAAGTATTTGTAACGGTATGTATTCTAACCATTTATAATTATTCAGTATTTTTAGTTTAGTAGTTAAGCAATTTATCAACCTCTGTCTTTGTCAGAGTATAAGTTTTGACTTCTGCTCCTTTCAACTGTTTAATAATAATAATAATTATTATTATTATGTACACCGTAGCTCGTGGTTGTTTGAGGTTACGTTAGCCCGCCTAAGTAGGTACTTGTCCAGTAGCGAAGTATGAAAATCATAAAAAAAGTTAAAAGAAATGTTCAATTTTTATGTTGGAATTTTCCCCTGTATAAATACGACACCCATTCGAAGTTACACTTTGTATACATCTAGAAATTTTTTTAATTATCCTTCAACTATTAAAAAACAGTAACTTAACTACAACGATATATATTTATTTTATGTACAAATTATCGTACAAATATTTATAAAACTATAAAATATAATTTTCTAATAAAATTGAAAATATAAAACTTTGTACAATTACTAATGTAATTAACATATAAAAAGAATATATTTGTTCATCACAGAAATACTCAACTCTTAAAAACTTACTAACTAATACCTCTTGCAAAACTCTTAACAAGCATATCAAAATTTGGGAAATACGGGATGAAGAGGGTAGGTATTTGTGTAATATCATCATAAATTTATTAGAGGCTTTGGTAAACGTCGAGTATGAATAATAAATAGCTCGATCCTAGTTGGCTATGAAACGTACGAAACAACTACTATTGGGGCGGATACATGTTATTCAACTGACAGATACTGTCCAGCGTGTTGTTGGCCAGCCTTGTCAAGCTATCCGTCATATTCTGGTCTTGGTTGGGGGGAATGTCGGAAAACGACAAATTCTCTATCTCCGGGAGTGGAGTGGACTCCACATCCATAGTTTTTAGTGTCGCATCAAGTTCGTCCGAATTTATATTCACTCGATTGTCTAGATCGAACAGTAAGTTCTCAGATTGCGGCACTGCGTTTGAGATGGGAGAGGTGATATTCCAAACTGGGTTCTGGAGAGCCCCTGCTATACCGATCGAGGTGGAAGGGCTATTCCACAGCGGTTGCGGACTGCCTTCCGACATGTTGGAATTATTCGTAGGAATGTTGTACTGGTATTCCGGTGGTGACGGGGTGGGGCCTTGGGCAATGTAGCTTTGAGGGGAGAGGTTGGGGACGTACCCTGGACTGATGCCCCCGTAGGGGTTTAAGCCTCCGTAAGGGGAAGGAGTCGAATCTGAAAATACAAATTTTGTAATTGACAATATCACAAATTGGTCCCTTTTCTGAATTCCATGATTTACTTTTATAATTTTCAATAAGAAGCTCTAAAAATGGCCCCCTCTTTGACTGGTAGATTTGATATGTGTTTTCGATTTATTTAATGTGCATTTTTTTTCTTAATCTATCAAAGTTCTTTCAGTTTCCAAAAATTGAACCAAATTAATTAATAGTTACCAAACAGAATGAAAAATGTTTATTTCTGTATTCACAAAAAAAAACCCAAAACTTTGAATTTTTGATATAAAGCCATTTTTGACTACCTACTAAAAAACTACTGTAAACACTATGGCAACGACGACTGTAAAATCGGATTAGGCTTAAAGTAAAAGGTTTTTAGAATAGCACCTTAATTAATTATTAATAATACTAATAATAATAATAATAAAAATTAAGACTACAAACCTCTTGGTTCAGATTTGATTTTATCCATCATGTTCATGGAAAAACGACCCTTACCTAGACATAAAGAAAATAATTAGATGCTTATCTTACAAAAAGTTGACTATGTTTCTAAGCTTAGTTAAAACACAATTTTGAACTACTTGCTTTAGAAAGAGACTTATTGGACTCCATAAAAATCAAATTTACAGAAATATGTAAAACTCAAAACGTTAAATTCCAAGTCCATTAAATCGGTTTCTACTAAAAAAATTAAAATAACTAAGATTTGAAATTTACTAGAATTATATTTTAAAAAGTTTTAGTTACTGCTCTATTATGACGTGCAAAAGTAGAAAACACGCAATTGAAAACAAAACTAGTGAAAAACTGGATGGCATCTGGTAAATTTCAGTCAAGTGTTATAAAAAAGCTGTGGAAGAAAGTAAGATGTGTATTAGTGAAGAGCATATACAATTTTTTCAAACAATGCAACTGCAACATTCCAAAGTAAAATAATTTCAAACAAAAAATTTAAATCATGCAATTTCACACACACGCTTTATGTACCTTTTGTATCCTTCCCAGATATCGTGAGGCTGAAAGGCGTTTTTGACAAAAACACTGCTTAGATAAAAAATTTGTATATTTTATCAATATTATAAAAGCAGTTACAAATGTATAAAGCTTCAAAAACCTAACAATCTACTTAAAAACTCTCCAACAGTAACACACATTAAATTCTTCAACAGATAACCCTCTTTGTAAAAATTATTTAAAATCGCAACAAAAACGAGAGTATAAACTTGACTAGATCTTACGACTAGCTAAAATCAAACAGTAATTTCTAACATATTACGTACAAAAAGAAACAAAGTAGAATAAAAGTGTCAACAGTCACAAGATAGACAAAAACTTTTATTTTATCCACATTAAGATATTAGAAAATGAGCACCGTTTTGATGTAAGTATATCGGTCATTCTATTAATCAAATTATGAAGGTACTCATCCAACTATTACCAACTTTATTATCAACAATAAATTTAAAAAATATCGTTTGGTCCAAGGATGTGCAAAATATTTTTTCCCATTTTTCTTTTAACGTCACAAAACGGTTGTTTAGAAACCGTTCTGGAGTTTTTTATTATTACACTGATTTTAAGAATATATAAAATATAGACATTTCTCTAACTCTTAAATCAAATCTTGATCCAAAATGTATACAGAGGATTCAAATAAAAAGTGTATTTCCACTCTAAATAGCTGTTTGTAATTGTTTTAATATATTGAGTGTCTCATTAAGAACCTAAAACCCCTCTAAAATTTTTTGGTAAACATAATTCGAATGAATTTTTTTATATACAGGGTGTTTCATAATGATGTGCAAATAGGGTACCTCCAATACATTTTTTTGATTTGAGCCCACCCCCCCCCCCTGAGATAATTTTCAAATCTTAAAATGGCCGAAAAAATGAGCTTTTATTTTTTTTATTCAATTTTTATTTCATACTTGCTTAGATATTCCTATTGATAAAAAAGAATTTTTGCAAAATGCATGTCAAAAATGAAAATCGTTTTTGATAACTGTTTGGTATGTGTACCTAATCGACAAGGAAAAATAATTTATTTTTTTGCTCGTAAACCACTAAGTATATGGGAGAGGTAACAGAATCGACATGTTATTTTCACAATTTATCGCGTAAACCATTGGAAATATAAAAAATTCATTAAAGCCGTGTTTTCCAAAAAATTTTACAGAAATTCCTGGTTCTTGATGAGCCACATATACTTTTAACCCATGCTGAATAAAATGTCTTGAACTTTTTTGAATTTCTTAAACAAAAATTACGAGTATCATACGTCATCATGAAACGAAAACAGTAAAAAAACCACAAGTTGGTCTCATTTTAAAATAATATGTCGAAGATTAGTGATATCCTTTCATTAGCACACTGCTAAATTTTTACACAAAATTGTGCAAGTGTTCCACCCAAAAGCAATTTTCTGTACATTTTTTTTTTTATTTCAGTGGTCTCAAGTCACTGAAATTCTTGAATAGACAAATAGAGCAAATAATTTCAAGTACCACCAAATATAAAATAACCGAAATTGAAGAAGTAAAAACTGACATTCAGTACTTTTATACTGAGTGGTACGTTCGGAAATATATACCGGGATGTCCCAGAAATTAGTTTTTTTCTAAAAAATTTGACACAAAAATGTTATTTGCCACGTTTTCCTATAAATAGTAATTTGTATTTTCGGGACATCCCGAGTAAGACAAGTAAATGAAGAACTGCCCGACACCAAATATAAACCGAGACAAAAAAAATAACAACTTACTGTCAGCATCCTGCAAGTGCTTTAAAATAAGGCTAGGGTCGTCAATTTTTTGTCTCTTTCGTTTTAGTATGCCTGGTTCTAAAAACATGATAAACAAACATAAATAAAAGGAAATAAACACTGTCAAATACATATTCAAATGTTTAAAATATCAAAAAGGATAAACAAACACAAGTCCTACAAAAAAATCAATAACCGAAGCTATTATGCCTTCAAAGTTGTCCGACTGTTGTTCATATTCTCCGTCTGTGTAGAGTCTGTGAAATGAAAGAAAATCGGGCAGCCGATCACAATAATCACCAATTGCAGTGTTCAGTTTAATAATTAGCGTGACACCGCGGCACAGTGCCGAGACCTATTTCGATGCGCTAGAATCATCCGTCTATGAATACCACCTGTAGTTCTTTCAGTTCGCACCTTGTCGAGTGTTATACAGTTTTTATTATGTCAAAATGACAACTTCAATTTGGGTTCGATTCAATTCAAGACAATGTTTGAAGCAAATCTTTAAAGATTTAGCTTTGGTTATTGATCGTTTCCAAAAAAAATTGTATAAATATCAATAAATAAAGGATGAAAACAATCAACCCTTTATCCGTAAAGTAAGTACAACAAACGACATGTATTGAGGAATATACACATGTACAATACCATTCCGAAAATTACTTTAACTGACGGATATTAAGTCTTTGATGATAGTCTCGCTAAAACGTCGGAGGCTGTCAGTAATTTGCCCCCTTCTACGGGAGCGTAATAACAAGACATTTCGTCGAACTCGCTCTGAGTGGCGTGCGGGGCCATCGCCGTATACAGAGCGTAATGTTCCGCCTCCGTCAAGTCGAGGTTCATGTCGAAATCATCATTTGTCAAATTCAAAGGATTTTTATTTGTGATTGGGTACAAAGCGTTACTGTCGGGGATTGCCAAGTTCAGGTTGCTAGAGGGGGGGCTGTCTTTTAAGGGGATGCGTATACTGTTGGCAGAATGCGTCGATATGTTGCCAGAGCTCTTCGCCAAGTTACTGTTGGCTTGGAGAGATTTCGTGCTGGAAAATATATTGCTTTTAGTCGAGGGGGTGACGCTGGTCTCCCGAGAGGTACCAGGGGTTTTGCTTTTCCGGTTGAAGAGCCTAGAAAAGAATCCCTTCTTCTTGGGATTTGGTAATGTGGAGAAATTGGGCGTGGGCGGTAAACGTTTACCGGGAGGGATCAGATCGGCCTGCGACTTGGGTCTCTGTAAGTTAAACGATTGCGAGCGAACAGGTGCGTTACGCGTCGAACTGGTTCTGTTGAGTTTATTCTCCAGTGGGATTTCGGTCAGTTGGATGCTAGTCATCGAACCGCCTATGTATGTTTCAATTTTTTTGGTACGTTTGGGCGGTAGAGGGGGCAACTTCTCGATTTCGTTTTCACGCTTGTTGTTCAGAGGCATGTTTATTACTGGGCTCACTGGGCTTACCACTACCACTTCTTCCGTGGTTTGAAGATCGATTTGAATTGGATTTTTAAAAGCCAACTGTAAACTCGAATACGTTTTAGCATCATCGAAGGATTCATTGAACGGAACGTCTTGTATGGGTCTCTCGACGTCTTTTAACTCTCTCTGTAAGCGAGCTTGTGTATCGGAGTAAATTTCATCGAGCTCGGCAACTTGATTTATAAGTTCGTTGAACGACTTCTCTTCCATTTTACTATTATTATTACTCAACAAAATGTTATCGTCCTTGGTTAGTTTCACGACGTCCGCGTAATCCATTTCTTGACTCTTGATATCATTGTTATTCGTTTCCATAGCTTCACTCCAATTTGTGTTTAAATCCGCCTTATCGTTTGCGGGTACAACTTGGGGTTGGTTCTCAACAGAAGCAGCTGCCGCAGAATTTTCAACTGCCTGATCCTGCTCATTGCCCTCCACCAATTTACCCAATTGCCTCTTAGCAACCAACTTGGCATCGTTAGCAAGTATGGAATTAAAAAGATTGTAGTTCGCTTTTTTGGCAAAATTTCTTCTAAACGACCAATACGGAGGCCTACCTGAATCGAGAGGCAGCAGTTCGAAAGGAAGAGGTTCACTTGTCGCACCATCCGAAGGCCTGCGGAGCTGGATAAATACCTTCACAGGTTCCGTAACTTCTAAAGTCTTGTACCTCGGCGTCCTGAACCAAATTGCGTGTTGTTTGTGTACCTGGGACGGCTGAAAATCGGCAAACGCTTCCCAATCACCTTTTTCTTCATAAAACCTCACTTGGATATCTTCTTTTGCGACCTTGAACAAAAAAAAACGAGCTTAACATCAGCAGTTCTCAAACTTTTGTTATCGGTACTATGCCAGCGGTTCTCAAACTTTTGTCATTTTATTTGTACGCTGGATTTTGTTTACCTTTTCGCATAGTAGTATGATATCTTTCCTTCCACCGTCTACGAAACTCACACAGTCGGATAGCTTAATAATACTGAGATCTGACATAGCTTTTTTGTCATAAATGGGCTCGCTGACGACAGCTGGTAGTGGCACGGAGAATTTTCCAGGGGTGTTACCTTCCAGAAACACTTGAAAACATAATCTCACCGCGTTTAAGTCTATCGATGTGGGTTGATTACGATGCCCGAAACCAGCTAAAAATCAAATAAAATATTACAAATCCAATAAATGTTAGGAATATCTGAATTTTTTGTGTTAATTAATCTTAGAAAATTCGCAAAGCTTTTTGTAAGTATAAAACTTGTAGTTGAATAATGAAAAACACATAAATTTTCTAAGAATTATTGTTTTTTTATTTACATGTTGGTGGAAGCTCATGCAATGTCTACTAATAACCCAACTTATTGTACCACTTTAAGATGTGACATACTTAAGGCAGCCCTGCATGTTATATTGTCGTGGAATTCAACTTACTATTAAACGGATCAACTTTGAGTAGTTGCCTTATTTTTAAGGACTCTTCCATTTTCCGTCTTGTTACACATTGTACACCTAAATTTGACAACTGAATAAAACTCGATGCATCACATTCTATCTTATATAGTCCATTTCGACAGTTCTCTCTACCGACTATATTATGTGGATGTGGCCTTAAAAAAAAAAAGGTATGACGTAGAAAAGTGTCTTCTATTGGATTTTATTGCATCCATACAAAACTATATTTCGTTTCATAAACATATAAGTTCTGAAATTTGGCAGACTCATGTACGATTTATTTTTCGAAATCCAATTTGCAATGGGAAAGTTAGTTTAAAGAAATAGACAACTATATTATATAGAAATCTGGGTAAACTAAATTTGTATCTAGCCGGGAAAATGGAAGAATCAACCATAAATTTTCTAGTTTTGCGATAAAAGAAAAACGATGAAAAGGTTCAGAGGAAAATTAATTTAAGAACTTAACAATAGCAGATTTAAATAGGAATAATAAGTTTCTTTATTTTAATACAAGCCGCACCAATTGCCAACAACGCAAGAGCGCCGGCCTCTGGGTCTCTTTTATTTGTTTATGTTATTTTTTCTGGACATTAAATCCGTCTTTGGAATGTCACCTATCGATCCGACATTCGACGATAAGTTACGGGGCTATACCTTTGGCATATAATTTAAAATAGATCTTGATTTAACAGTTCTTTTAATTTAACATACAAAATTACTAAATTAACGCGACATAGTTTATTAAAATGTGTATTTCAGCTGATAAACAATTGTATGCGGTTTTCAGATATGAAAATATTGCACAATAAGTGGGTTTGGATGTATATTTAAGGCCGCCATATTGTTGATTGCAGATGCAGATTTTGAATATAAAACTAAAATCGCCTGACAATGTTTATTTTACATTTAGCGTCTTTTTCAAAATGGCGGCCTTAACTTTCTAAATGTGTAAAGATCTTCACATACATAAAACCAACACCAAAATTCAAACTACTCATGCAAGACGGGTGCACACAGTCAACACTGAAAATATGCAAAGCAGTGAAACATTCATCAACGAAAAAAAACTTACTTCGGAAAGGGTCAACTCGAATTTCTTCTCGAACTCGCAGAGCGTGCTCTATGTCTTTTTTCTTTACGCACTGAATGCCTAAATTCGAGAAATGTACAGTCATTGTGTCGGTCGGTATTTCTAACGTACATACTCCTCTCTTACAGCCTTCTCTACCTACTAAGTTATGGGGATGAGGCCTGAAATAAATTTGAACAAAAATAAGTTCTTAGTTCAATGTTTAGTTTTTGTGAAACTTGTTTTGTTCAGATATATTTCGCGGTGAAATGATTCGTCAATCGAAAGCTCCGTGTGTGATTTATAATTTTTGGTTTATGGGTGAAGAAATTTTAATGGAGGAAAACTATAATGAACAATATAATAGGTGTAGTGCATATTGATCTTTGTAAATTTTTAATTTAAAAGTTAAGTGAAAATATTTTTGTGATTCCCGTTGAAACTATTTGTTATTATGAGAGGCTTTGTATTATAATACACTAATGCAAAAAAATAAAGGGCTTAAAAATGCTTTTTTAATCCCCGATACGACCATTTTTCACCTAAATACAGTCCGTTAAAAACTACGGAAAAATTTCGGAAATTCTTTTGACCCTTTAATTTTTTGCATTAGTTTATGTAGTAGGGAAATAAATTATTATATTAAGTATATATTATTTTAGACATTTAACAGTACCTATAAGAAATGCCTAAAAAATATCAGACCACACAAGTGAAATTGGTAAAACTGCAACAGTATTCAGTAAATAATTAGTACATGTAAATCTTTGAATATTTCTCGGGAAAAAATACGGGCCTATAAATCACCTGGTTATGTGGGTGTGATCGGTACCGAGTTTCTCGTGTTTGTCTTACACTACATTCATGAGAATTATTTTAATTTATACTATAAACAACATTTCTTTATCCCAGACCATAATACAAACACCCGCCTGGCTATAAGATGTTTGTTTTTTATCAATTTATTAAAAAATATTAGTACTATTATTTTTCTCGAAAACATGAATAATAGAAATACTTAGATGATCAGATTACATTATTTCGGCAAACAAATATAGGAGACATTTATGGCAGGGATCGAAAAAAACCGTACATTTAATTAAAAGGTTATTAACAATTAAAACGACTTTAATAAGCATATTGCAGACTGTTTTTTCGACAGTTTTCTTTTCCTGATATGCAAAATATTTTAAGTAGCTGCGATATAATCATGAAAATCAACGATGCGATTTTTAAACAATATTAAACGTAAAGTTAACAATAATCATAAACAAACACTCAATGTCGTTGTCAAGGTTAAACACTTTACCTACCTACTCGTTTAAGTTTGTTATTCTACATTATCGTTAAATGCACACCGAGGAGAAAAATACACATAATTTATATAAGTGATTCAAAATAAAAACATAATTTAATTCTGTAGGTTTGTTGTTAATAGATGAAAAAAAAAAAAAAATAAAATAAATGTTGACAAAAATATATTACATAATTGTAAGTAAATACACAAAAATGTACACGATGCCTATGGGAGATGCAAATAGTTGATGAAAGAAAATATTATTACAATTTACTCAGTTATTCTTATAACGATAATGGAATTCGATATATTTCGAATAAATTCGTGTTTTTTTTCAAGAAAAGACGTATTTACTGCCTTCCAATATATTTGATATACTTATTTTTACCTAAAAATTACGCAATTGGTTGAGATTCACGAATCCCATCTTTTGCTTTCTTGTCTGGAACGAATTCTTTCGACCTCCAAGATTCAGACTATAAACGGAAATTAAAGCAGCTGATTGGTTGAATTTAAATTTATGGTGCGTCGAAAATAGGAAAACCGGGTAAGAAATAATCTGCGTTCATGCTTTCGCGCAGTGACCACACAGGTGGCGCTGGAGACGATTTTCTTTGTAACGAGCTAAATCGAAAGCCTGTAATTTTTATGGATGTTTTTACACATATTATAATGGTTTTGTTCTCAACACGCATTTTGCCAAAACGGTATTGTCGAGGTCGACTGAAAATGTTATTTCAATAATAGAAAAGACGTACTTTTTCGCCATGACCTTTAATAAATATAAAATATTACAAACTAACAAGCAAAACAAAAAGTCGCTACGTTTTCTATCGTCCAGGTTGATCATTGGACTATTTTTTTTGATTCCGAGGTTTATGTTTTTAATTTGAAACCAATGGGCGCAAACAAATATGTTTACAAAAAACCGAACAGTGAAAGAAAATAATTACAAAAATATAGACATTCATAAAAGATGATTTAAAAACAAAAACGATATATACAACAGGATTTTGGAAACACAAGAACGAGGTCTGAATCCTGAAACATTAATGTCTGATCGATAACGAAGCTATAAATTTAAAAAATCTACGGTTTGCCATTAAAACGTCATAATTAAATTAATGCCAGCGTTTATTTACTTATTTCGCGAATGGTTAATGATACTGTTTATATCTGGAAATGTAGTTAAAGAAACATAAAGATCTCGTGGATGTTACGAATTTAGATATTATCTACAACATAGAATTAATATGGCGGTGACCAAGGCCACACCTACCGGTGGTTTTAAGAGCTTAACCGAGGAATTAATGTTAATAAAAGAGTAATTATAAAATCTGTGCCATTAAATTTAATAGACAGAGCAGTAATACAAACTTAGAGCTATATATTTCAAGGGTACCTTCCTTGAATAGCAATAAAATAATAAGTTTGTTCCTTTTTTTTAACATCATAATTTTTTAAATGTTTAATTTTTCAGTCGAAATTAGGTCTACTTAGTGCGCCTTGTCTATACACTTGTTTACTTATTTGTTTCACGATCTTTCTAGAATACGTTGTTTCTTGCTTTCATGTTTTTAGAAGTTTAGTGATTGTTTTATACTATTCTTAGAAAGCTATGGAAATTTCGCGAAACAAAAAACAAATATAAGCGACAGCAGCGCTAGTGCGCGAAATATTTTGTTATTCTTGGTTGTCACAGTTGTCAAAGTTTGTAAACTGTGTATGAAATTGTGCGTTGACTGAAGAGAATATTTCAATCAACGAATTGTGTTAAATAAAGGAAATTTGGTACAATATTATGCTTATATTTGGTACCTAAAGGACAGAGATCGCTAAGAATATTTGAAACTTGCAAATGCATGACAGAGGATATATATAGGAAATGAGAGGACATTACTGTGTTTTTGTGTTTAGTGAAAGATGTTTAGTACGTACTACGTAATTATTGAAAAATTATCATTGCAAATTGGAACCTTTTTTGCGAAAAGTATTTTTTCAGAAAAAAGCAAATACTATAATAGTTATATAAAAGCTTCGGTAAAAGCCTGCCAAATTTTAAATTAAAAAATCAAAGCAAACGCTCGACTCACCTGTGGGGCGCATCCTTTGTAACGCAGGAAACTACAACGACGGCCCTGCCTTGGTGACCGACGATCTGTATTGTCGGGAAAGTCTTGTTCTCTGGAGTGCTGGAAGCTCCTGGAATAGATCCCGCGGATCTTCCTTCGCATTCATATCGAAACCTGAGCGCCTTTGAGGCAGGCTGTTCGATTATCCTTACATAAGGCTGCCTGACAACAAGAATAACAATTATCGTTAATCTATTAGTTATTTCTTACTGTAACAGTAAAAATAATATGCATTACAGTCACGTTTGACACGCATACCCACGATGATTCGAACCTGCTCAATCATTTGAAGTAGTTTTTTAATATCTATGAGTTTTTTATATCTTTAAAATCATTAACTTTCATTGCGGCAACATCGCAAAAACTATGTTGATGCTATGTCGCGGAATACCTAGTATTCTGTGATATATGTGTTCGGTGGTCTATGATGTGTTCCACTTTCCACGTATAACATTTGAATTTGGCGGGAACAAAGATTGTCATGTCTATTTGCTGATGAAGTCCACAGGGCAAATGTTTGATGGTTACTTGTAAAGTTAATGTTTAGTTGTTGTACCTACTTATTTTATTTTTAAGAGTGAACAAATATTAGCCTGATCGGTCAGTTCAAGTTCAATAGTATTAAAAGTTATTTTTATCAACGATATCGGTAAGTGAACATAACCTATGAAAGATTCAACATTAAACGCTTTCCTGAGCGTATAGTGGACGAGATTTTGAATACATTTAACGATGGAACATATTTTTATCGAAAATTTTAAAATAGAAAATGGATTGGTTAAAATTTGACGTCGCTTTCATGTGTTTATTTGATATTATGTGAGGTCTAAATACATCTAAAAAAAATTACGGTTTCAAGAAATTTACAGTTAAATACAAGGTACGAGGAATATAAATTGCAGTCATAATTTTATACGGAACTCGAGCAAGAAGCTCAGATGTTCAAGTTACTTCAATCCTATCATCTCCGGTTTATTTATAAACTCCGATGAAATTCGCTCGCCAGCTCTCGGTGTTCCACAAAATTAGACAGTCAAAATAGCATGTTCCATGCCGTAGCCACGAGCGCTCACAGCGAAAACAATGCTCCAGTAATCGGTTCCAAAACGGTTTAGTTAACAATATAAGGATAGTAGAGGAAATAATACTTGATCGAAAAAGCAGAAAAAAAAGTCATACCTGAAAGAACAGTAATATTTTATGGATGAATGAGAATTCTCGTCACAGACTTTGAAAAAGTGTTGGAGATCTTTTATAATTTGTTTTCGATGGATCGGTATACTGGTCTTTATCAGGAATTAAAAACGAAAGCTTACAAATAGCACGATAAATTCAAATTAACGGATTTGTCTATGCAGTTCTTGTACTACGAGAAGAAAGGTTGTTGCATCCAAACTGAACTTTCAGGCAGTGGCGCCGGATAGATATTTTTATGAAAGAGTAGTGTTATTTCTATTCCAGTAAATATTAGGATTTGTATTTTAATTAATATTAATTTAATATACGGGAGCTTTAAGTACAAATAACTATACATGTTTGACTTCTTATGTTGCGCCACGCCCTGTATGGCTCTTGTTATCTCGCACATCTTCACGGTCCACTAGATTTCAGTCGCCGATTTAAACGAGTGTTATATTTAGAGACAACTCGCAATTGCCTTACAGCCATTTATTTAATTGACATGGGGCAGCAGATTTCATAAAAACATCTTCTAAATTTAATGCCACGGCATTTCTTCGAAAGCCGTTTAGGCATTCCGCGAGCAAGATGACTTTTATTATTTCAGCCATATTTTATTTTGAAGTACTGCCAGGATGTTTCAAATATTTGTGACATTCTCGTGCCTCTCCCACGTGCTTTCTAAGTCATAGCACCAAAAAAATAATAAATTCCTTCGCCGTAATACTAATATAAATAAATTTGATCACCATGTGAAAATATATTATTGATTTTTTAAGTTTTCGTTACTGTAACTGTAACTTTCCGGAAGTGACTTAACATTTCGCAATACATAATGTCTAGATAGGAACAAATACCTAAACTTATTCGATTTTTTTTTGTTGGAAATCTAATTTTCTCTCAGTGGGAAGAAACTGATACTTTTGGATTTCGCAACGTGAGGTAACTTTTTATTTTCGGGATACAATAAAAGTACAAACAGAAGTGGGACGAACTTGACATTCTGCGTGGACAGAACCCTTACTCCCACATAGACATTTCAGTAATTTTGCTTCTGTCGGGACTTTCTATTTTCATCGACTGACACTGTTTATTCACTATTGTTAGAGTTGACTATTTTTTTCAGTGCAACCTTGATGATCAGTTATAGTTTTATAATCTGCAGGTGCCTTGCTATGATGTAATGCGATATAAAATTTATAAGATCTTGTGAAATAATTAAAAGCAAAATATACTAAAAATAGTAAAACCGATTATGATCGACGACACTAGTTATACATTTTTTATTTAATTGGTTATTTGTGCAACGTTGAAAAGAAAAAATAATTTAAATAAACACCGTATCTCAAAAAGACGAATTGGAGCAAACTTATTCATTTAACCAGGAACGTACATTGCATTTATAAAAATCAACGACTGACACTTTTGGCGGAAGGGGTTATTTAAAATTAATTATTCCTAGCGCGGCACGAGTTTAGGAGTCTGCCATATTGGATGTCCCATATCGAATTTCGAAGGTATAATGCTACATTTTAATGAAGAACAATACATTCATATGCATCTTCTAAAAAAATTGTGTAGTATTCTACATGCTTTTTTTCATTTCAGAGCTCAAAGAAATCTTGAAAACAACCAGTAGCATCGAGTACAATTTCTTGGAAGAGAAGAAGACATTTGAACGATTCAAAATGCAATTTGAAGGGAAACAGATGCCGCAACGAGTTCTGCGAAATAATGAGAAGACCTGAATTGAAGAAACTTCTAGTTAGAGATTTTTGAACCAATATCTTTTAAGGCTAGGAATGAGATACAACTTTACTAAACTGAATAGCAATAATTTGAACTAATAATAGGTTGCTAGTACTACATACGTAGTCTAAATCATTCGTCTTTTCATGAGGATTTTAGCGTTATCATACTGCATCTAATTGGTGCTGATCGACGACATTCACCTGTCACCGAGTCAGTCGATAATGCTTCAATTAAAGCCTAAAAAACTAGTCACACTGTAAATCCCCTTTCTGATGAATAATTCATAGCGTTCATTTAATCCGAACTTATATATTTTTCGACCTTCCTATAACGACGACCGAAACGATCAGTTTTATAATACCAAAATAACAGGACAGCGTTCGTAGAACTTTCTCTGCTTTTAACTGTCGGGTATATTTACCTTCTTGGCTGCTGAGCGGCAGATGGCGGCTGTAGGGCCGGTTGTTGCTGCTGCTGAGATATTTCGCCGCCTCCGTTGAACATCGTGTTGCTTTGCTGACTATTGTTGGACTCCCTAAAGTCCGGGTCTGTAGCAATGACTTCAACTGAAAGAGAAAATGCGGTGTTAGTAAAAAGTGCAGATTCATCCTAGAGGTTAAAGCAGCAATAAAAGTACATATACTGATTTTGGAAGACAAAGATTTGATGTTTTGAAAAATTTACATTTTATGTATGAACAGGAAATTCGAACTGCTGAAAACAACTCTAATATTTAAATATTTAACTTAAAATTCGATACTTACTGACATCACTCAACAAGTTACTGCTATCTCTTGTGGCCTCATCATTTTGAATCGCGTTATCTAAACAAAGAAAGCGTTTTAATACTTAAGTAAACCACTTAAATTAACTAGGAAGAGTCCGCGGTAAACAATGATTAAAAATAATGAAATGCGAGATCTTTTCCCAGTTCTTTTAATAGTTGTTCAGTTAGTATCAATAACTACTCAAACTGCTACAAATCTATGTGATAAACAAATGGTAAAACGGCAAACGTTCTAGTTTTCTCAATGAGCGTTTCGTTAAATAAGTTAGCATCATCTGGAGCTTAAGAGCTTGAATACTTCCGAGAATGTATGTACGAGTATAGTAAGCGAACATCTTCCAAAGTTTTTACTTACATTATTTCGTGGATAATTAAAATACCGCTATATAGTCTAGAAAACGGCTGCAAGTAGATAAATCCTTATCTAATCTCTGTCAATTGATTCAACTGACATGCAAGCCTTATCGAATTCTTGTGTGATTCAAACAAAAATAAATAAAAACTGCGTATTTTAATTGCAATTTAAAAAAAATATGTATCTTTCTGACCTCTACCGTCTGCATTGGTTGCCTAGACTGTTACGACATGACTAATCATCTAGATCGAATAGGTGCATAAATACTAAGTAGACTTGTTGGGGTCAACGATTAGGTATGTATCAGATACCTCTCGTAGAATTCTGGGTTTTCCCAGAGGTCAAGTCCCATTCTATTGTGTTTATTTTGTGAATTTCGGTTTTAGCGTCTGCGAAATCATATTTATAACCGACTAAGTGGTAGCTGAGATACAGTTACAAGTTGCTAAATAAAATTAGATAGTCTGAAAAGGCGCGATCTTGTTTATTTTTGTATTTTTTATTACTTAATAGTATTGTAGTGGATGGAGCGTGCGATCAGAAGTGTAAATACAGGTTATGTTTGAACTTTTGGAGCGTACAATTCGTCAATGATAATTAACGAGATAGATCCAATTTATTTCAAAATGAGATGTTAACCTAGTTCTATTGCTCGTTGAATGTGGTTCAACTTTTTTAGCCATAGGAAATCAATAAAATTCTAATATTCTCTTGTCTTCACTCGCAACAACTTTGTTCCGAGATCTTTGAGAAAAGGGCTATTACATTTGTCTTGATATAGACTGTAGGGCCAAATGAGTATGCTCGCCAAAGAAAAACCTTCAGTTTTGTTTCAATCTATGACAAACCTTAAGATTTCTTAGAAATAAACTCAGGAAAGGCCAAAATTGACACTTCATACTCGCAGAAAACATTTTCAGAAGTTTAATTAAATCGCAAAGTGAACTGTCAAAGCTACCCATAGTTTATAATCGAGAATCTAGTAAATTTCCTGTAACCGGATGTATCTTGAGTCAGTCGATTTCAAATGATCCGATTACTCAACCTTCAAAGTTATAGATTTAGGAGGAATTTATAAAAAATTGTCGGCACGTGTAACGAAATAAATTGAAAGAGATATTTTTCACATTGTTAAAGAAACAAATTTAATTTAACAATCTTCTGTAATGGACACCAATGCAATGTAATTAACAGCTAGAAGGGTAGCGTTGGAACAAAACAGTTGCTAATTTTCGTGAGAAGGCCCTAGTGCTGCGTAGATGATTTTATATAGAACTGGGTTTAGACGTACCGTTTGTCGAAAAATAGGTGCGTGCTGGCTATCTCAAATGCAACTATGTTTGTTTTGTTACATTGCAAGTGAGCGCAAATCTCTTATAAAATACTACTTATCGTTTGCTTTGTTTATTATATATTTCTGTTATCTCGAAATTGTGGTATGTTCCGTTTGTAAAATAATTTATTTAAAAATAGCACTTATGACATTTCAGTCTCGACATTGTTTTATTCAATTATAAAGTTATGTAGGTAGTGGTTGCTGGAAATTTTGGCAACAATGAATAATTTAAAAGTTAAAAAAAAAAAAATATATATCGTGAGATAATAGCAAATATACCCTAAGATTTTCAATCTTTTTTTAAATTTTAACACTTGTTATTTTTTTTGTGTAGCGATGAAGTGGAGTGACAAATAATATTTTCCAGAATAACAGAAGATGTTTGGGCGCCAGCATATATTTTTTTCTATTTTTAGGATTATTTTTACATTTATGTATTGCCAGTGGATATGAAATGGACTGTTAATTGTGCTGTTGTCTAATTCTATCGGAGAACGAATTCGTGGTAATATTATTATGATTACCAATTTTTCCTTGACAGTTGTCCTCTACGCTTATTGAAGAACGTCCTATACTCGGAATAAACAATTGGAAACCAGGTGGGGTACTCATATACATACATATTCACACGAATTCATTATCGTGCGATTTATCGTGCATTTCGAGATAATATTATGTAACTCACGGACAAGATAGAGAATAGTTTACTGGAAAAATATTAATTTATAAGTTCGTCTTAAATGAGTACATAACTGGGTACTTTATTGTATACAGCCTGTCCCGTAACTTTTGTAGTGCCCAGGGTTAGCGCAGAGAACAGATGGCAATCTGGAAATCTGCCAGAGGGAAGGATATATTTCTATTAAAATATCCTTGATGGAGACATTCGTGAATGAACTTTGACAATGCTAACTTCATAAAAATATAACTGTACCAGAACACGCGCTGGCCCTCAGACAATGAAAGAGAGTCCAGTTACAGATGTGAAGCTGTGCATTGATGTACGAATGCTATAAATGAAGATAATCAATGACTATAATCAAGGAGAGAGAAGGTATTAAAAGGATAGAGGGACATTTTTTAATCTTAAACGTCTGTGGTTTGCATTAATTTGAATAAAAATATTTTTTGTATTCCTAGAGCACCTCTTTTGGGTATTATCAGTATTATTCATTATATCCGCAAACTATATAGTAGGTTATCAATTATTTAATTTTTCTATTTTAACGGACTGATAACAGTGATGATCGGGAAAACCCAATATGAAGGATATTAAAAGAATTTGATAATATTTTGATTCCAGAAATCACAAAAATAACAAGTGCCTACAATATCCATGTTTGACTTAAATATATTAATTTAATTTTGATCGTCGTTCTTTGATAACGTTTTTATCTAACTGTAACTGAAGTAGTCAAAAACAATGGGTTTTTAAGTACTCTATTAATGATAGTTTTAGATTAACTAGTAATTGCCTTGGTGGGAAAAAAATAAAGGCAGAAGGTGCTATTCATTTATATATTGCAGATTCGAGAGGTCTTGGGCAGAGCTTTGAACCCCTTGAAAATTTACCCCTACAACATAGACTCTTTTTTTTCTCTACGAGACGCAATCTGTATTTGCAAGCGCCAGTAAAGGGCATGAAGGAAACCCAGAAGCATTTCATTTTACATATCGTTTAGGGTAATTGTTTAAGCACATTAGTTGCCCTTTTAACTCACCGTTCAAAAATTTAACAGCGCTAGATCTTATGAAAGTCATTAGACCATTACACTATTTCTAGGAATGTTTTTATAATCATTATGAATAGGCATTTATTAAGCAAATACAACTTTCTAAAATTTAAATTATTTTTAATGCTTATCCAAGTACCTATGAGTTTGTAAGTACTATTAGATTCATATTTTAAAGCAGAGGTTCTCTAGATCGGCGATATCCTCCTCCAGGGGCGTCCAAATGATTAAGGAGATAAGGGAAAGTACTAAACAACAAATTGACCAGTTGGTATCGAAGCGAAGCATAAGACGTCGATGAAGGGGTGGTGAAATGGAATATTTCACAAGAAATAAGATGTGGTGGCTGAAAAAATCACCGTTTTAGATAATGGACGAATATTTTCTCCACCCACCATGGTTTGTGGTTTTATAATGATTTTCAAAACAAACCGATCAACAAATATAATTTGTTTTCGCTTAGTTTTGGCATAATAGATTCACACAGGCGGCTAAGTTCATGGCAACCACGACTTATTTTCGTGACCGCGTTAATTTTCGTTTGTACGGTAAATTATACAAACAGTGACGATGTTGTGTGGAAAAATAGGTAAATTAGTGAAGAAAAAAAGTAATTGTCCTAAATTTTGTTTCCGTGTTTAGTCTAGGGCTGGGGGAAAGTCAGACTGAGAAGAAAAAGGAACAATACGACTCGTTTCACAGATTTGGAGTGTCTTTATTTATTAACGTTATTAAATCCGTTTTATGCGTTTCTGTTATTATGAGTGTACACAAACAAAACAACACAAAAACGTACAAGTAACATAATTAACAAAATTACGTATTAATTAAGCATCACCATGATACAGAGTTGCAAAATAAAGCGAGTGTAAATCCGGTTGCTGTAGGTAGAGCAAGAAGGTATCGGATCCAGTACCAGCAATAAAAACGTATAATATAAACCTTTGCCAAAATATTTTAGTTCATTCACCGTTAAAAATAGAAATAAAGTTAAGTAGGCAGAGCACAAGTTCTACGTTATGTACTTGGGAGTCCAGCAACTCAATTCCAATAAAAACAAATCTAGCATGCGTTCAAACAACAAACAATACGTATGTAATAATTACACACCTAAATTGTTTTCATCCATGATTATATATATTTCTAGTAGAAGTTCTCGAGTTCCTTGACAAAAACAGCGGTTTTTAGTTAATGTAAAAATGAGAGATGAGGATGATAATCGAACACAGGTAAATTACACGATTTTAGCATGAAACTTCCATACCTTAAACAACATAATATACTCCAATCAAACTCTGAAAGCTATCAAGGTCATCACTAATACACAGTTCACTTTAGCGAATGAAATAAACAGTAAACTATTCCCCAGCACTTGTCGAAACTTTTTCGAACTTTCACTAGAAGTATTTTGTGGATAAAGATATGTCAGGAACAGACTTGCCAACCGAAGCTGCTTCCAGAAACTGAGCACAAACTTAGTAAAATGAAGTCCGCCAGAGGAGATTATTTTAAGAAACGATGACCAAACAACGATTCCTAGAAATTCCGGCCGAGCTCCGTCTGATTGGGCGCGCACCTCGGTCACGTGCGTAGCGTAACCGACTAAATCAAAAGCGCGCAAGTTCAAATGTATATCCGCGGCGTGCCACCACTTTCCGCTCTCTTGCGCCACGACGCGCGCTGATCACGACAGACTGTTGGCTGGTTGCTGATATGAAGTAATTTTATTCCATCGCGGTTTCGGCCGGCAGGTTGGAGATGGAAGTACGACAGAGCGGACTTTCTCTACGCTACGGTTTAGGGGCTTTACGTTCAGATGACGTCAGGTTTATGACAATAATTCTACAGGTATTATCGACGATAGTTCATAAAGATGTTTATAAATAGACCCATCGCGTGTGTGGGAGGACAATGCGATATATTTTTGTTGTGCGAGATGGGTTTCCCTGCAGAGGAACTCGACCGGTGGATATTGGGAATGTTATGCTAATTGGTTGTTGTTAAAAATAACTCCCATTTACGGATAAAAGCGAATGTGACTTTAAACGTTTCGAGTAAACGTTTATTATTTAATTGTTGTCCAATATTCAGGGTGTTAGTTCCGATTCCCATTTTTCGACAAATTAGCTGTGCTTCAAAATCATGAAATAAACAGTAGATAGATTGATTATTCAGCTCTTAGTTTGGTTTTTCAGTTTCAACTTTTAGTTTGGTTTTTCAGCTTCAGCTTTTAGTTTTGTTTCCAGCTTCTAGTTTGTATTTTCAGCTTTTAGTATGGGTTTTCAGCTTCAGCTTTTAGTGTGTTTTTTCAGCTTTTAGTTTGTTTTTTTCAGCTTCAGCTTTTAGTTTGGTTTTTCAGTTTGAACCTTTAGTTTGGTTTTACAGCTTCATCTTTTAGTTTTGTTTTCCAGCTTCTAGTTTGGTTTTTCATCTTTTAGTTTGGTTTTCCAGTTTTTAGTTTGATTTTTCAGCTTCAGCTGTTTGTGTGGTTTTTCAGCTTTTGGTTTGGTTTTTCAGCTCTTAGTTTGGTTTTCCAGCTTTTACTTTGGTTTGTCAGCTTCAGTTTTTATTTTGATTTTTCAGCTTCAACATTTAGTTTGTTTTTTCAGCTCTTAGTTTGGTTTTCCAGCTTTTACTTTGGTTTGTCAGCTTCAGTTTTTAGTTTGATTTTTCAGCTTCAACATTTAGTTTGTTTTTTCAGCTTTTAGTTTAGTTTTCCAACTTTTACTTTGGTTTGTCAGCTTCAGCTTTTAGTGCGGTTTTTCAGCTTTTAGTTTGTTTTTCACCTTTTAGTTTGGTTTTTCAGTTTTTACTTTGGTTTCTCAGGTTCAGCTTTTAGTGTGGTTTTTCAGCTTTTAGTTTGGTTTTCAGCTTCAGCTTTTTCGGCTTTAGTTTGTATTTTTTTTGTCTTTGTATGTCATTTTTTTGTTAAGATACCCGGCTTTGAATGAAAATGAATCATTTTGCCTTTGATCAATATCTTAACTGCACAGTAAATATTAGGGCGGTTTTGAAAACTTGAAGGAACACTTTTTTTTTTCTTTAACATTAATTTGAAAGAAGAGCAGAAAAATGACTTTTTACGATTTTTTAGAAAATCTTCCGCTAATTTACAAACATTGATGAAAAGTCTAATGTTGATACAAATTTTTGCAGTACCCACAATAAACCTTAGTCCAGGAAAGGTAGACATAAAAAGAAGGAATAAGCGAACTTTTTCTCTGAGATTTTTTTTATAGAAAAGTGTACGTTTTGAGATCAGGGTACATAGGACACATACAGCGTTTTGAGATATAGACAAATATAATACGTATGATTTTTCGCGTTTTTTGACCAAAAACTGCCAATATCTTTTTCGAAAAAAATTTCAAATGAGTTATTCAAAATTAAATTTTCTACAAAATTCCTCCTATGGAAAATTTGTAATTTTTCATTCAACCATCGATATCTCGACAACCAATAATCGTACGGAGACTTTTCAAAAAGCAAATTAAATCTGAATAAACAAGCTAACTTCTACATTGATTGAGCTCAAAAACATTTTCCGGAGCCTGTGGCAACATTTTTTTCTCGAGGTATTTTTTTTGACTACTTAGCTAAAAAAAACATTTTTGTCAAAAGGTCTTGAAACTAGAGACTTACTGCTTCAAAATGCTTTTTTTATTTCGACATGACCATTTCTCACTGATTCAGCGTTATAAAAATCACTAAAAAATTTAAGAAATATTTTCCCTTAATTAGTTTATTTCTAATTTGTACAATACAGATACATGGTCAAGTCAGTAAAATAACTACGAGAAGTCAATGAATCGACTGTTTTCCGCTACATATTGACACTTGCAAACAAGGTTAATGAGGGTTAATCTATTCTTCATAAATACCTGCTCCGTAGAGATCACAATGGAAACTTGACTGTAGATGATATAGAGAACGATTGTTACCAATTATACGAAATAAACTAGCGCCAATTTTTTTGAGCAGATGAGGAAAATATATGGTTTAAAGAAGTCGAACGATAAAATTGTATTTCAAAACTGTTAACGATCCATTAGTGTTTCGTAGTAACATAATTTTCTAGAAGTTTCGATGATCCAATTGACAAGTGCCAAATGTACACGAACAGGCAAAAGTAATTCCAAGAAAGATAGTGTAGTTTTATATTCGATGAGCCGACAAATTTGGCCCATGTTTTAAAAATATTGCCATTTAATGCAGATTATAATTATCCAAAAATGAAGCCACTTTTCCTAACTACACTTAACGAGATCCTAAAATTATAATGCTGTAGTCGTTATCAGTTTGCGTTTATACTTAGAAAAGTTGGCCTCAGAACTGGACTCGTGCCAAATTGAAAATGTGGACTTAAATTCTACATTAAGTAGGTAGCGTGTAAATATTACATGCACGTCTGGCGATCTTTTGCAATAAATTTGTTCCAAAAATCAGTAAATTGGTGTTGCGGACACAAAAAATGTTTTAAATGTATTTTCCTTTTATTTTATAATAATAAACGCAAAAAATCGTTTGCTAAATTATTACCTACCGAAATAATGACACCCATTACAATATTTGACAGTTGTTGGAAAGTCACTTCTTGTCAAAGCTATGTATAGTGCTGCCACTACACCGGAAAAGCGCCGAAACATCGATTACACGGATGCCGCGATTTAAAAAAGAGACAACGGCAAACCGCTCATATTTACTCTCCCCATCATCTACCAGTTCGTGACTTTGACACTGTCGAATTTTTCTACACGACACGAACCGCTACCAAAGCTTGACACGAATAATAAGAATGAACGAAAGCGCGGAGATATTCTCGACGCCGAAACTAATAAATGGTGAAGGCGATGGGATAAAAAACATAACAGTTCGAAGACGAGTACCAGTTCCCTCTTCTAGGAAGTTCAACGCCAGCATTCCACCGGCCGAAAGTATGAGAATTAAGATTGGAAACGCCTTGAGCGAGATGCAAGGGAGGCCCAAAACGCACGCTTGCTTCAAGAAGTCCCAAACTGTCGCCGAGATCACTCCCACCAAGAGTAAGGTTAAGAAAAGGTAGGGGTTTCAGCCCTTGTTTCAGTTTTATGTAGTTATTATGACAGCAAACAATTCTTTAAACAAAAACAAAGTGTGTGAATGATTTTTGAACTGAAAATGAGAAATACTTGTTGATTTATAGGAAATTTTATGATGAATTACAATTTCATTACAAATATTTATCAAATTTCGATGTAACGACTTTGATCTTTTCATCCGGGCGTCTGGGCTGTGGAGATTTCGAAACATGGGTGATTTTTCTAATTTTTTTGGTAGAATTGTTGGTATTTGAAACAGGCAAATTTTACACATATCACGATAATACTTTACCTTTACCTAACCAAACTTAATCTAAACGAAACGACACAAATATCTCCAATACCGTTAGAGATAGGTATAGGGAACCTATAACTCAGTTTGCAAGAATTTTAAATTTCCTAACTCAAAGTAAAAATATACTGGGAGTCCCATTTAAAATAACCAAGTTATTGCTGTTTAAAGTTGAGAAAAGTATAAAAGTATCCAGCAGCTTTTTGGACACCCTGTATGATACTAAGTGACGACAAATAACTTATAACTTAACTTAAAATAATTTATAACTTCAACGATCTAAAATACACTCTCTAAAGCTGCTTCCTTAAAATTATTTTTTTATTAGTATTAAATTTCTACGCTAAGTCCTAGATATGCAGAACCTTTAATAAAGTTCACCTATTTTTTATGGTGCTTTCAGAAATGCAGTAAAATACAGGGTGTTCCATTTAAAAATACATAACTTTGATACGCTTCTCCTGGACACCCTGTATATTTTTTAAATGTAGCCGCATTCAACCTACACATACCCACCTAAACAGGTTTCTATAACATTTGCTGTTTGATCCCTAGCCACCGAGGCGTTACTGGTGTCCCACCCTGTATAAATAAAAATACACAATGATCAATCGTGATTCACGTAACCGTAAAACTATTGGTCGATTTCTGTTCGATCCGAGAAAGACCCCTTAACTTTGTATCACTATAAATATATTTGGTAAATATCCAATAAACGAAATTGTCAGTTTTTTTTTCGGTTAAGTACAAATTAATTAGCAAAACCTTGTACTTGTTCGGTAATCTAACCTATTTAGTATCTCCAATAATAACGAAGCTGCTAGTAATGCACACTTGATGTGGGGTGTATTTCGGTCCATCCCGTATTGAATATCAATGCGGTCCGCGATCTTACTGACATTGAATGGCATCACTTCTCGGAATATTAACTACTAAAAAACAGAATACAGTACGGAGATAATATAATGCTTGTTTTGAAAGTATAATTAGTTTTTTTTCTATATGTGCAACATTTTATTCGAGACGATTTCGCCTAATTGAAATGTAAACGGCAATGCATGGCGAATAATTATGTGCCTCGTCCACTTTGGTATTCTATCAGTATTATTTTATGTAATTAGTAACAATTATCCTCTAGCTGTGCGTTTACAAGGAAATAAGTATTCCGCGGAACAAAGGATTATCAGAAGCGAACGCGTATATTCTGAATTGATTAATCGAGACATTTACTGCTATCGGGTGTCCCAAAGTTCGCGCAAGACTTGAAATTTGCGCGGTAATGTGTTGCCAACGAAAAAAAGGCAGCGTGACCACTGTCAGTTCAGGATTATTAAGAATGAAGGTTTGGCAGCTAGAGATTGCAATTTTCGTACAAAATATGGTCGGAATAGTGATTTAACTTCATCAAAAATTTACAAAAACTTGTGTTTTCTATGAAACATCTTGCGAGCGTTTTGGAACACCATTTACAATTAACACAGGCCTACAGCAGGCACCACATCTTCATTTATAAATAGTTTAACGAAAAACTTATATACTGAGTGTGTCCCAGGGTGTAAAAATTTTTCCTAGAGACCCCCCCCCCTCCCTTACGGAGATACAGGCCCCTAAAAGGTGTAAAAAAATTGACATTATTGTGCTACAACTAGTCTGTCCCTGGCAAACCAAATAAACCAAATTGCTTTCATGGGTCAATTTTTAAGGAGTCTTATCTGTTGTCCACCATATTATAAAAAATAGTTAAATTACACAAAGTATTTTAAAAGTTATTTAAAAAAAATCGATTTTCAGGGGCATCCTTTAGAGGCCTGTACCTCTATAACGAGACCCTCTGGGGAAAATTTTTATAGGGACTTGTCATGGTATTCTAACGCCATTTGTGTAAATTCCAGATATTGCCCACATACTCTGGGACACCCTGTATAATTCAGAAGTGATGTTAATTTTACAATTTCTGCCTTTGGCATCTATGTAAACAGCTGGAATTGTTACGATTGTTTTGTAAATATTCAGGCATCCGGTTCTTCTACGCGCGAGAATTTTTGATAAACCTTAAATGGGATTTTCAATATATTGCATAATAATGTAAACTATAAACCAATAATTACAATGCTATTGACGCGGTTAGCTGGTTCTAATAAGAGCGCAACAAACCACCAATAACGTCATAGGTGGAATAACTGGCACTAAAAGAGCGAGATGCGATTTTTACGCATTATGCTGATAAATATGCATATATTTTAACGAGGAGAATTGCACCTGCACAACTGCACCGCCCATACGGAGAGTTGAAATGGGGCGCTAGTGACGTCAGAACGTGCCCGTACCGGTTTCTTGGTACCCCACCTGTGGTAACCTGTTGCCAATTAGGCGTGTGCGTCAATGTGTTTATTATAGCCGAGATGAATCTGGTTAAACTAATCCATAAACAATAATAACGCGAATCGGTTGTGTCGTAATTGCTGTAGATGCAGTAATAATAATGGTAATTAATTTTAATTATTCCTTTTGATAAAAAAAAGTGGTAGCTTATAACCCAGCTGTTTGATGATTTTCGTACTTGTTACTACCAACTGGAAGCTTCAGTGTATTTATTCCTGCATTTTAATATAATCCAGATGCCAGATCCAAAAATTTGACTATCCTAATCTCCAATAGACAATTTATTGAATAGGAAAATTGGAAAAAATTGGTACATGTCGATTAAAGAAAAAGTATACATCTATAAGTGAGTTTGCACCTCTAGGACGATCAAAAATAACATTTAATATCCTAGCCCTAGCCAACACAAAGTCAATTGAGAAAGAAAATTTTGGCCTCACCATGTTTACTTACTTGTAGAAAAAGAACTTTAATGATGAAAAGTTTCTGAACATAATTTTCGAAATAAAAGATGAAATTTGAGGTTGACGACCTTAAGATCTCGAATTTCTACAATTTTGTTTTTCGTAACAAACTGATAAATACAATTTTCTTAAATACAGCTCTTGCAATTACAAAGAAAATCTTACTCTGTGGAAAATAAAAGCTGGTAAACCCCTATTTTAAGTTCTTATTTCGCTCAGATTTTAATTTTTTTTGTTAGAAAGTTCTCTATGAAAACGTCCAAAAAAAAATTTGCCAGTCGTCACTGACCCAGTTAAAAAGCAACAGTTCGTTGCTGGAAAGCAGAACTATATAGTTTATATTCAAAAGTTTAAAATGCGTTTTAGGACTTAGTGTTACTAAATTTAAAAAGTAGTATTCTATGACTTATTACTTTCCTAGTTGCCATCAACCCATTACTTTAAGAACAGCGTCAATATTAGTTCCAAAAACGTTATCTACTACTTAACTATACGAAGATTATTCCTCATTTCGTCGAATAAGATATGATAATTTGATTTCTGGGTAGTGTTAAATTATTGGTGGTCAAAATAATATTATCGTCTTGCCAGTTGTGATTACGAAAATGCTCGGTTTATTTTTTATTTTTTTTGACTGAAGCAAAATAACTCAAAATTATGAAACATTACGAGATATTCAGAAATTTGAAAAGCAACGCAAACTTATTCTTAATCATATCGACATTTCCATGCGCCGAATTGAATTTTACGTCGCTACCTAGAAAAAACTCGACAATAGAATAATTTAAGTAATGCAAAAGCCATTTGTCCTTGAAAGGATACAAGTGATTAATTTGAGGCCAGTTGTACTTAAAGACGCCATATATTCACGACGGTATCTTTTTCGGACAACCGACTGACAACAAAGCAAAAACCCCCGCGCAGACGTTTCGCTTTTGTTTATGATTCTGTTGGCGTTTGAGTAATGATATAACAAATATCAACAATTCTAATCAGTTCCGCGAAATATGCCAACAAATGGGAATTCCACGCGAGGTTAATGATCCACTGACCTATAAGACGCCGTGTATGTTCGTTATCTCCCCGAATTTTCTGTTTTTTTTTTTTTTTTTTTGAGTAAGTAAATAAATAGTAACACATTAATAAAGTGGAGTTCTGAGAATGGGTTAAATAATTTTACTCAGGTGGATATGGGTTTTTGAAAGGACTTGTGCTCGTCCTTGTCTTCTTATTAAGGAAATTATACAAGGTGTATCATTAAGAATGGGACACAACTACGGTTGCGTAACATTTTTAAATGGTCATTTTTTAAAATTAAACGAATCTTAAAAAAATGCACGGTTGTAGATAGAGTAAATTACTGGTGGTAAGCCCAGTCGGTGGAAGTTCTTCAAAGTATACAGATCAATATAAGAAAAAGTTCGCTGTTCTATCAATTACCCAAATCCAAAATATTAAAGAATTTCGAAAATCAAAATGCATGTTTTTCAAAATTTTTTTGGACTTTGTGAAATTGACAGACCAGTGACTTTTTCTTATATTAATCTGCGTACTTTGAAATACTCATAAAAAAATCAGCCATATTCCTAGTTCCTTGTTTCTTTGGCCTCCACCGACTGGGCCAACTGGGATTACTTATTACTTAACACACTCTACATAGAACTTCGAACCTCCACCACCGTAACTCCTATTGTTTTCAGGCTAGCGGTGAAGGCGACCACCGAAGGGGCTGCCAAGGCGACGCTGCACGCAACGCCTCGGCCCGTCGACGAGGAGACGCCGGTGGCGTCGTCGACGGCGGGACGCTGTCCGAGGGAGAGGGCGGTGTGCGCCGTCTACCAGCGGCTGCTGCTCTGCGTTTGGCGCCGCAGTAGGGAGCGCCTCGCGACGCTCTCTGAGTCATGTGGGCGCCAGCAAGACCAGGTTTGTCACCTCTTCGCGCGGTGTATCGCGAGCGCCCCCTCGGCCCCCAGGTGGAGGTGCCGGGGTCGCGGTTTAATTGAAATCGGCTATACAGGGGCTACGGTTCAGGGCTGATAGCCGGACGAATGATTTAACATTACCGTAATTATGTACAGTGCAATGTTTGTTGATTTAGAATCCCAAGAAAAGAATAAGCCAATAAAGTTCTGTTATCGGAACTACTGTAACAATTTACCGCGACTAAGGCGTGCCTTGAAATTTTCCGACAATGTCTTTCTATCTTGGTTATCGAATGTAAGTAATACCAATAATGTGACGCAGGGGTCTTGGAATTCTATCTTAACAAATATCGTAGGACAGTACACTGTAATAAAAATTCACTCAATTTTACTCAATAACGTATCAATTTCTGTCCATATCCGATTGAGTTAAATATTCACTCTATTAGTATGAGCACAACTAAAATTTTATGAGTGAAATTATTGCAATAGAATTGAGTGAATTTTACTTAAACCCAAGTTTCTGCTAACTCTCAAGTGAATGACATTTGACTCAATTCTGAGTATGTAAAACCAATTAAGAGATCATTTTTCCCTATATTTAACTATTATTGAGAAAATCGTTGCGCCTTTTCAGGGTCATTAACAGATCAAAGATATCTGCGCTGCCGTTCCTGAAATATTGTAAAAAAAAACTGAAAATAGCGATTTTAGCAAGTATCGTTTAGCGTCTTTATTTCACAATAAAAAGAGCTGAAATTTGGTACTGGTACTGGTACTACTATAATACACTTAATATATTTCAATTGTATTTTACAAATGTAGCATGGAATATAAAAGCAATCAACAAATATTGTTTACATAATGACTGTTAAGTCGATTATGGTTTTCGTAGAAACACTTTGCATGATGACTTACAGATTTGACCTCTTCTTCGACGGCGACGATTAGAAGAATTTTTCGAACTTGGATGATGGCACTTTCTACTTATTTTAATCATATAACGTTTCATGGATATCGCAAATAATATTTCCGGGAAAACTATCCGTATTTTGATTTTTTTAAGCCAGAGTTTTCTTATTTTTAGTCCAATCAATCTGTCACGCCCTAATGTTAAATTTATAAAAATACCACCTGGACAAACATATGGTGATATAGGAAACAAAATTCTAAGAAAGATGGTGTTTTTTCCTGAGTCGCAAAAACGGCAAAGTTAACCTAAAAAATTCATAATCGTCAAAAAAACGGTTTTTCGCTAATAAAAAAAACTCCAATCGAAATAAGTTAAATGAGAAAGTTGTAGTTAAAAAACCTATCCATCAATATATCTTTTGCTATATTACTTTTCGAGATTTTTATCGAAAAAACCGTCAAAAATCGACTTTAGGCGGTTTTTTCGATATATCTCGAAAAGTAAGATAGCAATCGATATTTTAAAAATACGAATCGATAGGTTTTTTTAATAGCTATAACTTTCTCGTTTAACTTTTTTCGATTGGAGTTCAAGTTTATTTTTTATTAGCGAAAAACTGTATTTTTGACGTTTATGAACTTTTTTCCTAGATCGCCGTCTTTTTTGTTTCCAGGTGGTATTTTTTATAAGCTCTTCTACCTATTGATTGGACTATTTTTGATTTATACACAAGTTAATCATGACATAAACGAGTTTTTGTTTAATATCCCTGTTTACACTGCTAGCCATCTCAGTTACGTAGTTTTCAAAATTATCCACCGCCAAATATATTTCGAAGAATAAATTAAACGTTGTCTAGCTTTTTAATATCGGGATCACTCATTCGCTGCTTGTTATGACTGTGCGCCGTCTAGCTATAGTCGCGGCGCTCGGCGTCGGCATCATATTACTTCAGGCGGCGGTCGTGTGACTCAATACTCAAAATAAAGATTATGTACCCAGGATCACACGAAAATAATGGGTTTTATTAGTGCAGCCGATAATAGCGCCGATGATTCTCATCTAAGTTCGCACGTCTTTTAAACTAAGACTACTTAGTGGTCACTGTGACGTATTTTACAATATGTATAGAAATAAGTTAATTTGGCATCAAATATAACACCCAATGACAGAACCGGGTCTGTACAACACATGATTACCCTAATTTGTAGCAAAAGCGAATAAGTTATACATTTTTATTGTCACATCGTATACCGAGTCCAATCTGTGCTGAAGTTTTTCACACAGATATACCACAGAGTTGTGACAAGCGTATATTTTCGAATCATCAACAAACAGGAAAAAATGGAAGTTAAAGTTATTCGCTTCGTCATTAATTAACAGATTAAAAATTAGGGGGCCAAGTGTCGAACCCTGAGGCACGCCTGAGGATCACATCACTTGACTTATTCGTTCGGAAATTTCGGTAATAAATTGGGTAACACAGACTAGAATGCATACATTTTTAAGTCTCTTTATTGCTGAAGGTATTTGGTTTGTTTCAAGTTACAAAAAAAGAAAAGCAACTATGCAAATAACTTTTTATACATATCGCAAATGTGCACTTTTGATTTTATGTACTAACATACAACAAAAGTACATTATTCTGAAGCTGTTCGTCAAAGCTGTATGCCAAATTTGAATGATACCATTTCAACTCTTTTTTTTGTGATGATGTGTGTAAAACCAATCGCGAGCTGTAGGAATCATTTTCCATGAACAAATCATGGTGGTATCAATTTACATCAATAATTACATGACAATGTTAACAGCACAATAACATGCCACGAAATATCATATTTACGTAAATATAGTTTTGCTTGCGAAATGTGGTTATGTGTCACAAGATTACTAATTGAAATTACGTGAAATAACTAAAACGGTTATTATTACGGCGATTGAAGGCTGATCGGGAATAACCACAGACACAAACCGTTTCCGAAAGTTGAGCAAATTATTATTATTGCCACCAAAACCTTTGTTACAGATTTTGCACACCAGATTCGACTTTTCGCAAATCAAATTCCCCCTTTTGCAAATGAAATACGTACTTTGGTAAGCTCATTCAAAGAAACCTATTGGAAGAATTGGTGAAAGATGATTTGTTTTTCCATCGAGGTGAATTTGATTTGCAAAAAGTTAGACATTACCTGAAAATGAAAATCCAAAAATTAAAAAAGATAGCTGGGTGTCGATAATTGATATTTCAGGATGGAAAAAGGCGAAACGATTGATTAGTGCTAGACTAAAGTTTCTGTGTACATTTCCCAGATAACTCAGCTGGAAATGCAGGTGGACGTTTTGAAAAACTTAAGAATTTCCGAAAGCCAAAAGAGGAGCGAGGCTCTGAACGAAAGCCAGCAGCTGAGGAAGAAATTGGAAATTTTTGAACAGGAAAACGTCGTACTACACCAGGTGAGCAAGCAACGGTACTTACATTAAAACAGCTACAAGAATTAATCGTGCTGATTTAAAAACGCAGAAACTGGCGAGTGTTCATGAGGAACTCGAAATCACCGAGGAAAATCTGAAACTGACCAGGGCAGACCTGAAAAAGAGCTCGGAGCAGATCGCGAAGATGCAGGATTTGCTTAAGAGGAAGAAGGAAGAAAGACTGGAACTGCTGTCGAAGGTAACTAAATCTAATTTAACTTTTAAGTAAAAATAAACATTGAACCGTCGGTAAAAAGTCGTGTTCGAGGAAAAGTGATGAGGCAGGAATCTCTTAACTGCTATTTTAACCATCTTCGATTTTTTTTGCCCAACCGGTTTAAGATGAGGAATTGCAGATGATATAAAATTGTAATATTCTGGTGGTCGGCGGCTGTCGTTTCTTGGAAGCAACGGTACAACGGGCAAAAATTCTAAATCGATTGGCGCTAAAACATAGTTGTAGTCGGCAGGAATTTGCACAGCGTTTAATTTTAAAATGTTATGGTTCCTCTACCGTACACTTTTTCTGGGTTCTAAGTAGCCAGAAAACTTTCTAAGCGGCTGCAATTAAGGTCATACTGTACTTTGAGTTACTATAGTAGTCACCCCTTTAAGGTGTGTAGGATCTCCTAATCTAGACAAAATAGAAAGTCGGTTGAATTACAGAAAAATGCTGTATTTTCAAGCAATTATGATTGTGATTTCATTTTTTAATTTAAACTTCAATACAATACGGTTTAAGTTTCTATGTTTCCGTTTGGTGTTCTAAAAGTTTGCTATATCTTATTTCCCAGTTTTTTTTTCAACCATCATTTTTATTTATCAGGCTACTTGAAATATGGAATTATATTTTTTAAACGCTTGTAACTTCTAAACATAGAGCTTGTAGAACACCCTGTATAGTAATCCTTATTATTTTTTCTGTGTGGGCAGTACATAATTGTTAGTATATCGCACCTTCTTGACCTACCACAAATTTATACATATGTAACTATCTGGAAAAGCCCAGTATTCCATTTGAACTCGAACCAGTCTTCGAGGGAAACTTGCGGTTGGTTCCGTTGGTTATCGCCGATAATATTTCTGCCGTTTCCGGTTTTCCCACCCAACGATTATTCTTGAAAGTTACTTCGGTAGCCTTTGTTCGTACAGTTCCCGTAAATTAATAAATCATATAGGCCAATCCTCGATCAACGGAGATTTGTTCGCATTCTAATCGCTCTTATCGAATTTCGAGTTGCAACGGGGAAGTCCCTTAAGTCGTAAGAAGTGACACATGGATAATTGGTTCGCTTTTTGTTTTACTGTTTGGTGGTACTATGACCCCTCGACAGGCAGGATTGTTCCAGCAACCAGGAACTGTTGGTTCAGCTTCTTGTGGTGTGCTATACTCGATAGCTTAGAATCTTGGTTATCGTAATTAGTCCAGCAGGTATCTGTAGAAGACAGTATATAAAAATGAGGTTTATCTTTGTTCTTATTGTGGGTCACATTATATTTTTATTATTCGTTATATCTTCTGTAGTGTTTAACAGTAAAAAGTATAGTATATTTTGACATCTGGAATTGCCCAATAATAATATTTATTAAAATACAGAAAATGAATGTGCCCACCTCGTGCAAAGACCTTAGAGAAGTCAATATTCAGATAAGTAAGGTAGCATAAAAACGGTGATAAAAAAGTGTTGTTTGAAGGTCGAAGGCAGGTGCTGATCTGCAAGATGATTAATCGTGACCGACCGATCGAATTGGTCTCAAAATTATAGTGTCCTATAAAACTTAAATAGGTATCCGGAGATATCTAGCGGAAGCTGGTAATAGCAGTATCTGTAGAGGGTTGCAAATCTTTCCCTGCAGGGTGTTTAACAAGAGTGTAGCGTTTTTAAATTTTAAAGTATATTTCTTCTGAGTATATTTTTAACCCATTTTGATTTTCCTGTACAGTTCTGCAGACAAACTGTCCTGCATTTCAACTGAAAGATCCTATGCTGTTTTGTCAACACTCGTGGACTTTTCTTGGAAAAACACCTGCAATCAATTTCGAACGAAAATTTATATTCAGTAACTGCTCACGTTTTTTTCTGCCAATGCAAATCGACTATGAAAAAATCCGCATTGACGCAAAACCTGCTTTTGCGTTTCTCTCTTAAAGCTAAACGTTCTTTTATGCATAATGGGGAAGGTGTATTACCGGTAATGCGTTATTATAAATTCAGAAGTATGTGGATCTGTTTAAAACCGCATGCATGCGGGGGCGTTCTGATGATGTTCTTAGTCCTGGAATTCCCCATAGCCTTCACGCAGAACCACCGCCAAGGTCGTTCAAAATTTCTTGGTACGAGGTTAAAAATTTTGCTTTCGGTACGGTTCATTGACGTTCCTGTAAATACTGTGGACGCGGTATGATTAATAATAAAAAAAAATCGTCCAATTTTCCTGGTCTATTTAACTAGGTTTTCAATCCCTGCAAACGTTTCCAAAGCGTTCGAGTAATATATCGAATAGTCCTCCAGCCACACCTAGATTTTTTTGATGTCATTGTGGTAGAGTCAGGTGCTTATTTCTTGTTAACCATAATTTCGCGCGAACGGGCTATTATTTTTATGCATATTGTGAAATAAAGCCACGCCGAAATTGATTAATGATATGTAGCGGCAACGTCTACAGAAATATTTTTCAAAGGCCATTTACAATTCTAATTAGGTAGAATGTCGTACTTAGTCTTTTTCTCCGAAATAAAAGATCGGAGAAGGTAATTGTGCAGTTTTATGCAAGAAAATGTGGCATAATAGCTTTTGCGTTTTTGATGGATGGTACTGGGTGTTTTCTTGATAATACGGATACGACTATGTACATGTCCTTACTAATTTTTTATGTTAAAGGATATTAGTGGTTATTCTGAAGAAATATCGAAGGTGTCTTAAGAAAAACAAACATATAGTTTGAATATAAAGACGGATGCAAATTAATTCTAAAATTTTTAAGTATTATCACCAAACATAGACCCGTTTCGAACATATTAGTTCTCATCATTATGCCATAAGTGAGACAACCGACTTATGAGAGGTTATATCTCACCCACACACAATTTGCACTTGAATTTCATCAGATTTTGAACGACATGTCCCATTTTTAGCACAGTGTCGTAGTTTAGCTCGTAAATGTCATAAAATGCAATGTCGCGCAAACACCATAGTCCCTGATGGATAAATTGGGCTGGCGCTGATATTTCTCAGAGGTCAAGACGTATCTGCCGCCTTAAGGTGAATGGGTGTGTAGGAAATGTAACTAATCCGAGCCGAAATCGGCTCTGGAAATCCCCATCGGTTTGCGGTTTCTTGAATGAAACGTCTGCTCGTACTATTTATTAACTTATAGTAATATTCGATTGCTTTATTTTTTTAAGGAAATCCCACAATCTAATTAAGCTTATTTAATCAGCGGGTTTTCACTTCTTGGCGCTTCCGTTGTCTAGTTCGGAATGCAACTTGCGTCTATCGGATAGTGTGGCATGTGATGTAATCGTCCTCCTCGATATCCCGCTCGGTCTGTGGCTTTTAGGTGAAATGGTGCAGTTCGGATGTAGGAAAACCTGTGTTAATCGGCGTAAATGATGGGATATTCCGAAATAAGATCGGATCTGAAATGGTGTGCATCATGTATATGCCCTTATACGATTAATTATTTATTTCCCAACAGACTTAATCCAACAGGCAACTCGCATATATTTTTTGTGTTGAAATAATTTATAACCTTGTATAATCTCCTAGTGAAACTATTAGAAATCTCTTTAGTTAATTAATCATTATTTTTTTAAAGTTGCCGCGCTAATTCGTGACGTCATTTAGTGCGATCAAGAATTTAATGGATACATGACACATGACAGGGATAATAGAGTTAAAATATTGATAAAAAATTCATGACTATAGTATAAGTTCGAAATTTCTAACGATAGTAACCAAATTTAGGTTGTTTCACGTTCTCTTAAAAAAATGAAATGGCTGGATAAATCTTTTCTAGGTTAGTTTAAAGATTATAAAAATAACTACATTTTGACGCCAAAAAGGGTTCTATATCTTTTTCTGTTATCAAGTTATTCGCAAATTAGAGAGCAAAAAATAAATAATGATAATGAATTGAGGAACACGACGCTAACGAAAAGATATTTAATTACCGAATTAAAATGCGTTTATAAAAGAACCTACCTAAGCACGCAATGAAGGTTAAATTCCTGTATTGAAAATAATGGTATGCATTTCGAGCAATTATAAACATATTTACTTTTGTTAAAATTTAATTGTTCTTTCGTTACATAATATCAATATCTGTTTGTTATTGTTTTTGTTATTATTTTCAAGACTGTTATTGTCTCACTCATTTGCGTGAGTTTAGGGTATACGTGTTTCGTAGTGATCTAGCAATGGTTTTATCACTCTCTCTAAAACCATAAGAATAACAAGGACAAATATAGTAATGTGAGCAACCTGAGTGATGTTTTGTAGACTTTTTTTAACAGAATTTATTGTTTCTACCAAAGCAAATGCTTTTAAGTATGAAACAAATACTTCAAAGTAATAAACATAGTTATTAGAGGTATTGCTTCGAAAACATATAGCAAAGTATTTGCAACTGTTTATTTACGAGAGCCATTGATTTCAAATTTGGTATAAAATTTGAAGAAAAAATAACAAGTGCAATTTTCGAGTTTTTTTACGAATAAGAATGCTGGTGTTAAAAAAAACAAATATTTTCAGTATTATAATTCTATTTTTCATTAGTGGTAAACATATTTTCTTATACGTTCTAAACATCTGGCTCTTTAATTTTCAACGAATCTTAAGCTTTTATTGATTTATGTACATAATATGTAAACAAAATTTTATTTTTATTTGTGACTGTGACTTAAGTGGCAAATATTGTTGTCTAAACTTTAAGTTTACCACTAAATTCGAAAGGTATATGGGAGCATGTAGAACTTATTGTACATTCTATTTTGTGTGATCTCTATGAATAAATTTTATTATTTATTGATCTTGAAACCTCCACAAAAGACAGGTACTTCACCAATGTTACAATACACTTTTCCAAAGGCCGAAACAAGGTCACCGTGTTTTCGTCGCCGTTAATTGCGCTTATAATCTCTCTAAATCGTCCCATTAGCCAACCTGTCTTTACGTATCGGGGTTTTCTTGGAAATATCTGAATTTTTAAGAGGCAAGGGATTTTATAAAACGTTCTCTAACGCTTAATAGTCCAGACGGTATGTGTTTCAAAAAGTCCTTATTTGAGTGAATCGTATATCGACGGAGATTTTTGGCTTTTTGGCTTTCCAATATCTGTAGAAATGAAAATTTTTCTATGCGCATAAAAAAAACGTGGGCTTAACTTTTGGCGGCACAATATGTTAAAAAAATTCGAAATATGTCATATTTTTCTTCGTATTTAATTATGTATCTTTTCAAGAATATTCACAAAGTTATTCTAATTGTTTATAAATACAAAAATTCGACCAATGTTTAAACAAGCGCCAGAGCTCTCCTAATTGGCGGATCCGAATTTTTCAAAAAGCGTTTGAAAGCTAGAGGGCCCTTCTATATGTGATTAAATTTTCAAGTATCTGAGGGCCTTGGTTTTTGCTGTGCAAAATTTTGAAAATTTGCAAATTTTTTTTCAAAATCTGGATTGTAAAATTATTATGCAAAATCTATGGAACGGATTTTGATGAAATTTGGTGTGATGATTCTACATAACATGAAGTTTTCTTGAGCCAAGTATGGAGGTCCTATACCCAATTTAAAGATCCCAAAAAAATTCCCTAAAAAGTAATTTTTTTTAACCCCATTTTTGGCAATTTTTTCGATTTTTACCATAATAATCATGATTCATTCGAGTTGTAACCAGTCATATTTTGTAAAAAAATTAATTACAAACATTTTTTCCTCTTCCATTTTCGCCTAAAATCAACTCTTGAAAAGATACATAATTAAATAGGAAGAAAAATATGACATTTTACGAATTTTTTTAACATATTGTGCCGCCAAAAGTTAAGCCCATTTTTTTTTATGCGCTTAGAAAAATTTTCATTTCTAGTGATATTTGAAAGCCAAAAAGCCGAAAATCTCCGTGGCTATACGATTCACCCAAACCAAAACAGATATCGCCTAGTCTATAACCGGAATCTGTCCCAACCCGCGAATAATTGCGTTTCAGAATTAAATTATTTCTTAAACTGGTTTAATCAATCTCTCGAATGATCCTCAATTCGATAGACTGTAAATGTTATAAATTAATTACATCTCCGATTTCACAGCAGAGCGACTGCTGTCAGGACCGGCCCCAATTGGGTGGCCAGAGGCTCGCTGAAATCTTATTGGCCGGAAATTCGGAAAGATGGCTACTAAGGATTTTTTTTTCGGGAGAATTGGAAACAGCGTTAAATTTAACTGTTAGAGTTGCACGTATTCATCCTATAGACATCCTATTGCTGGTTGCTTTTCCGTTTGGCTTCCAGATGAACTTCATATAATAAATTTATCAAACTTTTTTCCTCCTACGGAATATGGGCCAAGAGAAAACAAATTTCCGTGGACCATCATGAGCTATATTTTCCAGGAATTTCCAGGAATCTGTGATAGCTTCTCGTAAACAGAAAACTGCGACATCCCGCTCAATATACAGTACGAATCCTCGGAAATGTACATGTTAGTTTTTGTGCAGATATTGACGTAGAATAAAACCCTAAGCTAATGATAATGTGAAACCCCTTTCACCCTGCACACATCGATTTCCGCTTTCGTTAAAAATACATCCGCAGGACGATTAGCCCCTCGTAAGGGCTGAAAGTCGGAGAATATTAAAAAGCTATCAGGTATTGTACCTGGGGCGTGCATGTAGACCAAACGGCGCTTGCTGCTTTACCGTGTGGCGCCCCATAGAGGCGTCTGTTAGTCATCACGCATGGACTTCCTTTTCCGGAAGGGCTAATTTACCTCGAGACCGGGAAACCTAAAATACCTCCCCCTGCGCTCGATACGGTTTTTCTTGTGGAGTGCTTCGGAAAACGCGTAACTGAATTAGAAACGTCTTTGGACTAGAGGTTCAAAATTTTTGGAAAAGTTGGTCGTTTAGAGAAAGCGTTTATTTTTCCAGAAAAATTGGGGAAAAAATAGGAAAGTCAAGGATATACAGGATTCTAGCCGCTATGTCGATATAAATAATATATGGAACACCTAATTACTCATATTTAACTCGTATGGAGTAAAACCGAAAGACAGAGGGCAATATTGACGCGCAACGGCGATGACACATAAGCATTGGGGGGTTGGGGGTGGCGTAATTACAGGAGCGGGTGCGGTGACTCACCCGATCTCTTTTCCCTTTCATCCTTGGTTCTCCGTATCTTTTATGTAATTTTTGCGATTTCCGCGAATCGAGATGAGTAACAGTTTGATTACATATTCTGTGCTGGTTTTTACATTAACGATAATTTAGAGTCTAAAAATAGAATGTAAATATTAATGAGATGCTTACCTGTGTAAATGCGACTCTTCGTTCTGAATTTTATAATGTTTGGAACGAAATTATTGAATTGTGTTTGAATACTGAAATTTTATGGGAATACAAAGGACATGCCTGACATACCTATATCAGCAGCTAGCAAATGCGTTTTTAAGAAACCTGTTTGTGTTGTTGAATTTAAATAATGGTGATTGGTCGTTGCATTAAATTGTACACACACACACTCACAAAACATTTTATTATAGTATTTTTATTTGTATTCACTCAAAGTTAACAAAATTAAGACAAGATTTAAGTTAATATTTGTCCTGTTTTTATATAATTAACTAGCTGATAAGCTGATTAACGTCAATGATTTTAGCTACCAATCAAATAATTTGTATTTCATATAAATACGTTAATTATTAGCCGTAGATTCATGTTTTCTGATTCTAAGAATAAAATAAGATAAAAAATTTCTGGAAATGGAAATAACGACCGGCATTTGTTTCGATTTTCAAGTCCAGAAGTATCAGGCTCTTTTTATTTTAGATACTGTAAAGACGTCTGCTGATTTAGGACAATATAGCTAATATTGGTATAACAATTGATTTTTTACTACATTGAGCAGCATTGACAATTAGAGTACGACAAACTTCGACGGTAGACAGACATCCAATAAGTCGTTTGTCGATTGTCTCACTTGTGGCAGTTGATGAGAACTAATAAGTTTGAAACCGGCCCTTCTGCAGACGAATGATTTTATTTATTTACTAGTAGTCCAAGCATTATAGAGAAATGCTTACAGAAATTATTACCTGGAAAAAAAATATGACCATATAGAAAATTAAATTTTAAATTGAGTTTCTTATTCTTTAAACTCGATCCAATATGGCGAACATGGTTAAAAAAAATCGCAAAGTTGAAAAAAACGGTTTTTCTAAAATAACTAAAAATATAGCACGGATTGAAAAATTTTAAATGAGAAAGTTGTAGGTTTTAAAAAGATCTATCGACTGATTTTTTGAAAGTATCGATTGTTTTGTTACTTTTCGAGATATATCGAAAAAACCGTTAAAAATCTTCTCTTTTCGCTTCTTCTATAACTCGTTTACATTTACGTGCCCATATTTGCTATTTACTGCAAGCATAGCCCGCGGCAAGCCAAAAAAGTACATTTTTGAAAAATTTAAAAATATTAATTATTTTTCGATATATCGATTTTTTGAAAAAAAAGGCGCTCTCGAAAATTGGCCAGATCTTCTCAGCGGATAGCCCTACAGTAACGATTTTCGGTTTATTTTCTTCGTAAAGAGTTATATTATCATACTGTTAAAAAATGTTGACGATTTTATTAATTTTAAGGATCAAAAAATGACTGAAAAAGTTGCACTTTTTTGGGTATGTAACTATTTCAATTTTTATTTTATGAAAATGACTTTTAAAGAAAGAAAACTAAACATTTACGGGTCTATTTTGCTTCTAAGGCGAAAATGCTATAATATTCGTGTTTAGCTACCCCAGATTAAGTACAAAAAAATAATAAAAATTGAAATAGTTATTTGAAAAAAACATACCCAAAAAAAGTTTCAGTCATTTTTTGATCCTTAAAATTAATAAAATCGTCAACATTTTTTAACAGTATGATAATATAACTCTTTACGAAGAAAATAAACCGAAAATCGTTACTGTAGGGCTATCCGCTAGAAGATCTGGCCAATTTTCGAGAGCGCCTTTTTTTTCAAAAAATCGATATATCTCGAAAAATAATTAATATTTTTAAATTTTTCAAAAATGTACTTTTTTAGATTGCGGTGGGCTATGCTTGCAGTAAACAGCAAATATGGGCACGTAAATGTAAACGAGTTATAGAAGAATAGAAAAATGAAGATTTTTAACGGTTTTTTCGATATATCTCGAAAAGTAACAAAGCAATCGATACTTTCAAAAAATCAGTCGATAGATCTTTTTAAAACCTACAACTTTCTCATTTAAAATTTTTCAATCCGTGCTATATTTTTTTAGTTATTTTAGAAAAACCGTTTTTTCAACTTTGCGATTTTTTTTAACCATGTTCACCATATTGGATCGAGTTTAAAAGAACAAGAAACTCAATTTAAAATTTAATTTTCTATACGGTCATATTTTTTTTGTCCAGGTAATAATTTCTGCAAATTTAACATTAATCCGTGACAGAATGCTTGGACTATAGTAGATACAAGGCAATTCTGTGACCCAGTAGACATTGCATTGCATTGACAATCAAGATATGATATATTTTTAAGGTTATATCTCACATAAATTAATTAAAACTGATATTTCTACCGTTTTGTCTAATATTTTTAACTTTCAGACTTATATTTACCAATTTTTTATCCGATTAAGATATTGTAGCATTCTACTTTATTTTTGGAATTTTTCACACAATCCATTCGTCCATATAACTTGACCAATTTTTTGTTGACCAAGATTTGTAAAACAGTTCTGTTCTAATTCCATGAAAATAAAACAAAGCAACATTCCAAACATAAATAAAAGTTTTCCTCCTGTTATAACGAAATATGATTATTGTAATTGTACAACTTTTAGATATCCACTCAAGAATACGAAATACTGAAACAAAATTCAGTAGCGTCTCAGTTAGAAGAACAACTGAAGACGACAGAAAGAAACCTTCACAATACCGAATCAAGCTTCAAAGCGAAGCAAGAAGAATATAGCGAAGCCGTTCTGTAAGTGTGCTCTTTGGAGGATGGGACAACCATTTTAACCTCAATTTGTTATTCACAAACGTCTATTTTTAGGCAGTGGCAGAATGAGGCGAATCTGAATTGTTCCCTAAACGAGCAGCTGCTCACTCTGCAAGAAACCAAGGTGAATCTCGAGAATCAAGCGAAAGATTTGGAGAATCAGCTGGAGGAATATTCTAAGTCTTGCGAAGAGTTGATAGATGAAAATCTATCGATGAGATGTAGTTTACATGAAGTTACGCTGGAATTGTGCGAGGTAAAAAAGCAGACGTGGCTTAAAAATGCCAGGGAGATAGCCTCGTTGTCCTTATTTGCTCTACAGAAGGTTGCGTATGTTCTGCTGCCGGCATATCTAGATCGTCCCGTGAAATAGGTATTATGTATTATATTAGTATTGTTAAAAGTTTACAAATCTATATTTATATTTTCATTTTTTATGTTTATTAATTGTATACTTGTCATTTTTGAGAAGTTTAATATTGATCGAGGACAACACATAATTTTTTTGCTTCGAGGATTAGTTTGTGTGATATGAATTGTATTTAAAGATGAGCTGACGTAAGCAGTAAGTATGAATTACACAGCTCCACAAAAAAGAAAAGTTGTGTAGCATCGACGTGAGTACATAGATTTTGTGTATTTTTTTATGCTGAATCCGAATTCGTAGTTCAAAGATCAAATAAGGACTGTTAATGTAAAATAACATGAAAAACCATAGTTTTGTATTTTATACTACCAAATACATATAAATCTAGGTTGATAGACAACATACCAACAAAAAACATATAATACAACTTACCCCTCAAAGGGTTGGAAAGCACTTCCAGACCAGGGTCCCACTTACCCCTTTAAATCACACATTTTTCTATTGAATATTTTTGCCTGAATTTTGTTGCCTCGGGTTTTTGGGGTCGCTGATTACGAATCTGAAGGCTGAATAAAAAAATTCCTTAATAAAAAATTGATCCAATATACAGGGTGTGTCACTGAACACTTCCGCTACCAATATCTCCGAAATTAAATTTATTTTAGTTCCGCAAATGGGTTGTTAGTTTAAATCTTTCTGTATAGATGGCGCGGCGATACTAAAAAAATTTTTGATCCCTGGAACGTGGAGATACAGTCCACGCCACGCCATCTATACAGAAAGATTTGAACTAAGAGTTCTAACTACAATTTGAAGCTATTAGAGGGACCTAACAACCACAATTTCCTGAACTAAAATAAATTTGTTCATTTCGGAGATATTGGCAGCAGGACTGTTAAATGGCTCATCCTGTATATTCAGCAAACAAAATTTGAAGATATAGCTGAAACTTGGTAGTTTTCAAAGTCGCCAATCGCGAATATAATCTTAAATCCAAAATGGCGGACCCATTGTGGCAGATTGAAAAGTACCATAGAAAATGGCATTTAAACACAGTGGCGTACCTAGAACTTTTGCCGCCCGGGGCGGTCTCCAATTTGCCGCCCTTTCTAAGTCAATCAAATGGTGGTTTTTATAAATTAATAAACATAAATAAATAATTAGTAGTATAGAGTAGTAGGTACATAGAACATCTACTCGAGGTCGGCACCATTGATGTCTGTATCCGAGCAAAATTTTTAGAGATAATATTTTCAACCCTACATTGAAAAAATATTCGAAATCATATAGTAATTCATGATTCCTAGAAATCGAATAGAAAACTTATGATTTGAACAATTTGTTTTTTTACAACTAAAACTAATTATAAAAATGCCGCCCCAAAATATGTGCCGCTCGGTGCATGAACACCTAGGTCGCCCGATTTAAATCCAATAGACTTTTTTTTGGAATCATCCAAGAGTTAATTTATTCAACAGCCTTACATAGCAGAAAGGGACTTTTGCTAAGACATCTCACATGACAGGAATATATTTGATGAAAGTAAACATTTTATTTTATTTTAAATTTGTAACTTGCTTTTCTTTACGCTGTGACCAACTAGTAAATTCATGAAACAATTTGAGAGCGATTAATTTCGAAAACCAAGTATTTTATTGAAATAAATATCTGACAAAATTTGTAAAAATACGTACTGTGGTCAGTTCGATTCTGGATACGTCGTAATAGCAAAAAATCGGTTTTAACATCAAATTATGGAGCCTCATCTGTACCTAATACATTGTACAAAAATGTTATCACAATACAAAATCCAAAATGCGAATTTCTACGTATCCCTTTGGGTTTGATACATGCGCGCCAGAGATTAATAGATACTTACCAACACCCTGTATGTAAACAAATATATCTATTAACTGGAGTTGACTAGCGAAGGAAACAAGTTAGAAATATTTCCTCTCACATCAAGTCTTTCAGTAAGTTTGTAACTTGGCCACTAGATGACACACTCATCATTAACTGAAGACCGCAGAAATTGGGATATTACTTTTATTTTGTTTTATTTCAATGCCACTTTTTCCGTCGAAATAAATTAAATCCACAGGTAAACCATAGTTTAAAAAATTTAATTAGATGAATATATAAATACTTCTCAGACTTCAACAGTAAAAATATAATATTAAGCGAATTAAAATTAAGTACAAAGTAAAAAAAGTGAAACCACTATATCACACAGCAAAAGGAAAATACTGAATTCTATAATATCAACGGGATAATGCTGGATTCAGACCATTCCGAAACCTTCGGTTCCTTCGCTGATCGCCAGCAGGAGGGATTTTTCGAAATGCTCGTAGCAGTCGTAGTCCGGCAGACATAGCTGATTAAAACTGCGAACAAAAAAAAAAATTGAGTACACAGTGCGTAGAAACTACAACTAATTCGGAAACGATGCCAAATTAGGTATCAGATCATCACCATCTAGATTACCAAGGCCTCACATCTGATGTGCTATTGTTTGGTGACGTCACTACGCATGGCATTCTTAGTCTGTAAATTGTAAATGACAAGAATATTTGCTTAATCTAATTTAAAAATAAATAGTTACCGCGACAATTATTAGACTGATGAAATAGTAAAACGCGATTTAAAAAAAAATTTAAATTCATCAATGGAAAGTAAATTAATTGAGGTTATGATATGGTTGTTGCAGAGTTGCTAGATAAATTCTTAGTAAATCAGTAGTTGCCAATAAAAATAAACTAAATAGAAATCAGTGGATAATTTTTCAAACATATACACGGACACAGCTGGCAACGGTACAAGGTCCATCTGCCTTTACAAGAGAGCGATAAAGTAAAGTAAAGAGATCCGTGAGATCAAAATCTCCAACAACTGTACAAAAGTTCGATTAATTAAGAAATACTGATATAACCGCGTGTATAGAATGCCATAAAATACAATGTTTATCACTTTCTTGAACTTCTTTAATTAGCGTTATAATAAATTTAAAATTCGATAAAATTCATATCCAGCAATGTGACAACAGCGCGGCGGTTTATCAACACGAGGTACTAAGGTGTCCATTACAGAATTAATAAGAGCAAATATGGTACAAAAAATAAGAAACAAAACAAAACAAACAAAAGAAACGGCAGACCTTGTGGTGTTGATCTCTTTTCTACTTACCAAGTGTGTGCGGTAGGCAAATTCCCGAAAGTAGGTGCAGCGGTTATCTGAAATCTAGGAGTCAACTCTTTGAACCCTCCCGGGGGCAGCTGGGAACAACCCGTGGTGAACTGCAGCAGCCTCGCCATCTCCTCCTGGGTGAAGTTACCCACCGCCGCCCAAAACCAACCCACGATCCTCCTAAATTCGGCGGAATTCCCGTTGACCACGTGATGGGCTTTGAAATCGGCGATGCTGTACTGGCCGGTGCCGCAGAGCAAGAGCTGAAAGGCCCATAGCGACAAATATTATTAATTTATTTATTGTGGAAATGATTTGATAGTTTAGGTGGACACGACGAATAGAAATGTGGTAGAAAGGTACGCAAGATTTGATCTTTGATGTGCAGTACGGCGTTTGTCGCCGGCAGAAAACAGTTCAGTCGCGTCGTTCGAATAATTAAGGAGTCAGAGAGAGCCGCAATTTAATGGCGTGCCAAGCGGATCTACCGAGACATGCGTGAGCCGCCGCCTTATGCTTTTCACGTTCACGTCACGTTAGTATACTGTTGCCTTTGTTATCGTGCGGACGTGGCGTAATTAATTCCTATCCGTTGGTGTTTATGGTGGTGTATTGTACACTATTTAATTTTTTGTTTTTTAATAAATAATGGCGCAAGCCTACGTCCCGCGGTTCAGTTCTGACAGTTCCACAAATAATGGATGGATCGATGTTCGTCGCTCACAGTGTAACCAGCATTTTCTGCCGCCGGTAAGGTAAACTACAAAATTAAATCATTGCTAGTTTTTCTTGGGCTAAACATTAATCAGAGAAGACCACAATTTTGCACGAAACTCGACGGTTTGTTTACATTCTCATGCACTGATTAGGATTCTACTTACTTCCAATTCGTTCTCATCAAAAATGCTCAGCAGGTTGTCGGGTATGAGTTCGTTTAGTCCTTTCAGAAACGCCTCCATTTCGTCCTTAATACTCGTAGCTAATTTGTACTGTGCTAAAGCATCTAAATATTGCAGTTTTGTACAGTTCATCACTTTCGTCTTCGAACCGTTCGGGATCAGCTCGATCGTCTTGATCAACTGACCAGACGAGTCGTACTGCTCCTCGACGAAGTAAAGTTCCGTTTCTATTTCGTCGATGTTGTTCTCCAGAAGGTACTTGATTTTCGACAAGTACAAATCCGGATCGTCTTGTTCGAAATACTAAAAACAGCAGAACAGTCAAACAATTAAAGGTATTCGAATAATCGCTCGTTTACCTTATAATGTACGCGAAGGCCTATAACTTGTGCTAAAAAAGACCTAGTAAACCTAGCTCTAACTAATTGTCTATAAGATCCCCCTAAAGCGCTTTCGTAGAGACACTTTCCGACCACCTTCCCCGCAAATTCGTAATGTCTCAGCTTCAAATGCCCTGGCCTTTGCGGATTCGGATGGACTAGAGACTGCTGGCCCTCGTGGAAACTTGTGAACAGTCCGTTTTTGGCGTCGAAGAGTTGTGCGCAAATCAACTCGAACCATTCTCTTCGAAGTCCACCCCAATCGATTCCTGAAAGTGTTTTAATTAATATATAGCGGAACCTCGATTATCCGTTCATGGCTTAATCCAAAAATCCAGTAATCCGGACGAAAGTAGCTAAATCTAATAATCCGGACTACATTCTGTTAATTGGAACATTTTAAAATGTAGTTCGAATTATATTTTTACCGTTTTCAACGTTAGTAGGTTAAAATTTGTAAAAAAAAACTTCCAAAGTCAATACATTGACTAAACGTAAACATACAATTTTGAAATTAAAAGACAAACTAGGCATCTTGGAAAGGTTATATGATGACCTTGGAAAAGTCTTGTCGCTAGAATTAAAGCAATGGGCAGAATGAAGAGTTGAATTTTTCATCAGATGATATAATTGACCAAAAATTATAATACTTTGGAAGAAAATACTGAAAAAACAATAAAAACGACGAAAATGTGATGAGATTCCTGGTTATCGAACTTCTGCTGCACTTCTCTAAAAACCTTTTCACTCACCTTGCTCCCCTTGGAACGTGACCTCGAAATTCCTGCACCAGTCCGACACCGAGAAGTTCTTCGTCGCTTTGATGCTCGACTCCAACAGTTTCTCCCTGTTCACTTTCATCGACAGCTTCTCGTGGTAGTGCTTCTGATGAAACTTCCGTACTTCGTGGTAAAAGAAGTCCTGTTTGTCCTTAAACGTTTCGGATCCTCCCATATTCTTCAGCAGGAACTGCGCGAAAGTGGCGGCAATCACGTTGCGCTCTTTCGATACGAGTTCGATTTTCGGCTGACAGCCGTCGTCTATTGTGAAAGCGTTGGAATAGTTTTCGCCCAGCTTTAACGATTCCGGGTGAAAATTAAACTACAACAATGAAGAAATTAATTAAACCATATTTGGTGTTCCCCAAGGTGTCATATCGAGGCTACTTCTATTTCAGCTCTACATCAATGATCGTAAATGTTTTAATTTCACTTACCTTTGTCGAAGGGCATAATCTAAATGTAAATAACCTCTTTGGTATGAATTTTAAAATTAGTTCCTTAATGATCAACTGCTTTGGCGAGACGTAACACAACACCTTTTTTGGTTTAGAGATCCTTTCCCCGTTGATTCCGACGAGTTTTGCGTCGTAGCAAACGTTGTGGTTCTTTGACGCAACATTCTTGTGGACTAGAGTAGAATCGATGCCTGAAATAAAGAAATTTTTTTGATAGCGACGCGTTACTACGAAAACATGCTATCTCAAATTTAGCTTGGAAAACATGCTAGCTCAGATCCTTAAGAAAAAACATGCTATCGCACACAAAATTAAATTTGACTGGAAATTTAAGTTGGCTGCATTGGCGTTGAAATGTACATTGAATGATTGAAACCGTGCGCTTATAATAAACTTATATATTTTAATGTATAAAAATGTTTATTATTCCTAAAAATTATTCGATTCTTTTTCATGCAAGTTTGCTTTGATATAAAAATTAATAGCGCACTCTTATCTGATTTATGGTCACTACTCTTCCTTTTATTCTAAAAATAATTTTATATGTCTTAATGCGGACTTTAAGGAGACTCGTTACTTTTCAAATAAGAACAATGCAACAATTTGTAGAAAAACATCATTTATTCATAAAATTTCATTAATAGAGCTAACATAATAACCAGAATATAAACATAATGTATAAAGTTGAATGATATGTACGATAAACATGTGTGCGTGGGGAACGGCGGAAACATGCACGTGCATATCATATGCTCTGCGCCCGTCGCATCGATATCCAGCAGATCATACAGTGTCGGTAATAAGTGTCGCATACCTGCATTTCATTTCCAAAGTCTATGCAAGCACGCGGCTACCGTACCTTTATGAAGCTATTTGTTTTATTGAAGTCCTATAAGAACGATTCGGACCCGGAGTCCGAATAAATAAATAAATAAATACTTACTGTTCAATACGATGATATCAAAATCGCCATTGTGCAACTCCGTCCCGTTATAGTAGATCGTGGCGTGGTAGCAACCTTCGCGGACGAATTTCAGCTGAACACTAACCCTCTGGCTTTCCCAATCGTAGTCTAAACTAGTCGTGAAGTTTTCAGCGTCTATATCTAAGTTAGATTCTTGAGAATGAGTTCCTAGCTGAGTTATATTAACCGTATAACCCTGAAACGACAAGGAATGAACGCTGGAAAGCTTTAAGAACATTAACAACTACCTGGGTCGGGTCGTCCGACGACGAGTACCGGCAAATGTTGCTGTATTCGTCCCTGGGCTCTATATAAAGCAGGTGCGCTACGCTGGCAGTACACACTACCGTACTGCAGTGTCTCACTACTATTGTCCTTTGTGCAAACGCAGGTCCGGCGACGAAAACCGTCATAAATGGACTGCCGGCCACGTGTTGATTGCCTACCATCACAGAAATCCTGTATTGTCCGGCGTGTCGAACGGTGAACTTCACTTTGGCTACATTTGCGCTGTTTGGATCCGTCGGCGAACCCAATTCAGTTATGACAGCTAACTGAAACATTTAAAAAAACTTTAGAACATTAAAACTACGCGGGAGTACCTCCTCGTTACCTTTCTTGATCCCCCACACACGTCAACAGTAAAATTATCAGTATCACAGATTGGATAAGGCTGTCCGTTACGTTGGTAGAATTGCACAGTGAAACAGACCGTATGACCTACGGGATGGGGACAAGACCATTGAAAATTAACCTGCGGCAATGAAAATAGGAAATGTACGGAATAAACTTCTCCTTTTTCGCATTTATTACAACTGTTATGTCAATATATGGAATGTAAAGTGAAATCAACATGCTGTATAAGAAACATAATGTAATCCCAGTGATAGTACGAGAATTTAATTGGTAGGTAAAAATTAAAATATATTGTATGGCAGTATCAATTAATTAAATCAATTTATATCTGGTTCTTTTTTAAATATTACTATTGTAAATAGTTTAAAGCCGGCTTTAGAAATGTACACAAATGTCACATCGTGTGGATGGTGCATATCGATACATTTGAAAGCATGTCTTTACTTACTGAATATTTGACAACGATATACAACCAGCAATAAAATATACCTCGCTCATGCTGTAATGGCCACATCAATATTGTTCGTCAACTTGATTAATTACAGAATTATCAAAAATTTGATGTTTAATAAAACTTTAATAGCGATTTTTCTAAACAGTTACATTTATCGGCTTGAGTAAAGAGCACATAATTTTTTCTGATTGGGAAAAAAATTATGAACAAAACAAATTTTGAGTTCTAGGTAAAGTGCCTCCTAGCGGCGCATAATGAAAGTTTTTTCTGACTCTCCAATAGAGCTTGATCTACTCAGTGGATATGCCAAAAAATGAAAGATTAATCGAACTTGAATTAAAATTAAAAAATTAAAAAGAAAAAAAATTAAAAAGAAAAATAAAAACAATTGAACAATAATATATGGGGTGTTCCATTTAAAATAACAAAGTTATGTAGCGCCCATGCGAAATGGAACACCCACATGATCCAGGCAACTTTTATTAAAACAGTTTTTTTATAAATATTACAGTTGCAGAGTTACAGAAGAATCCCTCTTAGGAGGAACACCCTGTATGTTTATATCTCAAAACGTTGTATGTCGCTGGTGGTTGCGTGTGTGACACATGTTTTCTAACCTCAAAACCTACACTTTTCTATAAAAAATCTCATTTTTTTCCTTATTTTCCTGGAGTATCCTGGTCCTGTTTTTATTTTACTTTGCACGCCGCTTCATAGACAAATATTACGAGTACTTATATTACGTGTATGTTCCGTAAATATGTTTTTAAAGGAAACATTTACACCTCCTCAACATACTCTCCAAAGCAAAATATGAACAATAGCGAGCTTAATCGCTAGCCCCGGAGATGATAAACTGCTTCGTAGGTTTGTTAAGGTCACATTCAAATGCATTGTTTTGTCGTTCGTTTATCTCGTCAACTTCAGCGGTCAATAAAAATTCAAATATCACTCAACGCTACTATGCGAATTGTAGCGCGGCAAAATTTCCCGTTTCCTACGACCGTTATTATTAATAATAAACAATAGGGTATAAAATAAAGCAAACATAATTTATGGGTATGAGATATCTGTTACGTGTGTACGTATGAACGAGAATTTTGATTTCAGTAACTTTACTGTAATTTAAAACGTTGATATTTGAAATATGTTTATCGCGCAGTTTTCTCTAATAAAAAACGTGCAAATTACCTTACAGTTGGAAGGTAGCAAGTATTTTCCTGTTACGTATTGCAGTAAGGAATGTTTTGCTTCAGGTGCTAAGGAAGGTTGGGTCATGGCAGCCAGCGTGACCAATCCGGCAACAGACACGGACACTACCAACATGCCACCTGGAAAAAATGCACTTTTTTACCAAACTGGCCTCGTAGAGTCGCCCAAATTCGACGTTTTTGGTGGGTTACTCGTATTGTTGTACAGTTGGATGGCGAAAATCGTATCTCGACATTTTGATCTATTTAAGTTTATGTGACGTTTCATCTCGATCAAGTGAACCGTTTCTTTGTTTCAAACAGTCAAACTTTTGTAAAAAAATTAAAGGGTCGCATATTTTGAGTTTCAATCAAATTTTTTTTTTGAGGATTTCTCACATTTTTACTGCAAATAACGTTTAAATTTATGAAAAAAAAAATGAAATTTTTTTTCACAGAAGAAAAAGGGTAGTTTAGAAAAAACTGTTTTTTAAGTGACTGCACAAAAATTTATTATTAGAAATTTGTCAAAAAACGGTATGAATCGGGGTCGAAATCTGGTTTGGGTCATCAACTTTAATTTTAACTTAATTAAAAGTTGATGACTAGAAGCATAGGATGAAAAAGCCGAATCGTGCTGGAAACAATTGAATTTTGTTTTCTTCAATTTTCGGAAGGTTTTTCAAAAACAAAAAAAAACAATTTTTTGAAATTTTTTTTTCATCAATTTAAACGTTATTTGCGGCAAAAACGTGAGAAAACCTCAACATTTTTTTTTTCCATTTTAATCATGATTATGAAGTGTTTAAGCTCAAAAAACATGACTTTAATTTTATTCAAAAGTTTGACTGTTTGAAACAACGAAACGGTGCGCTAGATTGAGATGAAACTTCACAGGGTTCTTCTGGGTATATCGAACTGTAAAAGTTATGCTTAACATTAACGGACAGGACAGTAAAATATATGTATTTTTGTATTTGAATATACAGGGTGTCCGCTATCTACTATTCCGTACAAAAATTTTCCTAATATTGGCCCAATGGATGAGAAGTCTTTTAATGGAAATAATAGAATATACGTTGGGAGCAACACTAGAAAAAAAATAGGTTGTAGTAGTGTTATTTTGATTTTTCTTTAATGCTTCCGAGGATTAATAGATATCTGCCGGACACTCTGTATTTTATTTATCCTCAAAAATGTGCCCTAATGTTATTAAACATCATGTCACAATTTTGCCATTTGACGGACTTTGGTTTCACTCAAAATAACCGAAATCCACACGGTGAGGCTCGAAAATCGAACATCAGACATGATTAACATGCATATAATCAATTTGTTGGGGTTAAACTGCTCGAACTTGTTTTGTAAACGACTTAAAATTGAATACACTTCGAAAATTACCGTGACAAAAAATTAAAAATATTTGAAAATGAAGTGAATTAAATTACATGTTACCTTATGTGTCTCGCACTAATTCTGAGATTAGCAAACTTTAAAAACAACACGTAAGCCGCAGAACATAATTTCCAAGAATGTTTATAACGATAAAATCACAACCGAGGTTCGAGGGACTTCTAATACATTTTTATGGTTCGCTTTACAAATATTTACCGAAAATAAACACCACTATTATACCACACAGATTGTTGCACATTTAAATATTTATTTGTGCCAATTATTCTATCAAAAATGAAGGCGCTACTTACCACTCATGTGCAGGCAGCTCTGCCGAGTGGCTCTTTTGATGAATCAGTAAAATCTTGTGTACAGTGTGGTCATTCGTACCACATTGCCATTTTTTTCTCATAGCCAATTTTTTGTTCATTTAGGATATACAGAATATTTACAAACTTGGAGAGGATCTTTTTAATGATGATTGGAATGCATTAATACCCAATAATCACATTCAATAATCAAAATGGTTGAAATTGCAAAACTGTGTTTAAAATTAATAATAATCAAAATTGTTAAAACTTATTAAAACTGTTTGGAATCATCCCTTACTACATAGAAAGAGGTAAATAGTTGTGGACGCAAATAAATGCGCCCTCGTTCTATATTAGCTTTCATTATGGAACAATTATTATGTCTTATATCTTCGAATCCTAATATATCTAATACCTTTTTTAAATTGAACATGTTTTTTGAAGGTCGACTGTATCTTACTCTAAACGTGGTGCCAAACCACGATCTACTTCACCTAGTTCGCTCACCCCATGTCCAAGCGTCTTGGTGATTGCTATTCTTCACGACCTCCGACCAGAGGTCCGCCTTGAGGGTGTCCAACCGCTGTTTGGAAATGGGTAGGGATTGTCTGGCGGAGGACCAACGCGGGAAATCCTTGTTGAACACCTGCTTCGCCTTGTTGTCTTCCAGCCAGTAGACGTCCTCCAGGCTGGCCACTTCTAGGGAGAGCAGTTTGGGGTAGTAGACTTGCAGGGTGTATTTGGTAAGCCACTGGCGGAGCACCAGGCGCTGCTGCAGGAGTAGAGCGGCTTTCTGCAAGCGTTGCTCGTCGGGGGCTGGAAGTTCCGGTAGCTCTCCCAGCTGGCCGCACTGAGCTAACTGGGATATACCTGAGAACAAAGGGAATTAGCTACCTCAACTATTACATGATTGGATTTTTTGGGGAGTAATATGGATAACACCTAATAAGGCCATTTTCCAGCAGAACTGTGCATCTGTGCAATGATATTCAAGTCTTGAACAGGCCGACAAATAGTTCCGACCTAAACGCCGTGAACCAATAACTCAGATGCGAGGCTTTATATTACAGGTCGTAATGGTATATATCCCACTTCTGATTTGAATCAAAATTTATTACCTAGGTATTTTGTTCCATCTTCTAAAATTCAACGGTCCCTTGTGGTCAAACAGAACCCTATGCATATTAACCTAATGCCCGGATGATCGTGAAACGAACTAAATGGCCCGTAATTTCATTAATCCAAATATTAATTTTCGCCTACATGTCCCGGCCGCGTAGAACACGTCGGGCCGCTATAAATTAAATTCAGTAGCGTACTTTGAAACATATACACGTCTGCTGGATACACGGAAAGTTTAAAAGCAGTTGGAATTACTTTGCGGGTGTTCCACTTTTCGGATGATTTAAACAAAACGCTTTAGAGCATCGGTATTAACTTTTTTAATCCTTTGTAGTTGGGAAGCGTTTAAAAACTTTCTCGGGGCGGCCTTTCTCTTTTATGAAACGTCTCCCTAATGCCCTGCGATACGAAATGGACCGCCTTATCTATTCGAACAGTTTTTGTTCAAAGAGCAAATAAAAATATCACATAAAGAGATTCAGGACCCCAGCTCCTGTTATTACTGCTGCATTATTTATTCGAAACACACGAAAATCAGCTTTTATATTTACGTGCTCCGGCTTGCCATTTGAAATTTAGATGTTTAAGGTTGCATTTCCATTTGAATGAATAACTGATATATTTCTATAGCTTCGGTTAGTGGGTCAGTAAAGCTTTCGGATGGATTTAGAATTGTGGCGTTTTGTGCAAATTTCTAAAACGATTTAGTGTAATCGTAATATCAAACGCTTACTTGCATTGATTTCATATCAGTGGCTTGAATTCGAGCTAGAGACGTTAAGTCTAAGGCTGTCAGAGTGAGCCGCTATTCAGTGACGTGCCAAGCGTGTCACCCGAGACATGCGTGAGCCGCTGCCTCATAATGCTTTTCACGTTCATGTCAGGTTAGTATACTGTTGCAGAAGAGGTTAGCACATCAATCATGCCATGAAATTTTAATTGAAGAATTGAACATGACTCGAGTTGCAGCAAAATTTCTTCCTCGACCGAACAACAGAAACAAAATCATGTGGACGTTTGTCGGCAACTCCTTGAACAACCCAATGACGATGAAACATTCATTAAAAGGATCCTAACGGGAAGCGAAAGCTAGGTTTAAGAGTGAATTTAATTTTAATGTTAGAATATTCAATTTATACTTTACTACGTGTGTTGAACTCACTGGTCGATAAAATAATTTGCTCTTAGACGCCTGTAAATCAATATCTAGTATTTTCAAACGTATTTCATAGTACGTGTTTCTAGATCAATTCCTCCGAACCGCAATATATCACAAGAAATCCACACAATGCAATACATTGAGGATAAAAACGACCCCAAAACAGGACTTTGATACCTATTCCACATTATATTTTGATCTAATTAATTACAAATAACATATATTTTGTATGTTATTAAAAACGATAATATTTAAATAAACTTATCGTACAGGTAAATTCGTTGCAGTGATAACGATTGACCCACTTAGCGGATTGTTGTGGGTTACATTTATGTCGCGGGGCATATTTGTGTTTTCGTTCATAAAAAATGTACATTTCAATGAATATAGATTGCACAAAGCCAGACGGTCGCCAAGGATTTTAATGGATGGTAAAATATCGTCGCGACGAAACAGGTTACGCAGGTGAATAAGGATGTGATGTAAAAGGCATCCAAGATCATAGAAGACATTTATTGAGCTATTTTTGGGACATGATTGATGGCAAATGGAACTTAAAAAATATATATTTCAACGTCTTGTAAGTTCAAGATATGTATCCGTTTAACAACTAGAGCTAATATGATATTACCCATCTCCTACTCCAGTTTAGTAACATCCGTTCCAATGTAACTGAAAATTCAGTGCAATTTTTACACGCAAAAACATAATTCTATCAATTTACGTCTCTTTTATTATTTTTTGTATGCTGGCAGTGAAAATAGGATGCCGACATATGAAACGTATACGAAATAACAAAAACTGCTGCAGACCCGAACCATTATTGACGTAGTGTGATTTATAGCACACGTCTGGATACCCCTTATATTAACACTGACACCTATATTTCGGATCGGCAGGCCTACAACAGTTCTATGTTAGTTTAGGATCAAATGCAAACACCTTGAAATCGAATTTTACAAAATACGAATGAAAAAAACATATAAAACCTTGTTTCAATCGTACTTGGAAATATCACAATTAATTAAAAAAGTTTTAGTATCAGTACCAATTTAAATTAATCAACCTTTAGCAATTATTGCTTAGAAATTCGTATAATTGGTATATCTTTAAATATTCAATGGAAAATTATATATATGGTTGTTGACATGTTACGGGGTGGAAAGAAAATATCAAAATATATTTTAAAAGTTGAGCTCCATTAAAACTTGCTGAATTTCGAATAACAAATCCCCTGCTTCTAAGCAGTAAGCAGGCAAAACAATAATGATAACATACTTTTTAAAGATTAATTTTTAGTCAAACAGGACCCACATAACTTAACTAGTTCTATTTAAAATAACATTAATTTTGTTATCAGAGTAAATGAGAACTGTTTTCTTGTTTAACTTACGTATATCATCAGTACAGAGCAAAGAGTAAACACTAAGATCAATACTGATGTCATTTATAAATTAAATAAATAACTGTGGCCCCAGTACTGACCCTCGAGGCACACCGTATGGAGCTAGTCTTAAATACCGCAATATTCAACCAAAATTGAACAAATTGTTTCCGGTTCTACACCAGACATGTTATGTAAGGACTATAATCGTTAACATTCCACACCCGTGCTTGGTAGCGATGTTGGTCTAAACAGGATATCAATTATTTCCAGTTCATTAAATAATTTCACAGAACCAAGCTCGTTTGTTCCGCTAAAGAACGTGGGTAGGTATATGGACCGCAGTACAAAGAAACATGAACGCCTGTTTGTGCATTGTTTAGAGTATAAACATTATTGTATTATATGTGAATTGTGAGTATGTACTAAAATTCAAAACTAACCTCTCTTAAGAAGCAAAGACTGATTTTCTCCATTTCTTCTAAAAAATATTGAGATTCCTTTAATTAGGGGCAGGCAATCGCAAACAACAATGACAGATGCACTGATTTTATGGGTGCTGCGGAAATAACTATGATTTTCGTTACCATATTCCATGGTTAACAATATAAGCGAATTGCAATTTAACGTTTATTAGGTAATTTTCTTTGTCAACATGTTTTAATGGATTTTCGCTTACTGGCAAAATCGGAAGGTAATTCGGTAGAGGTATGTATACAGCATACACATTCCAGTTGTATACAAAGTTATGCATCGTATATAAAATAAAAAAAATATTGGTTTTTCACCTGATATTTACTTACTGTCAGAAACAGAACAAACAGGTAAACGTTTGCCAAGTTCAGTGAAATTAAAAATGACATTGTTAAGAGTCATTTCCATTTTCGATGTTTATAAATAATGTTTTTTTTCTGTTTTCTAATATTTATTATTTACACACGAGAAGGAAGACTACCTGATAAAAAAGCCCTAAAAAAATCTCGGAACAAAAATCTCTTTGTACTGGTTTGCGATCTCAATTGAAGAACCAAGAGGTTGGCAGTATGCACCAGGCTCGGTCGCTGACGCAGCAACTCACTCGGCATTGAAATATTTGAAAAACTTGTTCCCATATTTATTTAGCCATACCCATATTACAGGTCTGGTCGCCCAGTTGAAGAATGAGCGCGCGAGCAAACGCGGTACAAATACAGCTGCACTGGGCGACCTGGCCATAAGCGATCTAGCAGTGCAGTGCAGCAATGCGGAATTTTGTGTGATTCAGGTAATTTTAATTTATTATAGATACCTTCTATTAATCATTCATATTACAAATGCGAAAGGCAGAAATATGAGAGATATTTTGTTTACTAATATTATTACAACATGGCATTTTGGAGACCTTTTGAAACGGAACAAAACCAAATTTACCATCAATATACTTAATAAAATTGTTTGAGGACATAAATAATTAAAATAATGAACATATAATTTTCTACGCATTGTACACAAATTATTATAATTTTTTAGCTTTAGCAGAAAATTATTTTAGGGACACCTATGAAACTCATTAAATTTTATTGTTAGGCGTTTTTATACATGTTCAACTGACGTCGGAAAGACTATACTAGTAGCAGCCGTTTTCTTTTACATGATTATTCTTTGTCAGGGGATAATAGATGAGCAAGAATCAAGATATTTCTTTGATTTAATGCATTTAACAATTTTAATACAGCATGTGTTATTGTTTAATTCAGTCTATATGGTTGTGGTATCTTTTGCATACCTAAACTTCTGGTATAGAACAACATCGCTCGACTCTATTTGATTTTTTTATATTTTTTGAATTTGCTTGAATTTGATCTTTAATATCGAGCAAAAATGCAAGAGAATAATGAAATGAATGTTTCTTAATATCGTTTGTCGCTTTGTTGAAAAGCAGTAAAAGCACCCGTTAAGTCCCAGAATATAGTTTTTCCTACAATGTGCGGACGACCCTAACAAATTTGCTATCGTGACGGCTACTGCATTTAAGAGTCGTGTAGGAGGTGTGAGCAAATTCAAAGGCCTTACCGGAAGAGGCACTTGCGGACGGCTGCATGGTCATGCCGATTGAGCAAATCTCACTCTCTTCGCCCCACATCTCGGCGCGGCGCTCAGTGCTCGTCGAGGAGGGCCACCGGCAAGGGATACGGGGTCGGGAGGAGCTCGTCTTCTTCGGAGGGTGCCATGCTCGGGGTTGGGACGGGATACTAAGCGGGGTTGAGGTACCGACGCGGACTGCTGCAGTGGAAGTTTTGTCGGTTGCCCGGGATACCGGGGCTTACACGCGCCGGGTGAGACTGCGCCGTCGCGCGCCCCCCGGCTCCTCGCCCTCGGAGGAGGCCTCCTGGTAGCTTGATGTCTTCGCAGAAAGGTGCCGTCCGCACGTGGTCGTGACAAGTGGACTGCCGCTTGATTAGGTCGGGGGGCGCCAAATCGGGTCAGGTTAGGCTGCCGACTGTATCGATTTGGGGGTGGTTTGAAAGTCAGAAGCCTTCTGGGTAACACAACACCCATAATCATCTCCGGGGATACTTTTTTATACTTATATTCAACAGGCCAAAGCCCAGTGACATAGTAAACAGCATGCAATGACATATGTACTCGTACGAATAAAATAAAAATAATAATTATGGTTAAGATTTGCAATACGTGCCTCTTTTGGCGAGGATTCGTGGAGTTGGCAGGACTTGTATGCATCTCTTGGAAGGAGCAAAAACGGAGCAATTTGTGCCACGAAATTAATATATGCAGTGGCCCGCACGAGGCAAAAACCGAGGGATTCTGGCGGATCAGTGGGTAGACACAGACGGGTATACAGCGGAGTATCTGAAGGAGATTAATGTTCTTATGAGAATTTCGAGAGGTGTTTGTCCGGACATAACAGAAGGGGTCTTGTAAATCCATCAGCCTAATGCATCTTATGTAGATAAAAACAAAATTTGCTACGTAACTGTTGTGTTATAAATTACATTTTAATCTCGACTTGGGTAGATACAGAAAAATCGGAAGACCGTTCCCTTCTCTAATCTCGCTGTTAAGGAAAATAATTTATTATGTTTGGAAAGGGAACCGGAATTTTGCGCACCATTACGCAATGGAATCGCATATTTGGCTAAATTTTGTTCAGTATAAAATTGATTGACATCACATATTTTTATTACATTGAATGAAAATTTTTATTCATTAGTTAAAACTACCTATAATAATTATAATGCAATTAGGTACAAACATTAATGAATTAACTCGCATCAAAACAAACTTTCTGTTGTAAACATGTAAATTAAAATAATTTATTAAATGTGGAAAGCATTTTATTTTTTAGTAATTAAATATATTAATTAAGTTCGAAATTATTAGTCAAGGGCGTCCACATAAATAAAAAATGTTGGCAAACAAACCAACCCAATGAATAATTAATTCTAGAATTACTAATATATTCGGACCATTTTACGTGCCTGACCAAATGAGCTAATGGAGTAAATAAATATTCCCTAGTCACCCCCACACGCAATAAAAAAAAACAATTTATATAATTACGTTCTAAAACGGTACAAAGGACGCTGCCATGGTCCAAAATAGAAGTTATGTAGACGTTTAATATTCAGCTCACAACACAGACAGCTCATCAATGCCACAGCTTCCTTAACTTGTATATAAACAATAATTATATTTATAAACCCGTTTATTATTTATCATAGATACCTTCATACAATTCTATTTTGTTTATTTCCTCCCGAAGGGTGAAAGCAAATTAAATTTTAGATAAAAAATTCTATCGAGCAAACTCACTTACCTTTATCTTTAAATAATTGTTGATATTGTCCTAACTGACTTTGTTTTAACCAATTTTCAATTTCATCTGGCGCCGAATCCGTCAGCTCCTCCCAAAAATTGTATAAATGAATAACAAATGTACCACTACTAAAGAAAATTAACAGAACTACTGCACATGTTTTGGCACAACGCGTCATAATAAACAAATCTTTTCATTTACATTGTTGTATTATTTCCATAGTGAATTTGTTACACTGACAACTCCGCGACATCGACAAGCCCCATCATTGTTTATTTTATTTCGCCTTGAGTAATGGCTCAGTGGTGCGCCACCTTCCGGCAGATTTTCGTTTTATGAACTATGGAGAACTTCGAGCATATGTTACTGGAAATAGCCCTGCAAAGGTTGGGTCGGCTGGGGAGTTGCAAGGTGAAGAGAGAGAGACCTGCTATGAAGGTACATTCTATCTCTCTCATTGAATGTGGTTGGCTGTTCCTGTCACGTGGATCAGTCGTGAGCCAATCACGTTCGGCGAGAGAGAGATATCATGTGCCTTCATAGTGGCTATCTTTCTATTTACCTTGCAACGCGCCTGGCCGTTAGCAGGCTACTTGCTGTAGTATGCTCGAAGATGGAGAATCATAGACAACTAAAATATGAAGACAACGCAGCTCCATAGAGCTCCTAATGATAAACGAACATCATGAACATTCCGAACAATACGAATTTTAAACGATCGTATCAACAAACTTCGATCATCCTTTCTCTATTTCTTATTCAATTTTATTATCATATGGAGGAATACAAAGTAAATTAATTTTTCTGTAAATAATTTTCTGCAAAATGCAATTTATACAAATATAGGGAACTCACCCTGGATTGGTAAATATCGATTTTTCAAATTTAAATGTCTTGGTGACAATCACAACAAATAATTGATGTAACATTAAAAACCCATTATAAGGAAAATGATACGTGAAGAGCCAAAAATAGTATCTGAAAAAGATCAAGAATCGTCTTTCACAGCTTTTGCTTGTATGGACGATTTACTGGACAAACTAAAACTACTAAAATATGAGTCTGAATTTTTAAGTGGCCTTAAAATGAAGCCAATACATAAGTAAGTTAATATGTGTCCTTAATTTTTTCTTATTTCCAATTGTCTGTCTATTTTAGATATTATTTTGTAGTAACAAAAAACCCAGGGGAACAATTTTATATGTTTTCTTTATTAGCGGCATGGCTAGTACGAAAAAGTGGAAAAAATTTTGAGCAGCCTCAAGAATTCGATGATCCAAATGATACCATACAAAAAATCATGGATGCAGTAAAAGATAATGTTAGTTTTTGTACACTGGTGATGTCACATTATAATTTAGATATTTTTTAGGGTATGGCTATAGATTTTCCACCTAATAAATTAAAACAAGGGGTTGGGGAACATGTGGTGTATATCTTAGACAACTTGGCGAATGATGCCATAAAGAAAAATAATATTATCTTAAGAAAGTGAGTATTTTAAATTAATCGCATGTATTTTTTTTGTAATCGACATTTATAAAGCGGGAAAAACATTAGCGTCTCTATAAATAATTCAAATGGGACAAAATATATAATCTGAATTAACAAAAATATTCCTTAAAAATTGCTGTTATTTTCAGACCTAAACCTCCAGAAGAAAAGGAAGACACGGTGGAAGTACTAGATGACGAATCAGAAATTAATTTGGATCGGGTAGAAGAAGAAATGATCGCAGCTTACTCTGACGATTCCGACGAAGAAAATATTTTTCATCTGGACGACTTACAACGCGCTAAGAAAGAAGTTCGCCCCCTAGAATTAAAAGCCGACGTAAACGAGGAGTCTTGGAAATTGGAAGTAGAACGCGTTTTGCCGCAGTTAAAAGTTACGATAAAAAATGACAACAGAGATTGGCGGTCCCATCTAGATCAAATGAAATCTTACAAAAACAGTATCGATGAATGTTTAGGAACTACAAAGTCGCAGTTAGAAAAATTGCATAAAGAAATTAGTATAACTCTTGAGAAGGTCAACAGCAGGGAAAAGTATTTTAACAGAGAACTGGAAAATATTTTAGACGATTACAGAAATGTGCAAGATCAGCTGTCTAAAGTTAAGGACAATTACAACAATATCAGTACTGGTGTTGCTGAACGCAACAGAGAATTATACAAATTAAATGACAGATTAGAATCTGTAAAACAACAAATGGAAGAACGAGGAAGTTCTATGACAGACGGAAGTATGCATATTTTGTGGTAAATTTGATTTAATTTTAATGTGTTCGTTTTCAGCTCCACTGGTCAATATTAAAAAGTCCGTAGCAAAAATGAAAACTGAAATCATAGACATGGATGTGAGAATCGGAGTTTTAGAATGTATTCTACTGCAAACTAAAATAAGAGATGAAAAAATGATCGAAAATGAATTTGGACAACAAATATCTGTTTTTTAGTAAACGGTTATTCCTTTTTAAATATATTATGAAAAACATATATTTTTGAATTATTATGTAATTCCTAGATCAATAATAAAGTAAAATGAACAGTAATTGGACTAATTATTTATATTTTACTGTAATTGATAACAAATTCAAGTTCATAATGGGTTATCCGTAACCGTGCTAGTAACCAGAAGAGAAAGACGTATCTTTAAAATTCGCCTAGATGTACGAAGTAACCGAAAACCAATGAACAGCCGCCCACTTCCGGCGTAACGTCACACGTCAGAAACAAATCTTGCTTATTTCGTATCTGTCAGTTGTCCTGTCAAAGTAGGAATTTTTGAGAAGAAAATTAAGGTATGTCGGGTTTCGGAGACAATTTTGATCAGCCAGAGGTGGATCCTGCTGCGGAATTTCTAGCTCGTGAACAAGACGAGTTGGCAGGTCTTGAAGACGAAGTAAAACCAGCGGCAATCACCGTCCCCGTGATAAACGGCGGTACGTTTTTTCAAAAATTTTTTTACCATAATTTAACTGATGAAAGAATTCGGCATGACTACATACGAGTTCATGAAATGTCTATTTTTTATTTTAATGAGTCATTGGCATGCCATGACTGTACGTATTGATTTGTGGCTTTCGATGTGAATGCTTGTTTTAAGTATTGTGCTTTATCTATAGATGACCAAGTAAATTCCGTGGGCAGTTTCGAATTGATAGACGGTATTGATCAAGATGGGCCCAAAGAGCCGTCATTTAATGGTATGTTATGGTTTGATTTTTATTCACAGTAGATAGGAACGCTAAAACATAGTTTTCGTAATGCATGTGCTATTCAGTGTTTCAGAATACACAGAATACAGTATACAAAAAATAATGATAACTATATAAATATGGACGTTCATCCTATCTAACATTTTTTTATGCAGGAGTTTTGTAGATATAATGGGTTTTATTTATAATTTTTTTTTTTTAGTAAATGAAGTAAATGATTTTCTTTTTGATGCTGAATCTTATGGTAACGGTAAGATTATGTTTTGTGTGTGTATGTCCTAGATTTTAAGTTTTACTTATGATTTTTTTTGCTTCTTTGCTTAGATGCATTATCTAGTCCCTTTTAAAGTTTTGCGTAAGTTTTTACAAATATTCTTCCAGTTGTATTGTAAATAGGATTAACTATTTCCATTTCTAATTCTACGTTTTTTATTGTCAGCATGAATTAAAAATCAGCATTTTTTGACATATCTATGAAAAATTTTATTTTTAAAACCTTTGTCATAGCTAAACACCATATATTCTGTGTCTACAAACTTTGAGGATTTAGAAAAATAAATGATTAACATATAAATAAATAAATAACATTTGTTTGATAATAATTTCACATTTCCATAATGAAAACTAAAGTAGAATTGATGATTATGTAACATTGAAGTAGCTATTTTTCTGTTACCTACGAAAAAGTGTACTACACAACTATTCACCTGTTTTTATGCAGTACGTAAGTTGTGGACCATTCCAGAGGTCCTTAACAAGTTTTAACAATTGTTCTTATTATTAATTTCAAACACCGTTTTGCAGTTTCAATGTTTTGACTTTTAAAAATTCTTATACTAACACAGTCTACCTACCATTAAAAAATCCTCTCCAAGACCGTAAACACCCTGTATAGAACTAAAGTTACGTTTGTTACTTACCATGTAGTACATTTAGTGACAAATTCGTATATTTTATTCCACATATCAATGCATGTTTATGATTTTTTCCAACAGATGCACTACCTGCGTTGCAAACTGACGATTTTCGAGGAGGTAAGAAAACAGCTCAAGTAAATAATATTTTATTTAAAGAGAGGTGTTCCACACTGTATTGACAATTGAAACAAAGGTGCAACAGTTTGCTAAAATAATTTTATAAAGTGGACATTTATAACTAAGTTTTAATAGAAAAAAATTGAATTCTTGTACATAAAAATTGCACTGTTTGAAGTTAAAATCGCAACAATAATTCCCAAACGTTTTAGCTTCCCCCTCTCCTCCTCCACAACGGCAAGAAGATCGGGTAGAACCGGAAAAGATCAGGAAATGGAGGGAAGAGCAAGTGAAACGCTTGGAAGAGAAAGGTTAATAACAAAATACATAATTTATTTACATTGGTCCCTCAATTCGGCAAATTGAAAAATATTTCTCTGAAAATTTTCTGTCAGGGAGTGAAATAAAATGTAAAATATGTAATATAAACCGTTGAGATTTATTTAAGTAGTATATAGCTACGTACAATTAAGTCGATGAGTTACCTGAAAAAATTAAAATACACATTTCAGATAGAGAAGAGGAAAAGAAGAAGTTGGAGTTGAGGGAAATCGCAAAGAAGGAGTTGGAGGACTGGTACAAAAATCACGAAGAAACGATAGCCAAAACTAAAGCCGCTAATAGGTAAGACGGCAAATATTACATGAAGACTTTCTAAATTATTGATTTATTTTTTTATTTGCCTCCCCAGGGATGCAGCAAAGTAAGTCGTTTGAATAATAAAATGTAACTGTCGTTATCTTGCACATGTCTACTATTTAATGTTTAATTCTCTTAATTTTATTGTAGCTGAAAGAACTGAACGTAACGAACTTAATTTTTATCGGTTTTTCTGTCTATAGGAACGCAGAAAAACAGTTTGTAGCCGAAGACAACGATCTCGAACCGGGTACTGAATGGGAGAGGATCGCAAAACTGTGCGACTTTAATCCGAAAGCTAAGCAAGGAAGTAAAGACGTGTCACGTATGCGCTCTATCATACTACAAATGAAACAGAATCCAGTCCCAATTAAGAATAAGGCTTGAATATATAAAGTATATAGCATCTTTTTTTATGAACGTATACATTTTATTGTAAACTATATTAACTAATTCCTTTTAAAATAAATGAAAAATTCATTCAATCAGCATGCGGTAATTGTACAGGATTAGTAATAGTTTTTATTTATAACAAAGCCCCGCACGATTATTAAGAAATTCTTACGATTACTTATATTTATATTAGTACAATATAATCATAATAAAAATGTATGTTGTTTATATTTCGACAACCTGATCACAAAATTCCGCGATTGAATTAAAATCCCTTACTAAAATGTCAAAATATAAAATGATATTAGTGTGACTGCATAATTAATTAGAAACGAGAACGAGAACAAGAATCAGAAGGGGGACAATAAATTAAAGCTGACGATAAATTTATGAAACGTTACAAAACCAGAGAAAAAATTAACTTGGGGGATACATATATTGATGAAATCTTACCACGTAATTGTCCAAGTCAGCTGCTTCAAATTTTTAAACTGCCCTTCTTGAAACGGTATTTGATCTGCAGAAGAAGCCTCATTTAAAAACCAATAAAAATTATCATAAGACGAAATTACCTCTATCCGTTGAACAATTGTAAAACATTAAGGTCTCGATACTAGGGCAATTTTCTGCGATTAATTTCAAACCAAGTTCCGTGACATTCGGACAGTTGTCTATTCTCAGCTCCCTTATATTTTTCCCACTACTTCCTTTCACTAAGAAGGAAATACCTTCATCACTGATCTAAAAAAAATACTTATAGTAAAAATTAGAGTAAAATCCAAAAAAGCCTACTTGGGTTTGGGAAAATGTGAGCCACGTCAAATTTTTCAGTGTAGACAACCTCTTTACACCATCGTCTGTGACATTTTTACAGCCACCCACGTCTAAACCCATCAAATGTGAGCAGTGATCTGTTAAGCACTCGAGCACACCATCGTTTACTTCTTCGCAGTTTGTTATCACGAAAAGACATAACTGGTTTGTGCATTTCAATAAGTTTTTCAATACTGAAACAGATTTATCATTAAATATTTCTATAATTAGGTATTCCACTTTTTATTCATTCTTTTTACTAACTTATAAGTAGTACCTGTATTTGTTATTTGAGTACCTCCTGTTCTGGTGAGATACAACTTTTTTACATTTTTGCATGCATTTAGAATATTTAATACATCGTCATCGACAGTAGCTGAAGTTAAATTTATGTGACTTGTCTTATCGTTTACAGTTGCACACAATACATCTTTAAAATTCACATTCTGCCAGAAATATGAGCAAGTGGTGAACTTTCGTAGAATTCTGTTTTTAATGTTCGGAGGCAATGCCTTCAATTGCTCAATGTTTCCGTTTGCATATATTGCTAAATTATTAACAATATATTCGATACTTCTAAAAATGTAAAGTACCAATTTTTATTAAAAAAACAAATTTGAAATGTACATTTTTATGAACTTACAGTGATAATAGAGATCCTATAGAACTTCTCCAATTTTCAGTCACCATTTCTTAACTTGATTTAAGAAGTTTACAAAAATATATAAATATTTTAGTATTCATTCGATTCTTATGTTGACATTCGTGATTTGTGTCGACAAATGACAAACACTGCAGTAAACATTAAACAAAACAAACTGTATTTAGTAACATTTATTCCAACGGATTTAGAGTTGGTGGTATGTCGTTAATTTATATTTTGTGGTTGGTAGTACCGAAGTAACCAGGTTGAGTCCTGTGTGGCTATAAAGGTTAGGAAATTTTTGTTGTGATTTACTTAAATTAATTATGACTGATTTTGGAGATTCCCTTTCTTCTGGAGGCCTTGAAGGCAAAGGCGACAAAGAATTACAGGAGTTCTTAATGCTGGAAAAGCAGAAAGCTCAGTTTAACGCCCAGGTAATTTCAATATAATGTGAGGTTATGTGAAAAATTTAAAATAAATTTTGTTTCAGATACACGAATTCAACGACTTTTGTTGGGACAAATGCGTTGATAAACCGTCCAATAAGTTGGATAGTAGGACAGAAACCTGCCTTACGAATTGCGTAGACAGATTTATTGATGTTTCGCTTTTGATAACGAATCGATTTGCACAATTGTTACAGAAGAGTGGAGGCATGTAGATGAATGTTTTAGAACTGATTTTAGACATTAGCGAATACTATTATCATTTACAATTGTTATGTGTGCTGGTGTTTGTAGATTACTTCCAGTGACATTTTGTATAAAATAAATGTACATACCCCTATTTTTTTGTGTTTTTTCTTATTGAGTTATTTGTATTATAAATGTGGATAACAATACTATGTCAAGCTGCACGAACTAAACTTTATTAAAAATTTCTTAATGATGTGTACCATTAGTAGCAACGTACAGATAATTGATTTATTTACTTTCATTTTAATCCTTTAAAAATCGAATTAAAGAAGAGCCTTTCTGATACATTGAGACATGAAAACTTTAACGTTGATTAAAAGTAATTAAAATTTTCCACTTGTTATGCTTTTAAAATAAATTGACAGGTAGACATAGCAATATTTTATTGGTTACAACTTTGGTGACTAAAAAAACATTTCTTTTTCGTTTTTTTTCTCCTACTTAAATTAGTTTTAAATTAAAATACATAGTGTACTGAAAAATGATGTAATAAATTCATATATCAAAAAATATAATGATTTTTTCCTAAGATTCGTGGACGTTTACAATTTCAAAATTCTTTAGATTTTTCGTAATTACATTAAATTTAAAGGTTACATTTCCACAAAATAATGTCAATATATATTTTTTAAACCTACAGTTTTGAAGTTATTTTCAATGATTTAAGTGTATCTTTTCTGTAAAATATGAAATTTTTTGGTATGCAATATACTATACCATGCAAAAAACATAACCTCAAAGAAGTTATGTTCTGAAATGTCGTTGGGAAAGATCGTAACTAGCGACCTCTACAAGGAAATCAGACTAAAGGCTGGTTCTTGATATTGAACGAAATTAACATTTTTTAGGAGAAAAAAAATGGCGGGCACAAGTTCCGGGAAAAGTACAACTAGACATTTCAATTTTTTACGAATTTCGTAGATTTGTTAGAGATGTCAAAATTGACAGATAAATATTGGGGTTATGTTATCGTACTATTCTATGACCATGAAAATAAATAATTATTCTAAGAACTGTCGAGTTTACTGTATTATTGATATTACATCATGCAATTTACAAAAACACCTACACAAAATTTACAAATTTTTTGAAATGGAACGTTAAAATGGAACTTGTATACTACATTTGTCGTAATTTGAGACACTCAATGAAAACAATAAAGTAAAGAGTATGTTGTAAATCATAAAAAAATTCATATTAATGCTATTTTTTCTATTTCGCAGAAACATATTCGCATTCATGAACACGAACCAATCACAATAACAACACTGACCCGATTATATTCTTATACCCTTACCTCCACGAAATCTGGACTTTACCACAATTTGTCATCCTGATTATTTCTTCACCACTTACCGTCCCGGCCTTCGCCGATTCACCGACATATTAAATTTATGAAGACGTGAAGCTCAGTCAGCTGTGAACGTTTGATACCTAAATATGTGCTAAGTTACCAAATATACATTTACATATTAATTGTCCACATAATATTTTCAAATATGTGCCCACGGAGTCTGGAAGATGACGAACTATGAGGGCATATAAAAGGCCAGCCACTAGTTCTTGGAGACACTCTGCTGCAAGTCCTAGGCTAGAGCTACACTAAGGTAAAACCGTATTTGTTATTGCAATACGCGAATGAATGTTGGCTTGTTTGTAGAAGACAATATTGGTTCATATCTTGGAAATAATTGTAGTAACTTATATTGTCTTTTACTGTAAATTCAGTTTCAGGTTTGCTTTTAATGACCAACACAATTTTTTGCAGATGAACTTCAATGTCTTCTTCATTGTCCTTATCAACATCCTCTATGTATGTTCATCGCCCTATATGAATCATATGTTGACGAAAAGAACAAGGTACTGTGGCTCCCATCTGACCAACACATTGAGCATGGTGTGTAGAGGACGGTACCCATCATACGACAAAAAATCATGTGAGTTCTATGTAATTATATATAAATTTTAAATTTCCCGCCATCAGTCATGTAGTTCTCCATACGTCCACTGCGAGCGTCTTTAGTTGTTTTTTATTCGTTCGTTGTTTCAGATGGTGATGGTTTCAGCTACAACGAATACGAGGGAGACTACAACGACATAAGCGACAACGACGTCGATTTCCCATTCCTGTCTAAAGAATATTCAAGGTTCTTCGTTCCGCAGAAAATCCGCAGGGGAATTGTGGACGAGTGTTGTCACAAGCCTTGTAGCATTAACGAGTTGAGAAACTACTGCGGCAAATAGAGTCTTTCCTGCAACCTGCCTGCTGAATGAAGAAAAAACAATACGAAAAATGTTAAAAAAAATAATATTCTCACGATTATGATGAGTTCCATGGCAAAATCTCTTGAATAGCCTAGTTTAGGACTGTTTATGATATTTTTATAAATTGGTTCTTATTAAAAATACAGAATACTAAGATGTACTATCTTCGTTTTATTTAAAAATTACAACAAAATTGGGTAAAGGGTATTTAAGATATTTACGAAATAGCAATTTTTTTTACGAAAGTTTAACACTCTGTATCTTCAAAACGAAGCATCTGCGGACCAATGTTTTTATGAACTTTTTGTCTTAAAATTACTCAAATAATCGTCTGTTGAATTTATTGTACATACTTAATTAACACCCTGTATAGTGGCACAATCCCATTATTTGCCTTCTACAATAAAAATACCTCGTCAAAAACAGGGCGATGTTTACCAAGACTATTTTGCTTCTAGTATCGTGTGACTACAGCTGTTTCAAGTTGCGCTATTAATTATGATACACCCTGTATATAATACAACAAATTATTTTTACATGTTTTTTATCGTTCTAATTTCTGGTGAAGGCGCAAGGGACATTCGGTAGTTTCCATATGAATTCAAAGAGCAAAAAAAAACGACCTCTTCAAATTTTTAGAAAATTTGGGATGTTAATCTACTTTGAATTTTATGAGGCCTGTGGTTTGTTTTTCTGAAAAAAATTTTAAGAGCGCTATGGCGTCATGTCGAAATTTACATCGTGACAGCATTATTCCGAAAATGAAAATGCATATTTTTTTCAGTGGCCGCCATTTTGACCCAAATCATCCTATAGAAACGTTGTTTTAAAATGTGCAGAATTTCATTTGCTTTGTCCTGTTTTTTTTTCAGAATTCAAATTGCTTTAAAGCTTTCAGAGATAAATAAAAAAAAAACGGAATTTTTTTTTCAAAATTAATTTTCTCAAAAACCCCACCTTTTACTTTCACTAAATTTGGATATGTTTTTCTAGATCAAATAATCTATCTCCTGGTCGTTTTTTTCTCGTTGAATCCATGTGGATTACAGATAAGATTAGGGTATGGAAAAATGGAAACATTGGTAAAAAATTCTTCGCAATAAATTGAGGAAAACTGTTAATTATTTTGGGGAGCATAGTATAGTCTGTCCGATCTCAATGGAAGAACCAAGAGATTGGCCAGGTTAGGTCGCTGACGCAGCAACTCGGCGTTGAAATATTTGAAAAACTTGATCCCATATTTATTTAGTTATACCCATATCTGGTCTGGTCGCCCAATTGGAGAATGAAAGCGCGGGCAAACACGGCACAAACACTGCCGCACTGGGCGACCTGGTCATACATTCAGTTGTTGACAAATGGCATGGGGTTTTGGAGACCTTTTGAAACGGAACAAAACGAAATTTACCATCAATATAATAAAATTGTTTGAGGACATAAATAATTAAAATATGTTGTTGGTCAAATGAACATATAGAAATTTTCTACCATTATATACAAATTACATATTATAATTTTTTACCTTTAGCAGAAAACTTTTTAGATACGCCTATTAAATGTTATTGCTAGGCGTTTTTATACATGTTCAAATGATTTTGGAAAGACTATATCTGGTAACGGTAGAAAAAAAAGAAATAAGTTCAATAAAAGGTAAGTAATTATTTTTCACTATATTCTACCTAACAACTTAATTCGAGTAGGTATCGAATTATTCTGCGAATGGCAAGAATACTGTTTAAATGATCCAAAAAGTAATCTAGATATCTAAATGAGAGGCATTGGTATTAAATAATGGGTATTACGGCTAAGTAATGGATATTAATGGAATTGTTGACTTTCATAGATTAAAAATTTACAGTTTTTGTTTTGACATTTTTCTATGAAGATATAACAATAACAGTGCAGTTAATAATTATAACAATTTAAAAAATGTCAAATTCTTAGCTATTCCAGATTGAATATTACCTGCCGCACAACTTTCCTTTCATTGTTTGCTACAAAAAGCCATGATTAGTACAACTTTCTTTCAAGGGATTTATCTTTTAAAAAGAAATAGATAAAACAAAATCGCATTTTGTTATGCATAGTTTTGATATCTTTATTTAAAGTAATGTAAGTGTATGGCTTCAAATAAATTTTTAAGAATTGTACTATAGTCCTCTAAGGCTTCCATATTTAATTAGTAAAGTATTGATAGATACTGGGTTAACTTTAAACGAAAACAATGCTTGTTTTTCTTACAAAGATGCCACTCCCTTCTGAGTTTCCTGAATGTTTTGGATATTCTGTCAAATGTAATACTCGTCAAAATCTCTTCCTACACCATGTGTGGTAGTTTTTTGCGTAAGAATATTTAATGTACCGGATACTGTGGCATATAAAAGCCAAACTAATAGTTCCAGAAATCAGTTTCCTTCAAGTCCTGGACTAAAATAAAGTGCAATAGGGTAAGATTCTATTTATTATCAATAGGTACAAAGAGACTAACAAAAATTTTGGTCTATATTATTAAAATTTGAGTATACGTATATATACTTTTTCAAAAATTCTGTTTCACAACTAATTTCTTTTAAAGTAACGTTTTTAAGTGCTAATTTCCCACTTCTTGCAGATGAACTTCAAAATTTTTTTCATTGTGTTGATCAATGTTTTCTACGTTTGCTCATCGCCATATTTGAATCACCTGTTAGCAAAGAGGACAAGGTACTGCGGTTCCCACTTGACGACCATGTTGAGTATAGTGTGTAGGGGGCACTACGCTTCAATGGAGAAGAAGTCGTGTAAGTACCATACAATTAGGTATACTGGACCACAACAATTGCAACTAAAAATAAAATTATTATATACATAACCTCAAAATGTGCTTAAGGAAGCAATATTTTGACTGTATGTTTGACTTCTATCACGATAGTGTGTTTTTACTATTATTAAATTCTTATGGCTTTTCATTTATTGTTTTAGATGAAGACGCTTCCGGTAACAACGAATATGAAGAAGACTACAGCGATGTAACTGACAGTGAGGTCAATTTCCCGTTCCTATCGAAAGAATTAGCAAACACTTTCGTCCCACAAAAAATCCGTAGACAAGTCGCCAATGAGTGCTGCAAGAAGACCTGTTCCTTTGATGAAATGCGATACTATTGCGGCAATTAGAATCGGCCCTTAAAAATATTTAGGAACGTATATTTTTTCGAAGTTATGCTTTAATATGAATTCTTAAATAGGAATATTACGATATTTTTATAAAGTGGTTATTTGTAAAATACAGAATACTCAACATTTAATACATTTGTTTTACTTACTGCTTATTACTGAAATAGAAAATGCATTATAAGTAATTAATTTGATTTGCTGTTTTTTAAAAAAATATATGGTTTTGGCAGCACATCAATTTGCTTATAACTAAATATTGACAAGTAGTTTCATATGCTTCATATATTTGGGAAGAGGACGTTCATTGTTTATAATTAAAATATTAATCAAGAAATAACTTCAGTTTTGTATAAAAATCTATTAAAGTGTGAATTCACCGATGAATTTTGGCTTCATTCCTTAAAAATTGTGCACTATAAAAGTTATCTTTATTTCTAACACTTTTTCCTTCTAAAAGTCCTGACCGGTTCGCACTAGCAATATTTCTATTTTACGAGTACGTATGTGGATTTATATGTATAATGCGATATAGTTCTGAATACGTCTTTTTCCACTATCCTCTCTTGTGGCGAATGCGATAAAGAAAATATATGGTACATCATATTTCACTGCTCTTTTTGAAGTATTGGAAAGAAATTGTTCATTTCATCAAAGGGATCGAGTTTTATAGCAAAAATATTTTAGAACTGAACTAGACCTTAAAATAATTCCAATAATTCACAAATACTGCAAAATTATTGTGTTTTTTTACGAAATTGAGGACTGAGATTTATAATCTTTGTTTTTACATTGTTTCTGCAAAGTAGGTCACAGAAAAGGAGAGGAGGATTGATTAGTTTGTTTTTTTCCACAACGATTAACTATACAGGATGTATTTATACTGAGGAGCATAAATGGTACATTAAAAAACTATTAGCTACAAATACTCAAATATTTCGAAATAAATTAGGGCGACAGTAGTGGAGATACTGGATCCGACCATCACTGAGTACATCAGAATCATTGAATATTCCGTACTTTCAAAATATTAAGTAATGTCGCATTTCTGAGAATGATGACGGTATTTCCAAGTATCTCCGACACTGGTATATTAAATGTATTCAAATCTAGTTAATTTTTACCTTAGTTAAGTTGCTACTCCTAGTTTCAATAATCTACGTCAAAGATATTTCGAGATATGTTGGTATTTATTATTAGAAAAGCTGTAACCAGCAAATGAAGCAACTAGACAAATGTCTCAATTATCAAATTTTGAGCTCAAAATTATCAAAGTAGTATTTGCGATCCTTCATTTAAGTACACACTGTATACAGTGTGTCTCAGAATCTTTAAAATCAAACGCTTTGGAATTAATATAACGATTTGGAACAAAACTTAATGTGTATTGAGATATAGCCTGCTGAAAGTTGTACAACGAAACAAGATTTTTTAAATACTACTTTAGAAATGTCAGGGGTACCACATTTTCAATTTACAAGGAAATGAGTCATTGTTTGATTGTTTTTTTTTGCATTTACGTATTTTTTGTAAATAAAACACATTAACGTATTTAATTAATACTCTTATTAAAAGTATTTTAGAACAGGCAAGTATTATTTGCCCCTCCTCTGTATGAAATGTACAAATCAAATATATGTCATAAATTAATATTATAAAAAATATGATATTTAAATCACATAACATATTTTATTAAGTGAATTTTATTTTGGGAAAGTTTGGAGATTAGGGGCCATCCATAAATTACGTCACACGAATTTTAGGACTTTTGAACCCCTCTTCCCGTCCTTGTCACAGGTTGTCACATTTTTATAATCCCCCCCTCCTGATGTGACGTCACACATTTTTTAAATTTAGACATGTATTTAAAAATAATCGAGAGAAAACAGCTATTTTCATTTTTTAATGTTGCATGAGAGATAATCTCATAGCGAGAATGCTAAATTATTAATAAATATAGATCAAGTTCGTAGATTTTTATAGTTTTTTATTCACATCTAAATTTCGCGTTTTAGTATTTTAAATTGTAACATGTGACGTCACAAAACTTTTGACTCCCCCTACCCCTTGTCACACATTGTCACATTTCCGTGATACCCTCCCTCCCCATTTACTTGAATGTAATTTATGGATGACCCCTTATATTAATCTGCAATATTTGTATTCAAACTATTTGACGATAAAATTAACTGTATATTTCTGTTGCACCAATAATATATTAATACCGCAATATGGTATTGTAGTAGATAATATATAAATTTATTTTATAGTTCAATATGTACATATGATTACCTACAATTATAAGTGATATGAAAGGTGATTCTTTGAAACATTTTTTGCTTTCAAAGAAAATTTTTTTTATCATTTATTTCTCTTTTATGTTCTGTTTTATATAATCTGTAGTATGGTATAACAAAATAATATAATAATATTGTTTTCTCCTCTCACGGAAATTGTGATTTTGTTAAAAATAATGTAAATTAATAAATAAACTGTTTTAATTAGACACTTTCCATTTAATATTCGTTTCTTTATTTCAGTATAACATATTTCCTGAATATCTAAGAAAATAAGTAGTTTAAGTAATATTTTTTTAATACTTATATGCTGTGGTCGAGGGGCGTCTCAACTTTTTGGGACCCCTTGTATAACAAGAGATACATAATAAAAAATATAACTTGATTTTTCTTTTGCAAACGAAAATTTAGATAGCCTTTCGATTTTTCTATTGATATACTTAGAAAAACTTCATTGACTTAAATCCTACTGGGCTTGTATTAGATTTCTGTTAGAGTTTAATGTCAATTGGAATTAAAAATGGATCGAATTGGAATTATTTCGATGTAATCGAAATTTTCTATAGAACTGAATTTGTGTCCAAGGAAGGATTATATAATGATATAAAATTGCTGGCAAAAAATTAATATTAATGCTGTAAAAAAATAAACAAATACCTGTAACTATAAATCATGTATTTATTGTTTTCTTAAATCGCTGAATTGAGAAAATATCATTACGTACCTACATTCATGATTTGTATCTAAAAATTCCGATTCTATGCCACTATTTAAAAATTTTTGTAGTTTCCTTTCTCCTATTCCAATTAAGTTGATGTCAACTGCAATTAAAAAATCAGCGTATCCTTATTACTCCAACAAATTATTTCATTTATTTAAAATTTTATAGAATTAATAACAATGAAGATAGAGGAGAAGCGTCTGTTGTTCAAAAAATCATACAAAGTCCTTGATCTGGCGCCCTAAATATAGGTATGTATTAGAAACATGTCGAATCTAATATTCATTAACGTTTTCAGTCTGCCCCCACATTGTGTGGGGGCAGATTTAAGTTTTTACATACTTACGAATTTGTTATGCACTGGATGTTGAAGCATATAAAAGCTGGAGGACCAGCTCTAAAAGTCACTCTTCTGCAAATCCTAGACTAGAACTAAGTACAATACAGTGAGTATACCATTATTATAATATACATACCTTATTGTTGAATACATCCTTTCTATGTAGTCGATACTTTCGAAAAAACCTATTTAAACATTTTGTATTCCATATTCTTGTAGATGAATTTCAAAGTCTACTTCATCGTCTTGATCAACATCTTCTACGCCTGCTCGTCCCCATATTTGAATCACCTGTTGACGAAGAGGACGAGGTTCTGCGGCTCTCATCTCACTAACACCTTGAGCATGATCTGCCAAGGACGATACCCATCCTACGAAAAGAAATCCTGTAAGTATGTGACATCACCAAAACCAAAACTCTACATTCTTCTCTTTTCTTTACCACACGCTTCTTTGTCATCGCAGTTGGAGATGGGTTGGGCATCAGCGAATACGAAGGAGACTACGACGACGCATCAGAGGCTGAGATAGACTTCCCATTCCTCTCCAAAGCCCTGGCAAAGTCTTTTGTCCCACAGAAAGTCCGAAGGCAAGGAGTTGTCAGCGAGTGCTGCCACAAGTCATGCACGCTCAACGAATTGAGGTACTACTGTGGAAAATAGAAACCTGATGAAAACGCAATATGAAAATGATAAAAAATGTACATTCTAACAAGATTCTTAGTCTAGTCTAGGTTATTATTGAAAATACATATTAAAAAACTACTACTCTTGTTTTATTTAAGTGTTAAGCTCTTGAAGTGAAGAAGTAATTCGGAATTGTTTGTTTACAATTCTGAGTTTTATGGCAAATAGTGAAGTTTTTGCAATGAATTTTGTGAAACATAAGACAGTTAACTAACTGCATTTCATTTCAAGAAATAGTCTTGCATTTTTGACATCCATCCATAAAGTTAGAAAAATTACTTAATTTATTCTTACTTTATTAAAATGTTTATTAATTGTTGAATGATGTCCTTGATGTGGCGCCATTAATGCTACATTAGCAACCCGTCTAATCTAATATTCGTTCAAAGCATATTCATACGCACATGCGGGGGTATATTTAAGGATTAGGATTTAACATTTATTAATTAGGAACGTTTTACATATTGCGGTACCTATATAAAAGCTAGAAATCGCTTCCAGAACTCACTCTCCTGTTAACCTAGGCTAGAATAATTACTTTAAGGTAAGTACTTATTTGGTTCTTAGTACTAAAAGAAGGAATATGTATGCTCCCTTGTTTTACGTTGCCGATAATATTTTTTATTAATATAGCGCTACTTTTAATGCGTATACTGTTCAAAAAATTCTTATATTCTTTCCAGATGTATTTTAAAGTCTTTTTTATTGTCATGATAAACGTCTTTTACGTGTGTTCGTCGCCATACTTGAACCACCTGATGATGAAAAGAGCGAGATACTGCGGATCTCACCTGACAAATACGTTGAGCATGGTGTGTAGAGGTCGCTACCCAGTCTTCGACAAAAAGTCATGTAAGTACAAGGACACCGAGGTAAAAATTCGTTAGTATGTGAAAGTTTTTGTTATAGCTGTGTGAAAAATAGATATTTTTAGTATTACAATCCTGTCAATCAAAAACCACGCTATCGATCGTTGAAAAATTTTTAGGATATAATTGACATATGTTTACTATTTGTTCACAAAGTTTCATCAATATTTACAAATATTTGTCTTATTTTAAAAATTGTTCCAAATATACGTATGATTTTCTACTATTTTTCGCCCATTGTTAATGTAAAATTCAACTTTTTTGATTCACAGTTGTTGCAACTTTATAGAAAATCGTCAAATAAACAAAAAATAAAGAATGATTTTTTTTATTTAGGGCTTACTTTCATTGTTAGAAGGAAAAATATGTCGAAAAACGGGTCATTTTTCGTTCTTTTTGTTTATATGTTGTTCCCCTGAATTTAACAATGGTTTTTTGAAATAGGCACACTCGGATTCTTATTCTACATAATATTTTGGACTTTTCTGTACAACAAAATAGATTACTTAAAACACAAACGCCAAAGCGCCTGGACTATCATAATGATTCCTTTTCTCAAAAATAAATGGGGCACACGTTCTTGAAGAACACACTTTAAAATTATAGTTATGCTGTCGATGTGCAGCATCGGAACATTTCGCCTTTGTTCGTGATGATGGTGGGGTAAAAAGAGCGAGTTCACATATCAAATCAATAAATTTCCTTATTGTAGCAGTCTTGATCAAATAATTGTAAAACTAGGGGTATAAATTTAATAATAAAACGCTTAGAATGCTTTTGACTTACCTCTGTACGGACGAAACACTTGATTTATGTTTAATAAAGCATTTTTGTTGAGTATGGTTTTCGTTTTATACAAAATGTGTTTCCTACACGACCGAATTGAAAATTGAATTTACATTTACATTTAATTTAGTTTCCTGGAAGACAAACAAAAGCATAGGGACAAAAATGGGGTCGTGTTACCACATAATTGACTTTTTTATGTTGCCTTCAATTGACTTTTATCGTTATTCCAATATACTTCATATTATTATGACTATTCTAATATCCTCATCGCTCTCCATAAACGCAATAAGATTTTCCTCAAATACTTATGCGAAGACGACTTCTCAAACGTAATGTGAACTTTTAAAATATCCGCAGTGGTGAACGGGAAAGTACCTAGAAACTGCAGCGCGCTATGGGCGGAGCTATACATTATACATTTTTTTTATTTTAACAGAACTTTACGTGATGCTTCAATTATTGTTTTAGATGGAGAAACCTTAGCTTACAATGAAGTCGAAGACGACTACAACGACGTAAGTGATGGCGGATTCGATTTTCCGTTTCTGTCGAAAGAATTCGCAAAGTCCTTCGTTCCTCAGAAACCTCGCAGAGAAGTTGCTGACGAGTGTTGCCACAAACCCTGTACGATTGATGAAATGCGATATTACTGTGGAAAATGAGATTTATCCTGCGAAGTATCTGCCGAATAAAGGAAACACAGTATAAAAAATATAACAGTTGTAATAAATGTTTTGACAAAGATTTGGAACAGTTTAATTCAATTGTTGTGACATTTTTATAAAATAGTCCTTACTCTTCTAAAGATAACTTGTTGAGATCTGTTAAGTTCATTACTTTGCCAACGGTATGTGAGTTTTATAAGTTACAAAGGTTATAATCTATAGGAGTTTGGAAATTGGAAAATGTGGAGTTTTTATGTTAATATGCCGGTGTATTATTTGATGTTATTCTTTTCCAGTAGAAGCTTGGATAATTTTTAGTTGAATCTAATTAAATGTCATACAAAATTGACGTAAATTTCCATTAAAAATCGATCTACAGAAGTAACATGTTGTTTTCTGTCTACCTTTTGGGGAACCTCTTCAAAATTCGTCCCATCTACGTTTCTCCTGCGCCTACGCTAACTACCATTTCTTTTCCTCGAAACGTATAGATTAACAATTTCTGTTATTGTTAAGACCAGACACGTCCTTGAGTTGGCGCCCTTAGATATTAGCAACCCGTCTAATCTAATATTCATTAACGTTTTAAAGTATACTAACATATGCATGTGGGGGTAGATTCAACTTCTTTGCATATTAACATGTTTTGAAATTTGAATGTGTTTAAGAAGGTAGTAAACAATATCGATGTATAAAAGCTGAGCGCATTATTGAAAAGATCAGTTGTGCACGGATTCTGAAACACAGAGGTGAGTTCACGAACTATTTTTGTTTATCTGACGCGTACTTATTGATAGTTTTCGTCGGCTGCTGTATATTTATAAAGGAACCTTTAAACGTATGACGTAGTCACTTGTTATGTTTTTGTTGATAGCAGAAGTAGACCTTTTGCGGTTTCCATTAGCGTACCGTCAAAAATTAGTTGGATATCGTTTATTTAAATTTAATACTGTTTAGGTTAGAAAAACAGTATTAAAAGTAGTGTAAATTGGACAATTTTTCTAAAACTGATAAATAAAACGAATGCAATAAATTTAAACTTTAAAACATTATGAGGAGATTAGAGATGTTACAAAATTCATATTCCAGGATGTTATTGATTGCTTATCAAAATTAAATTTATGATGCTGTGTATTTCCCATAATTATTGTTTAAATCGAAGATTGTAATGGTTACAGTGTTACGAAAAATTTTATAAGTAGGTCTACTTTGATAATACAGGGCAATTCAAGAATTTTTCAAAAAATATTTGTGGTTTTAATTAATAAAATAATAAATTAAATAATTTGACATACCTGATGATATAGCAACTGATTCAAATTTTTGTCAATTTTGTCTTGCTTCACCATAAAGCAATTGCTTCACCATAATACAAATGTTGTCTTGCTTTACCATAGATTGAAACGATATCTATCAACTCGAGGTGCTATACACGTAAGCTATTTTTGACACTTGAAAAACTAATGTAAACAGTATCACAAATCTTTCAATAATTTTTCTCTCGGAAACTATAAGGATTTTACAAACAATTTTTTACGATATTGAACATTTTTCATAACGCACCTATTCCCAATTTTTTTCAGTAATTTATGCATTACCCTATATAAGTCGCTTGATTTTTTAAATTTGTATTGGATTGGAATTATATGGTTTTCTTTACATTTCATATTTATACGAAGGCTATCTTTAACCTTTAGAAACACATCATAAACTTGTTTTCAAAAATTTCGTCGTAAAAACTTATTTTTGCAAATGAATAAACATAAAACCAAATAAATGGAATAAAATGAGGTGTTGACATATACTGACTGTTTATTTTTCCCCTGTCTAACCCCTGTTGTCATGTCACATCAGGTGTATTGATATTTTTTGTAGTTCCCCTAATCTAAGGCACTGTTACGCAATTGATCATTGACACTAACATCCGCAAACTAAACGCAGTGCTTTGAAAAATGTAACTATGTTTCGCTTTCAGATGGACATTAAGATTTTGTTCTTCATAGCAATAAACTTCTATTCCATAAACTCGAATCCTTACGACCTCAACCGCTTAATGAAAAGAGAAAAATTTTGCGGAGAACGGCTCTGGCGGGTAGTTAGTCTAGCATGCCAAGGAAATTACAATGGACCTGATAAGAGAGTTTGTAAGTATTTTTAGAATTTTTAATACAAACTACGTTCCAAATATCGTAACATATTTTCAAAATAGTAGTTATTGAAGCTGATAATCAGTTGTAACGTCTGAATTCTTTCAAACTGTATGGATTTGCATGAAAATTTAGTATAAGACTCATCTTAGGCTCAAGTTCAAAAGTGACATAGGCCCGATTAACGCCTTTTGTTTTTTAGGGGTAAAAACTACCCCTAAGTGAAAAAAATTGAAAAAATTAAGTTTTAAGCATTTTATTGATAAAAATCTTGTTCAAGCACAAAGATTAAATAATCTTCCATGTGCTCGAAATGTTTTATGATATATTTGAGCTTTTCGACCCTTTATTTAACCCTTAAAAACTACCCCTATGAAAAACATAATGATAAAAAATTACTTTTTAAAGATTTGGAATGATTAAATCGTGCAATTATTTAAAATAAAAGTTACCTTATAGCTAATAAAATAATTTTTCCCTTTCAACTCCTAAAAACCACCCCTGTATTGACAAAAATGATAAAAAAATACTTTTTAAAAACTTGGAATGCTTTAACAGTGCAATTATTTAATATAAAAATTATCTCATTGCTTATGAAAGAATTTGTATCTCATAATACTTTTCAACCCTTATAAATCACCCCTGTGCTAAACAATTTATAAAAAATTACGCTTTAAATCTTGGAATGCTATAATTGTGCAATAATTTGAAATAAAAATTCTCTTATATTGTTTATGAAAGAATATTTTACTTTTGCCATTTTCAACTCTTATCAACTACCCTTTTACCAATATTAATGTAAAATATTTTTATTATAATCGATTTTTAAATATAATCAATCATAAAAAAAATTGCTACGCTGCATATAAATGATCTCAATAATTTTTTTACTTATTTTATTTGTATAATATAATATAATATATAAAAATGAGAAAGTCTATATTGCTCCGAAAAAAATTCATTGGTTTTTTTACCATAACTCGGTTAATTTTGAAGCTATAGTATCCTACAAAAATGCATTTTAAAGATAATTTCAAGAGCTGTAAGATCGTTTGCATATAAAACCTTTTAAGTCCTTCGTTTTTTAAAGGGAAAAGATCGAAAGGCTCGAAACAGGTAGTTTTTTCACTAAGATTGATACTTCAAGCGGTGATATTTCCTTTATTTTTTATGCTATAGGAATAGAAAAAGCAAAATATTTGTTGAAAAAAAGATACATTTTTGTTGTCTATCATTTTTTACGTATCTTTCATAGTTTTAGAGTTATTATATAAATAAGGCAATTTTTTTTGAATAATGAAAAATACGTTTTCAACTTTTACCGTACATTATTAAAAAAATACGGATTCTAAACCTTCAGAATCGTAAGAAAAACACCAAAACAAAACTAATTTTAAAGGGTCTACGATTAATTTTAATTCTGATGGAAATGGTACAGCGTTTACTGCTCATTTTTCCTTAAAAAATATGAGCAACCCATCTGTTTTTGACGATAACTCCTTCAATTTTGGTCTAATTAACTTTTATAAGTACTCATTTTGAAGGTCTTTCTGAGTACTACAAAAAACTCCAGGAGCGTTATACACGTAAAATTAATCCTTTTTTCATTATTTGACGTTGAATACATCGATTTGAGTATTCCCCCCAAAACAAGTCCTCTTCCATTAACCATAGTTCGCTTTGTATAGGACGTACAACACTTTTTAAAAATTTTGTTTATTTATAAGCTACATTTTTGTTCATTACACTTTTTTAATAAAATGCGTAGTTTTTGAGTTAATCGCGAAAAATACTTTGAAAAAGTGTTTTTTTTTCACTCAAAATTCCAAGTTTTCAATCGTGAATAACTAAAAAACTATTGATTTCTCGAAAAAATTCTTCGAATATTTTTTGTACTTTTCTTCTACAGTTTTCCACACTGATTCGTTGCTGTCATTGGCTTGGAGAACTGTTACAGTGAGATTTTTGACGACCTTTTTAACTTCAATGCTTGACGTCACCTTCAATAATTTTGTACGCCCCTTTACTACATTTTTTTTTAATTTTCAGACAATGACATATTCAACTACGGTGAATACGATGACGCGGCAGAGGCCGCCTTCGACGACTCCAACCTGATTTTCCCCTTCTTGCAAAAGGAATCTGCGAGGTCCTTGATTCCACGAAAGTTTCGTAAGTCGGATGGAATTGTGAACGAGTGCTGTTACAAGTCTTGTTCACGAGAACACTTGAAGTTGTACTGCAAGCCCCGCGATTAGAATTATTGTAATTGTCAACAAACGTATAGGCACATTAAAATAAATTAAACGATGGTTCTGTCTTTGTATGGCGAGATACGACTTCAGTAACCAGAAACGGAATGTAGAGACATAGAAAAGGACATTTATTAAATAATATACGTGAAGTTTAACAGGAAAAATGTTGTTTTATATTACCATTACACCTTCATTTCGATATTAACCATGTCATTTTGAAAATGCGTAGATATTGGGGAATTTTATCACATCTTGGCAACAGCGCGGATCGAATTACTTGATCTAAATTGTAAGACAGCTGACTGCGCATCCAGAGGTAAACGATTATGGTGAAAATTAATAAATTCAGAAAATTCAGAAGATTTAAGAAACTGTTTTGTAGTTTTAAACTAACGATATAGTGGCACACAAAAACAAGCACAGACCTTGAACTGTCACACACTTTCAGTGTCACTGTCATTTACTGTCAACGTCATCATCTTAACATCTGTCATACCGTGGCGCTGTTGACATATTGTGCAATATCGACTTTATGGAATTTTATTGATTACACCCTATATAAAATACTTCCCCGACAATGTAAACCTAAACAATG